GCTCGACGGCTCTTCGCCGAGCTTGCACAGGCAATACAAAATTACGATCCCATTTACTAATACGGCACCGCGGGATGGGCTGCAGTTTGTCGGTGTCGATCCTCTGGATAATCGGTTCACCCACATGTACACTCGTCATACCATACACCCGGGCACAGCATCCTGCATATTTCCCTGCATGGACGACCATGGGGCAAGATGTGATTGGAAGGTTTCTTTCAAATTCCCGCGCACTCTTGGTGATGCCCTCCAAAAACCCCTGGCGTCGAATCTCAACGGAGTCAGCCATGCCAGTGTGACCAAGATGGATATTGATGACGGCGACCGAGGATTGGATCTATCCGAGGAGGACAAGTTGAGAGAGATGACGGTAATATGCTCGGGATTTCTGGTGGAAGAAAACATCGACCCAAAGGACGACCGGAAAAAGATCATGACATTCGAACCTGAGAAGAAGACATCAGTTCAAAAGTTGGGGTTTGCTATAGGGCCCTTTGAACACGTCGATTTATCTGCCGAGTTTCGCACAGAGGAGGATGAGGTGAAGCTCGGTCTCAATGCTCTTCGCGTCCATGCCTATTGCTTACCATATCGACGTGAATGGGTGCGCAACACTGCCGCTGCCCTGACCATGGCTGCGGATCACTTGACCTACACTTTCGCCAAGTACCCGTTTAGCAACTTCAAGCTTTGTTTCCTGGATGACATGGTGGAGGAGATAATACCTCTCCATTCTTTAGCTTTCATTAGCACACGCCTCCTCTTCCCGGAAGATATCATTGATACAGACGTTGATGTCACGCGCAAAATCGTCTTCACTCTAGCATATCAGTGGATTGGAATCAACATGATCCCCAACACACGAAATGATTTGTGGCTTGTGATGGGTGTTGCTCATTACATGACTGATATTGTCATGAGAAAGCTTTGCGGCAACAACGAACACCGGTTTCGAATGAAAACGATGTCAGATAGACTTGTTGAAGTCGATATTGATCGGCCATCACTCTGGGATCTCGGTGCGAACCTTCATCTTGGGGATTTCGAAATGGACTTCATGTCCCTGAAGGCCCCCGTTGTGTTCTTTATATTAGACAAGAGACTAAACAAGGCCTCTGGAGGTCACGGGCTGACTCGAATCCTGCAAAAGCTTCTGACGAAAGCTCAAATCGAAAGCAGCGACAGATCTACTATTCTTGACACAGAAAAGTTCAGGGCTACCTGTGAGAAACCAACCAGAACACGTCTTGAAAGCTTCTGGAGCCAGTGGGTCTATGGCTCAGGATGCCCTCGATTCGATGTCAAGGCCAAGTTTAACAAGAAGCGCTTATGCGTGGAGTTGACTCTTAATCAGATTCACCTTCAAGTAATCGAGCAAGATAGACCCGGTCTGGAAAGGGACACCTTCTTAAGAGCCATCAGGGAGCGACGGGCGGGTACCGTCATTGGGGAGTTACAGCCTCTCTACACGGGTCCTATGACTGTTCGAATTCACGAGGCCGACGGTACACCTTATGAACACATTCTTGAAATTCGGGAGGACGCTACGAGGTCCACCAAGTTCGAGATCCCCTATAATACGAAATACAAGAGGTTGAAACGAACACGACGGCTGAAAGAGAAGCATGCAGGTGGTGCCAATGCAGACGCAGCTGATGGAGCGGATGAGGCCTTGTTATACTGCCTTGGAGATGTTCTTCAGACGCCCGAGGATCAGAAGCAATGGGAACTAATTGATTGGGATCCGGAGACGGAGCGCAAGATGGACCAAGAATCCTACGAATGGATTCGTGTCGATGCCGACTTTGAGTGGGCTGCTGGCATGAAGCATACGCTTGAGCCGTACATGTACGTGTCCCAGCTGCAACAAGACAGGGATGTGGTGGCTCAACAAGATGCTATGCTTTACCTGGCGAGCGGTCCACTGCACCCCATCGCGTCTGGTTTTCTGGTTCGAACCCTGATTGATAGACGCTACTTCCACGGGATCCGTGCGATGGCTGCCAAAGCCTTGACGAGACAGGCCAATATTAAGGACCTTCCGATGCTTGGATTGCGGCAGCTTATGATGGCGTATCGCGAAATGTTTTGCTTCGAAAACACAAGCCAGCCCAAACCGAATGATTTCACCAACAAGCAGCAATACAAAGTTCGTGCATCCATCATCCAAGCTATTGCTGATGTGAGGGATCATACGCATCGCTGCCCACTGGAAGCTCGGCAGTTCATTCTCGACCAACTTCTCTTTAATAATAACGAAGAGAATCCGGTGTCCGACCACTACTGGATTGCAACTCTTGTTGACGCTCTTGCGACTTCTCTCATTCCATCTCAGGCCGATGATTGGCTGACTCGCCAAAGTGCTCCGAATGAAGATGAGCGTCGGTTCTTGGAGTCGGCATTGGAGCAGATTGAGCGCGTCCTTAGGCGGGACGAGTGGACAAATTCATACCAGAATGTCTGGACAATCGCTGGTCTTGATGCAAAACTACGCCTGATGAAAGCAGAAGTCATTCCCAAGAACTATGCCGACTTCGGGCAGTACCTCTTGGATGGCACAGCCGACCAGATCCGTATCAAATGCTTCGAGGCTCTGGTGGACTTGGGTGCGATCATGGATCACTCGGTCTTCACCTTTCTACTTTACGTCCTGTCGACGGATCGTTCACCCTTTGTTCGGAACAAGCTGATCCAGGCCGCTGCTCGTGGCCTTGCAGCAGTTGCTTTCGGAGAACATGAGAAGGCGGAGCAGAAACCTCCGGCGGACCAGGATTTGGATTCGGGACTTGTGGTTCAGGATAGTGGCCAAGAAATCGAAGCTCGGAAGGAGAAGTTTGCTCGAAAGCAGAATCTGGACGCAGCTCTGTTGGCTTTGCGAAAGGAGATGGATGAGACTTTCGCTGCGGACGAGAGGTATTACTCCACAGCCATGCGCAAAGCTCTTGATCACCCAACCCTTGGCCGGGCTGATGTAGAGAGCCTGCTTGATCTGGCTGCAATGATGTTTGACGAGGCCCGCGATTGGATCGTGACGCTGAATTTGCCCAAGGGCTGGAAGGTCGAGAGGCCAGCACAGCAACTTGCGGACCGGGTAAGTCAAAGCTTTCCTTTTAAGTTTAAGATTTGTTCTAACATTTATTGTTCTAGTTCAACATGGTATTCAAGTCTTACTATAAGACAAAGCCTAAGGAACCTTTTGTTGCTGCTCCAGCGCCAGAACCAAAGCGACCACCCGTCACGTTAACTAAGACCTCGTCAATTAAGATCAATACAAAAACGGCCGGGACACCAAAGCCATCTCAGCCTCCACCGGTAGAGAATGGGCGCCCGGCAGCATCAACACCTGTGTCTCGTGCTCCAAGTGTGAGCACCTCACATACAATCAGCAACCCAGACTTGTCTTCTCAGACGTCAACAACTATCAAGAGACCTCGACCAGATAAGGAAGAGCCCGCCGCGACACCTGTTGCAAAGCGTCCCAAGATGGACATCTATAAGAATGGCACCGCCCACACAGCTTCGAATGGACCTCCACGGAAACGACTCATGGTCCTTCTGAAGGCGAGGCCCAAGCGGCTCGCTTTGGCTCTGGGTCTGTTACAACCCTCCCAACATAGGACTGGGTTGCCCTCTGGCCCTAAGAAAGAAGCGTCTCCCGATGGTATAAGGGATAGTATCATTGCCAAACCGAGGAAGCCACTTCCTACAGGGGGAGAGCCACCAAGAAAACCATTACCAGGGAGCGGCTCTTCAGTCACATCGTCCATGCAAAAGAAGTTTGGAGGACGTAGTGCCTCGCCTGCGCCCTCAAGACCTGCACCATCACCGGCACCCTCAATAGCAACACCAGGCAGCACCCCGGTCCGTCCCAAAATTAAGATCGTAAGAAAGCCTCAGCCTCCACCTGCCGCCCAGCCACCGCCCTAGTTGAGTTGAAGGCTGCTACAGTTGTTATCGACTTTGGATGCAATAGTTCCTTACTTTGAATCATAAATTTATTACCCCTTAAGCGATGCATTTATTTGAATGGGAGGTTATTGCGTAATTTAACACGGCCTACGTTTGGGCAGAGGGAAGAATGTTTACCACCTGGTCTGCTGCAATTTTGCAACCAGGCAGGTGGGCTTTGCATAAGAGTTTTGGTGTCTGCGCACGGAGGGGCTTTATACATTGCATTGGCAGGAGAGTGGAGAAAAGTTTGGCGCGACGGGCGTCACCATACAACGTAATCACTCAATAATCAGTGAAATTTGTGCAGTATCGGGTCAGGCCAGAACGAATCATTTCATTCCTATTGTGAGCCTGATTTGCTGATTGTTTGCTATCGCCCTGGCCGATTGTTCTTGGTGATTTCCCAGTTGCCCCACTTGGGTGGCTGGTCTAGGTAGGGACCTGTGACGTGACGCGCTCATGATATGTAAGCCGGTATCTCTTATCGTTATCGCAGTAACCACGTGATGCGGAACATTCCGCCTTCAGCTCTGCTTGTGCGATCCCGGTCAGATCTCATCGCTCGCTCTGGCAGACAGGAAGCAAGCAGATTCGTACCAAATCCTCGTTGTCCTCCGCCGTCTAAGACTCCCGCCGCTCCTAGCCTTTGGACAGAGCAGGCTTACATTTTGTACACATATTGTTTTCTACGCCGATGATTTTCAGCTAATGTCCTTGTAAGTAAGCCATGATTTGTTCTTTGGATTCCCTTCTGTGCCATCTTATTTATTTGCGGCTACTGCGACGAGCCTCCTGAGCTCCATTCCGGGCATCAGCAAACGTCCGCCGCAAACTTCTCCCCTGCGCCCTTTCTCAATACCGAACGCGACGCATAGGCCCACGTGCCATTGCTATAGCTCCTTTTGCTCTTGGGACATGATCGCTCATACCTTATTGTCTAGTCTACTATGAACAGTCAACACCCCCACGGTGGTAGCGGTGGTGCGCCATACGACAGAGAGCGCGAGATCGAAGAGCATCGACACCGTGAGGAAATGGCTTATCGCGAAATGAAGCACCAGGAAGAGCTTGCCCGTCGCGACCAAGAACGAGACGCTCGCGAGCGAAGTGACCGCGAGCGAGAGCGAGACGTCAACGACCGCTTCCAGAACCCCCCCCGGCACAGCAGCGCTGGTTCCATCCCTATCCACCAGCCTGTTGCATCGAGAATATCTGGCGCGATACATAGCCCGGGCGGCCTTTTGGCAAACCACAATGGCAACCCGCCTGCCGGACACCTCAGCGGGCACTCGGCCCCGGTAGCCACTTTTGGCGGTCCCTTACAGCCGAGCGACCAACACGGACGCCAGGTCCAGCATGGCGGACAGAGCAATGACAACCCTCATCAGATATTCCCATCGATGGCACCTCATCCCCCGGTCGCGGCTGGAACACCGCAGGGGGCTGGCGCTGCCGGTTCGGCTGCCGGTGCTGTCTTCGGTGCGCCCATGCCCCAAGGCCAGCCTCAGCAGCAACACCAAGAAGGTCTGCGAGGCGGGCAGCAAGGCGGCGCGCCGTTCAGGGCAGTCACGCTGGGTCAGCATCAGATCCCAGGGAGCATGAACCCGCAGGGCCAGCAGCCTATTCTAAATGTGAGTAGATTGTTTATTGACTCAGGCGATGCATGTTTTCCTTTGTCATTGTTGGATGCGACAATAGATTGGGTGACGTGAAGTTGCTCAGTTCTGAATCACAAACTGCGCGGATGTGTTTTGGCGCAGCTCAGCCGATGCCGGCTTGGGAACCCCCATCTCACTTTCCTCTCAGTTGGTTTCTGCAACGCACCTCATCTTTTCTCCCCCCAAACTGCATACCCTTTTCTTTTTCTTCCATGAACAAGCCAGGCAAGCCATTCTTGTGACTGCAAATTTCATTACTCTCCTGCATTCGCACGAGATCATGGATACTTGCGACATGGTCTACCGACAGCCCTCTCCCCTCGTGCAGCTGGAAGCTCTTGTCGGCAACCTCTCACAAGGCGGCAGAGGTATTGTCTGTACCTGTGGCGACAATGTTAACACGTGGTGCCTGTACCACTTCTATCTCGTACTTTAACTCTAATTTCCAACTCGCTTAACCTTTGAATTACACTCGCTGACTATTTGGTTTCCAGGATGCTCTTACCTATCTTGACCAGGTCAAGGTCCAATTTCACGACCAGCCGGATGTCTACAATCGATTCTTGGATATTATGAAGGATTTCAAAAGTCAAGAGTATGTCTTGTCTCTCTTTAGGCTTCGCAAGTTGCGAACTTTACTGACTTGTCTAGGATCGATACACCTGGTGTTATTAACCGAGTTTCGGAGCTCTTCGCTGGCCACCCCAACCTTATTCAAGGGTTCAATACTTTCCTCCCTCCCGGTTACCGAATCGAGTGCGGCGCAGGCAACGACCCGAATACTATAAGAGTGACGACCCCTATGGGCACTACGATGCAGTCGATCGCGGGTCGCGGAAACCAGACTGAAAGTACCGCTGGAGGTCAACCTCCACCATTCCAAGATCGGAGCCAGTGGCAGCGTCCGCAGCGTAGCATCGAGAGCCCAGAGGCTACTTTCAGCACTCCTGTACAGAACACGGCAAACCTTTTTGCACAGGCAGCTGCTCAGAATGGGCTTTTCGAAAGTTCGGCGGCTTCCCAGCAACGAGCTGTTGCCCAGATCCAGGGCGCATTGGATGCGCAGCTTAAACCTCGAGGCGCTCAAACCCCTACGCCCACTTCTGGCCCGGCTCCTGTAAATGGCGCCGCAGGTAATGGCAACCAGGCTAACATGAATGCCCGTGGCCCTGTAGAGTTCAACCATGCAATCAGTTATGTGAATAAGATCAAGGTTAGTCAATCTCACTTTGGTGCTTTACTTGAGCTTCTTCTGACCTGCCCCACTTTCACTTAGAACCGATTTCAAGACAAACCCGAAATTTACAAACAGTTTCTGGAGATCCTCCAGACATATCAGCGGGAACAGAAGCCCATCCAGGACGTTTATGCTCAGGTTACTAACCTGTTCCACGAGGCCCCGGATCTTCTTGAATCGTTTAAGCAGTTTCTCCCAGAGTCAGCTGGCCAGGCCAACAAAGCGACCCCAGGTCGTGCTGAAGACCCAGCTTTGGGCCAGGTACATACGCCACAGGCTGGAGCGCGTGACGGCCAGAAGATGCCTCCCCTAGGAAGTTTCGCCCCGCCTCCCAGCACGAGCAAGGACAACAAGAAGCGACCTCGTGTAGCTGAAAAGGCAAGCCCGGCTTCAGGTCCATCAACCGTGGAACCTGCTGTAGCCAACCGACTTGCGCAGCCGACTACGATCAATGGAAACAAGCGCCCGAAACTGAGCCATGCCAGAGGCACTGTTGACGGACCTAACGCTGTCGAATCCACTCTCACACCAATTATCCCTGAGCCTTACCCTCCACGCCCGGCTTCCACATCGACACAAGATGAAATCGCCTTTTTTGAGCGTGTGAAGAAATATTTGGGCAATCGATCATCCATGAATGAGTTTCTTAAGCTCTGCAACTTATTCAGCCAGAACATCATCGACAGAAACACACTCTTCCACAAGGGCCTTCAGTTCATTGGCGCCAGTCCGGATTTGTTGAGTTTTTGGAAGATGTTTGTCGGCTTTGAAACTCAGGATGTAGTTATCGATAACCGCCCAGCTCCTCCTACTGAGAAGCTTTCGCTGAGCAATTGCCGTGGTTACGGACCAAGTTACAGGCTCCTGCCTAAGCGGGAACGCCTCAAGCGGTGCAGTGGCCGTGATGAGCTCTGCCAATCTGTTCTCAACGATGAATGGGCCTCTCACCCTACTTGGGCGTCGGAGGATTCGGGATTCGTTGCGCATCGAAAGAACCAGTTCGAGGAAGGACTCCACCGAATTGAAGAGGAGCGTCATGATTACGACTTCTATATTGAAGCGAATCTCAAATGTATTCAGCTCCTGGAGCCTCTCGCTCAACAGATGTTGGCCATGTCGCCAGCCGAGCGAGAGCTGTTCCATATGCCTAGTGCCCTTGCTGGCCAAAGCACTTCGATCTTCAAGCGAATTTCCAAGAAGATTTACGGTGACCGAGGTATTGATGTTGTCAATGACCTGTATAGCCATCCCTTTGACGTTGTTCCTGTGCTCCTGGCACGTATGAAGCAAAAAGATGAGGAATGGAGATTCTCTCAGCGTGAGTGGGAGAAGGTCTGGCACTCTCAAACAGAAAACATGTACCTCAAGAGTCTCGATCATATGGGTATTCTTGTCAAGTCGACCGACAAGAGAAACCTGACTGCAAAGCACCTTGTTGATGTCATCAAGACTAAGCACGAAGAGCAGCGCCGTGAGCGCGCCCTGAAGGGCAAGGCACCACGGGACCAATTCGAGTGGGACTTTAGCGACAAAGATGTCATCGTTGAACTGCTCCGTTTCGCAATGCTCTATAGCTTGAACAACGGGCAGCACAGCTTCCAGGAGAAGGAACGCATTCTCGAATTCTTCGAGATGTTCATCCCTGCCTTCTTCGACATTTCCGAGGAATCCATCCTTGACAAGCTCCCCAAGATGCAGCTCGACTCAGGCGAAGAGGAGATCGAGGATCATACTCCTGCAGAGCTGACCAATGGCCGTAGCCGTCGCAACGGGAAGAAAGGAGATCTTCTTAGAGGGGTACTGGATCCCGGACGCAACGGAAGCAAGCCTAGAAACCAGAAGGAGGACAGCACGGCTTCGGGTAGCAAGGAAACCACTCCTGATGTCAATTCCGCCAATGAGGAAGAAATGCCCGATGCACCTGATGAGAGCCTCACTGAGGTCTCTAACGAGCGGTGGATGCCTAGTATCCCGAAGCCGGTTGTCGTTGGAGAGAACAACGGTCTTCTGGACTCGGATAGCAACCTCAAGGCCGATGGTCTTTTCAAGCGCAAGTGGTATCATTTATTTGCGAACCAGACTATCTTTGTCTTCTTGAGCATCTTCCACAATCTGTATGCTCGTCTCAGGGATATCAAGGAGAGCAAGGAAAGCGCCCTTAATGAGGTTAAGCGCCTTAACCGCGACAAGCCCGCTCGAGATATCGGCCTGACAGAGAACTACATGGCCTTTTTCCAGCCTGAAGAAGATCCCGAGACATACTGGCCGAAGACTGTGGAACTCATTGAAGAGTACATCAGCGGCGACGTCGACGAAAACCGATATCAAGAGGTCTTGCGTCACTACTACCTTAAGAACGGATGGAAGCTATACACGCTCCAAGACCTGCTGAAGACCCTTTGCCGTCTTGCTCTCACCTGTAGCAGCCAGGACAGCAAAGAGAAGAGTCCTGATCTGATCCATCAGCATCTTAACAGCCGAGAGAAGCAGGAGACCAGCTATCAGACTGAGATCAGCGCAAGAAAGTTTGCCGAGAAGTGTGTAAAGGACGGAGAGTTGTTCACTATCCGATGGGTAAGTTTTTTCCCTTAAACTGATGAGTTATCTTTTTCTTGCTGACTGTTTGTGTGTCTAGTTTCCTGAAGAGGCCAAGGCGACAGTTCGCTGGTTGCAGAGGGATGAAACTACATTCTACACCGATGACATGCAACTTCGCGAGCGCTGGCAGTACTACATCTCGTCTTTCATCAGAATCGAGCCAACAGAAGGCATTCCCCGATCAAGACTGCAGAGAGTTGTTCTTGCACGAAACCTGCCCTCGGGCGATGCTGACTCTGATGATGGAGCTTCTCCCAAGCGACTTTCTTATGAGGAAAACTTGACCATCAGCATCTGCTTGAGAACCTCCAAGATGATCTGGGGCCCCGGAACATCGGAGTATTTCGTGTATGACCAGTCTCCGAAGACTAAGGAGCAGCGAGAGCGTCGTGAAAAGTTCACTCGGGCTTTGAGCAACCATCGTGAGCTGGAATTGACCAAGAAGTTCGTTCACAACCCAGTCTGGGCGAAGGACTTGAGCCCTGAGGAGGTCCAGGAACAGAATAGCAACTTCCGGAAGTGGATGGACGATGGAACTCCTCCCCCAAAGCCACTGAGTGAAGTGGACGGGGAGTAGTGTTCGGGTTGCCTGTGAATCACTAATGGAATCGGATTAACGTTTAATTGGGTCATACATATGGAAGAAAGGAAGCGCTCCTATTTTATATCCTTGCTTTTTCCTCTTTTTGTGTTCTCTTCTTCCATGGTCGGCTCCGACATTCTGCTTTTCTCTTTCTCTCATACATGTATTTTTCATCAGCACAAAAAATGGGGAGCTGACTCTCGCGGCATGGCAGAAGCTCAGGTACAGGGAGTGAAGCGGAGTTTGTATCAGAAGCAGAGGTCAAACTAGGATTTTGCTATAACATCTATACTTCATGAAATCATTATTTTATCTATTTCACATCGCCTTGTGACATGATGACGGAACGGGGAATCGTGCTGTTTGCCCCGAGGGCCGGTTATTATTTCTTCCTTGATTTTCAAGCATTTCCGACTGGTAAGTCGTTTTTGGTATCTAAACATTCGACATTACACAGATTGAATCCATCCTCCCTTTTTGACGATTTTTACTTTTTTGTTTCCCTTTAGGTGAATTAGCTTATTGCAGGTTCTCAATGACCAGGGCGGAAGCACCGCCACCGCCGTTGCAGATACCGGCAACGCCAATCTTGGCGTTCTTCTCCTTGAGAACGGTGGTGAGGGTGGTCACGATACGGGCACCGGAGGCACCGAGGGGGTGACCGATGGCGACGGAGCCACCAAAGACGTTGACCTTCTCGGGGTTGAGGCCGAGGTGCTTGACGTTGGCGAGGGCGACGACGGAGAAGGCCTCGTTGATCTCGTAGAAGTCGACGTCCTTGTCGCTGAGGCCGGCGTGCTTGATGGCCTTGGGGATGGCGAGGGCGGGGGCGACGGTGAAGCGCTCGGGCTCGCGCTCGGCGTCTCCCCAGCCGAGGATCTTGGCGATGGGCTTGAGGCCGAGCTCCTTGAGCTTGGCCTCGGAGACGAGGACGACGGCGGCGCCGCCGTCGTTGATGGGGGCGGCGTTGGGGGCGGTGATGGTGCCGTCGGGCTTGAAGGCGGGGCGGATGGCGCGGAGCTTGGACTCGTTGAGGTTCTTGACCTCGTCGTCCTTGTCGACGACGATGTTGGGCTTGCCGCGGCCGCCGGGGACCTCGACGGGGACGATCTCCTTGAAGAGGCCGGCCTCGGTGGCGGCCTGGGCCTTCTTGTAGCTCTCGATGGCGTAGTTGTCCTGGTCCTCGCGGGAGAAGCTGTTGTCGGAGGCGCAGAGCTCGCCCTGGAGACCCATGTGCTCCTTCTTGAAGGAGTCGGTGAGGCCGTCCTTGAGGACGCCGTCGACGAGGGTCTGGTCGCCGTACTTGGCGCCGTTGCGGAGGTTGGGCAGGTAGTGGGGGGTGTTGGACATGGACTCGGCGCCGGCGGCGACGACGACGGACGAGGTGCCGAGCATGATGTTCTGGGCGCCGAGGATGATGGCCTTGAGGGAGGAGGCACACACCTTGTTCACGGTGGTGGCAATGGTGGTCTGGGGGAGGCCGGCGCCGAGAGCGGCCTGGCGGGCAGGGCCCTGGCCGAGACTGGTGAAAGACATTCGTTAGCACAGGTGAAGGGAAGATGTCGAGGCGGGCCATTGCGTTGTCTCGTGGTCAAGAGAAACGGCCGGAGATGTGCGCCTCGCACGCAATCTGGCTTGTGATCACGAAGCACTTACCCAGCAGAGAGGACATTGCCAAAGAAGACTTCGTCGACGTCCTCGGGCTTAATTCCAGCGCGCTGAACGGCACCTGTTCCAGTGTGATTAGACCGTCTGCTGTATAATCGGATAGGAGAGGGGTATTACCCTTGATAGCCTCAGAACCCAGCTGGGTTGCGCTCAGGCTAGAGAGCGAGCTGGAGAGTGTCAATAAGGGTTTGGTGGGATGGCGGGGTAGTTAAGAAAAACATACCCAAGGAAAGAACCAATTGGGGTTCTGGCGGCAGAAACAATGTAGACGGGAGGGAGATTGGCCATGGTGACGATGTGGATGAGCTTGCGGGAGAAGACAGGAGGAAGGCAGACTGCTATCAGGGAGAAAAGCAGAGTATTAAATAGGGGTGGGGAGAATCAGTTCTCACCGTCTTGTATCCTCGCCGACGGGCGGGTTTCCCACCAAGAGACAGCTTAGCGGTGCCTCTCCCAACAAGACCGCTGGTGGGGTTCCCGCAGCCTGTGGCGTCAGCTCCAATTGGGCCTAGCGCTGTCGCCGGTTGTCGCCATACCTCCAAGTCCCACTGCGAGCAAAGCGCGCGAGTGGAGCCAATATCAACGGCAATTCGTGATCGTATTGCGAGTGATGGATGGATTCATTGCCCCTGTTGAGCTGCCCGTCGAGATCCTGGGGATTGAGGCTAGCTTTGTGTTTCCATGTCGAATTGGGCTTTGTTATCTTTGCCTGTTCAGGCAGGCTCATCTCACGTATCTACATCGTGTACCTAGATCCCCGCATGCTTGATAGAATAATCAGGACCCCCATTGTACAAACAGCGAAGTTTAGATGCCACCGTAATGGACCAAGTTCCACTGTGACAAGAGAGGGAATTATACATGAGTGTTTTTTCCCTGTTTTAGATCCCGAATTTTCTTATGCATGAACTAAGCCTACTATGTTGGCCTCTGCAGCTATGGGTCATGCCTTTAACTGTTATCAATCTTGATCTAGCTCGTTCGATCACGAATATGTCATTGGCGCTGTTTCTTCTGCAAATTGTGTCTATTGTGTCTGAATAATTGCGCACAGGGATTGTCCTCAATTTTATGCAGTGTAATAACTTGGTGTTTGGATCTACGTTCCTCCCCTCCTTGGGTCCCTGCCATGACTGTCCCAAGTAGATCATTCTGGGACCCCAACGTCAATGATGGAATTCCGCTAGGCTTCAAGACATACATAAGCCATGCTGAGCTGAATGGCATGGGTAAATAGTTCAGTTCTTTCGTGAAGATTGCAGGATGACGACGAACTTCCTCCCGAATACGAAGGCAGGCAGCACCACTATCGCTAGTGAGGCATTGAGCAACAGTTGCAGGGTTGCACCGCTGTCTTAGTCACTGATACATCCCCATTCCATGCCCGTTCGAGGAAGCCTCCTATTGCTACAATCTGGTTCGGGGCGGTGGAATGGGAGACAGCTGACGAGATACATCTAGGAGATCTAAAGTGACGGAGAATGGATAGATAGCACCCCCTGTCTAAAATCCGATCTGTCAGGTCCAAAGGTACTGCCAGGTACAGCGCTTGTTCGTCAGGGATCCAGGGACTGGGTGTGGCTTGACAGCCAATCAGAGCACTGCCCGCGGATTTAGTCTTCAGCCTTGCATGATTTCACGTGATGTAGAGTGCAGCCTCGTCGCGAATCAGAGCAGCTTAGCTCAGGCCCAAAAAAAAGTTGGCGTCACAACGAACTGTGGTTAGATACCGGAAGCTCGCGACCGGACATCCACGAAATCCTGCACTTTCCAGTCGACAGTTGCAAATAGAGGGACCGAGTGTACCAATTACAGGATGGATGATCTCTACGACGAGTACGTCTTTCTAATTCCATTGCTGTCTGAAGCACGCAGCGCCTGTACTAACGACGAAGCTAATAGGTTCGGTAACTTTATCGGGGAGGAAGTTGAGTCGGAGGAGGGCTCTGAGGTTGGCGTTGACGCCGACGCTTACGTATACGACGATGAGGCCGACGATGCAGCTCCAGGTGTGACCGGCCAGGAACTTATGGAGGTTGACGGTAAGTCGGGGTGCGTTTCGTTTGACTTGCGACCTCTTGATGCTAATTGAGATGCGCTCGCATCGCGCAATCTAGATGGCCCCTCAAATGCCGTTATTCTACATGAGGACAAGCAATATTATCCGACTGCAGAGCAGGTATACGGAGCCGAAGTCGAGACCCGGGTGGAAGAAGAAGATGCCCAGCCTCTTACGCAACCCATCATCGCTCCAGTTGAGCAGAAGAAGTTCAATATCGAGGAGGCAGACCTTCCGCCAGTGTTTTTCGAGCGCGAATTCATGACCGATTTGATGAACCTACCGGAACAGATTCGAAACATCGCGTTCGCTGGCCATCTTCATCATGGCAAAACCGCATTCGTCGATATGCTGGTGCTCGAGACACACGATATTAGCGAGAAGCTGGACCGCAGGGTTGGAAAGAACCGAGATGAGCAGTTGCGATATACCGATATTCACATCACAGAGAGGGAACGTGGCTTGTCCGTGAAAGCGGCACCCATGAGTCTCGTTCTGCAGAGCTCCAGGGGGAAATCACACCTGGTCAATTTCATCGACACACCCGGTCACGTCAATTTTGTCGACGAGGTTGCTGCTTCTTTCCGTCTGGTAGATGGCGTGTGCTTGGTGGTGGATGTTGTCGAGGGAGTCCAAGTGAACACAGAGCAAATCATCAAGCATGCGGTTTTGGAAGACATTCCGTTGACTCTGATCATCAACAAGATGGACCGATTGATTTTGGAACTCAAGCTCCCCCCCAAAGACGCCTATTTTAAGCTGAAACACGTGGTCGAAGAGGTAAACAGCGTTATCGCTGCTGCCGCCCCCTTATCTGCAGCATCCAAACGAATCAGCCCTGAGAAGGGCAACGTTCTCTTCGCTTGTACCGATATGGGCTGGTGCTTTACCCTTCAGACCTTCGCCAAGATGTACACAGATTCCTATGGTGATATCGACCCAGAAGAATTTGCCAAGAGATTATGGGGGGACGTCTACTTCAACCCAAAGAAGCGAAATTTTACCAGAAAACCCGTTGAGGACCGCTCAGCAAGATCCTTTGTCCACTTCGTGCTGGAACCTATTTATAAGATTTTTACTCATTCAATTAGCGACAGCCCAGATGATCTTAAACCAGTACTGGCGTCTCTGGGAATCGAGCTCAAGCCTTCACAATACAAAGCTGATGCGAAGGTCATCCTCAAGCTTGTTTGCGAGCAATTCTTTGGCAGCTCAACAGCATTCGTGGATATGATCGTTCGTCATATTCCATCACCGGTAGAAGCCTCCGGTGAGTACCTGAAAAAGTACTACACTGGGGATTTGGAAAGTAAGGTTGCATCATCGATGATGCTGTGCGATCAGGACGGGCCTCTGGTTGTTCACGTCACTAAGCTTTTCAACACCTCGGACGCAAAGAACTTTTACGCCTTTGGTCGTGTATTGAGCGGTACTGCCAAACCTGGCGATCAAGTCCGTGTTCTTGGCGAGGGGTATTCCCTGGACGATGAGGAAGACATGGCCATGGCCTATATCGGAGGGGTATTTATTGCTGAGACGCGGTACAACATCCCCACAGACGGTATCCCTGCTGGAAATCTGGTTCTTCTGAGTGGTGTGGATAACCCGATTATGAAATCGGCGACGATTGTTCCCCCCAAGCTGGAGGATGATGAGGATGCCTTTATCTTCCGACCCATCACTCATTTCACCGAGTCAGTTCTCAAGGTGGCTGTTGAGCCCATTAACCCCTCTGAGCTTCCCAAGATGTTGGACGGCCTGCGAAAGATCAGCAAATCGTACCCCTTGATTACTACCAAGGTAGAAGAGTCGGGAGAGCACATCATTCTCGGAACGGGCGAGCTCTACATGGATTGCGTTCTGCATGATCTACGACGTTTATATGCCGATATGGACATCAAGGTATCCGACCCCGTCACCCGTTTCTGTGAGACCGTGGTGGAGACGTCGGCTACGAAGTGCTATGCTATTACCCCCAACAAGAAGAACAAGATCACAATGGTGGCGGAACAGTTGGAGAAGGGCATCTCAACGGACATTGAGACCGGGTTGGTAAAGATCCGAGACCCCATCCGCAAGACAGCCACATTCTTCGAAGAGAAGCACGGCTGGGACAAGCTCGCTGCCCGAACTATCTGGGCTTTCGGTCCCGACGACATGGGACCCAACATTCTGCAGAATGATACTTTATTAACATCGGTAAGTCCCCTTCCCAACCAAGCCTTGAAGGTATATGAATGGTTACTGATCGTTTACTCTCATAGGCCGAAGAGAAAAAGCTCCTCAACACGGTAAAAGAATCCATTCGACAAGGTTTCAGCTGGGCCACCCGCGAAGGGCCATTGTGTGAAGAGCGTAAGTTTCCTCACCTCCCTTTTCCGATGCCGTCCACGCGACGGACTATCTATAAATTGCACACACATACTAATGTCTTTCACAGCAATCCGAAATACAAAGTTCAAAGTCACAGACATCACACTGGCCAACGAGGCCATCTTCAGGGGCGGTGGCCAAATCATCCCTACCTCCCGCCGCGCATGCTACTCGTCCTTCCTCATGGCGTCCCCGCGACTCATGGAGCCCCTCTACTCCGTCTCCGTCACCGGGCCCGAGGACTCCTACATGGAGGTGTACAACGTCCTCGCGCGCCGCAGAGGCCACGTCCTCTCCGACGGGCCCGTCTCGGGCACCCCCCTGTACCGAGTCAACGGCCTCATCCCCGTCATCGACAGCTTCGGCTTCGAGACGGACCTCCGCATCAAGACCCAGGGCTCGTCCATGGTCAGCCTCGTCTTCGACAGCTGGAGCATCGTGCCCGGGGACCCCCTGGACAAGGAGCAGATCATCCGGCCCCTCCAGCCCGCCAACGCGCAGGCGACGGCCAGGGACTTCGTGCTCAAGACGAGGAGGAGGAAGGGCCTGAGCGAGGACGTGAGCGTCAGGACGTTCCTGGAACCCGAGTTCTACCAGTCCCTGATGGAGAGCGGGCTGCTGGGAGAGATGTAGGATCATGTTCTGCAGGTTATGGAATATTCGGAGCAGAGAGAGAGGGCGGAGAGGGGAAAGTTCTCATACTGACATGGTTGGTTCTATTGGCGTCAATGCGCGTATGGTTGTGCATATTTGCATAGTAATTACCTATATACACATTACATTCTAGGGTCCAAAAAAGCGAAAGAAAGGGAAATATAGAGTACGGCATGGTTGAATCAGCTGTGGTGTTTCTTTTTCTTATATTCTCAAGTCTGCAAGTGAAACGCTTTTCTCATTCCTATTTTTTTCACGTAGCTCTGATTTTTTTTCCCTTTCCATCTTACGGTCCCCAGCAGCGGCCATGTTTCCCGTTTCCAACCTCCTCCGAGCATCCATCCTCTCTTCCCCGGACCTTTGCCATTTTAAGACGAAGCGGTCTGAGTTATTTTCAGTTTCGTGAACATAGTCATCCGATCGTGATTTGATCCATGTCTGCACCCACATCCGTCTACACATTTCAATAGGCCCAAACCTCGTGGGTAAGCGGATACTCCCGCGAAGGGCACATTATAAGCATGTAAGGTCCAGCGATCAGTGTCATGCATGAGATTACCAGCATTTTCTGCTGCTGCAGGTTTCCACATTCTATTTCTAGAGCTGTGATGTGCTGTCAGACCGTGACGGTCACACTCGCAACCGCAACGATCCGTGCTGTGAAGTGCCTTGCAGAACCTTCATTTTTGGGGGGCTGAACCCAAACTATCGGCAAGTACTTTGGGCACGGTTTCTTGTTAAGAGCAGAACCAGGCCGGACTGTCCGACTTGGGCGTTAGCAGGAGCAGAGTCTTCTAGCTATGCGCTCAGGCACATGTCTCCAACATCTTGTCCAAGACGCCCTTTAGAGTGTCATTTTCCAAGGCCGCAGCTACGCGCTCCTTGTCGCTCAGCTGCTTATTCACCTGATCATCCTGGCTGTGGCTGTTCTCCTTGCAGCGCACAACGACACGGTAGTTGGGGGGGAGCGCTTGCTCAAGGCGCACCCGTACACCGAGACCGATGACGGTTGCGAGCGAGCAGTGTGTGATGGTCGGCGTGATCTCGACAGCGACCTGGACGATGGTGTTTGGAGAAGGGGCACCGAGAGAAGGGGAGGGCGTGATGTGGATGTCTGGAAGATTGATGACGGACAGCTGTCCAAGAGAGACAGGGTGCTCCGGATCAGATATAGTGGAGATTAGATCTATAAGGATCGGTTAGCGACTGGGCAACGACGGGGCGGACGAGTACGTGATGATGAGGACGATGCGAAAACGTACCGTATATCTCCTGTTCATCAATGGGGTCACTTTCGAAGTCATCTTCGTACGAGTTGAGTTTCGGCCACGAGACAGCCTTCAGGTCATCTACGGAGAGGGGCTGAGAGAAGTATGACGGCTTGGAGAAGATGAGGTCACCGAACTTGGAGTCGGGGCCCTGCCTGGGAGCCGTCTTCTTCTGTCGCGTGGGGAGCTGGGATGCGCTGAGGATGGTTGGGTTAGCGTTGTCGAGCGCTGCAGCGGCCATGTTTGGAATCAACGGTTGGGACGAGGACGAGGGCGAGGAGTTTTCCAGAAGGGTCACAAGGCCAGGGGGCGACACAGAGCAAGCTTCAAGATCAAATGGGTTGGTGATGGAGGTGCTGCAAGCCGGCGGTGATATGTCTGGGTGGTGGATGCGCGGTTTGAACAGGGTGGGTGCATATCCAGCATGGAGGGGTAAGTGCTGCCCTGCCCTGCCTTCCTGGCCTTACGTAGGTAGGTACCTTACCACTGAGCCGTCCACACCGCATCGCACCGCACCGCACCGTGGCCGCAGCATCCCAGGGACTGCTAGCAGGGGCAGCAGCAGGGCCTTCGGGTGGGCCCTGGTACCCTGGGTCCCTGTTCCACAAAAGCTTGAGCTAGACAAGCCCTCGGCCGGCAGTCTCCGCCGCGTGCTCTCGAGGTACATTGGGTAGGTACTCTGTTGGTTCAGGTGCGGCAACAGCGCGACGAGCCAAGTTTGTTTGGAACTGAACCACCGCCTGAAACAGCGCCCCTCAAGAGCTTCAAGTGCCGGTCTAGCGGTCTGAAACAACGAGTTGGAGTCCCGATGGGGATGGAATGCGAGCCTGCACGTTGGGGATTGCGAATCTACGGCGAAACATGCGGAATACTTGGCGGGTTAAACCATGGCCGAAAAGCTTCTTTCCGCTGGGAGATACGTACCCCGTAAGCAGCGTAAGGCTGAGTGAATGATGAGATGCAATGCGATGCCATGCGATGGAAATCCATCAATTGTGTGTGCCTGCTTCTGAACAAGGCAGGTGGCTGGCATCCCGGCCTCAGCTCTGAGCACCGAGCTCAATACGAGGGGTAGCCATAGCGGCGAGCTGGGCACCATCCACGAGTTTTCCTGCCATCCCTGACGGATCTGTGCGCATCTTTCGAGTCCAAGCCCAGCGCTTCGTGGGTAGGGCCTAGAAATGTTCTCGAAGGCCTCCCGATCCAATCAACCATCAGCCCTCAGAAGTTCCGTAGCAGTAAAGGGGGTCGAGTCTGTGGACATGGGGGTCACCTCCCACACATAGATGCGGTGATATGAGCCGATGGGAAACTCCGTCTTCGTGGAGAGTGTGATCGACCCTGCTCTCCCTTTCCTTTCTGTTCTCTGGACGCTGCTGTTCTGTGGTGGACCTCCATCTTTCCTCGTTTCCTCTCGCGCTGGCTTGGGTGTGGTGGAACTGTTCATGGGAGGTAGGCTACACAGTATAGTTGTGGCTTGTTCGTACGACAGCCGCTGGGTTCAATTGTCGTAACATGTCGTGTAAAGAGCACTGCCCAAAGAGGCCCGCTGCATGAGATGGGATCCACAGCTTCGCGTCTCCTGGAACCAAAGGCCCTTTTTACACCAGGTAGGCTCGACGCCCAATGGCCGTGTGTGTTTCCAGGCTCCTCTTCCCATCCCCATGGCCAGCCCTCGATTGGAATCTGCCCGCAGAGCTACCGAGTGGAAGCATGCATGCTTGCATGCATACTGGCCAGGGTCCAGCCACGCTTTTCTTATTGATACTGTTGCATCAGTACGCCGGTAGCCCAGCACACTCTGCGTGGTCACATCCAGGTTCTACCTCCCATCAGGCACCTGGAGGCTTGAAATGCCTCGGCTCGCTGCATACACTAGTACGCCCTGGCCCAACCACAAATGACAAAGGACGGTGTGGTCTGTACATGCTGACAGGAGCATGTGAGACCGGCGCCTGTATCCTTGTCTCCCTGTTTTGCTTGCTGGGAGCGACCCATATTATCCAAATGAATCTCTTAAATAATGGGATGTTGATGTCATTTCCGAAACTCCGGGTTCTGGAACGCGCAAACTCCCGTGCGTTTTTTTTCACACCGGCTGCATTATTCGGGCGGGAGAGGAAGGGGGCAAAACTAGGACTGATCAGGCATATGTTAAGCCACTGCATCGGCACATCCTGAGCCAACGCGCATCTGGTGGCGAGCTGCGCGGACTTTGCTTCTGTGAGAGAGAATTGGTCGGTATATTGATGAACGAACAAGACGTGAAGCCCCCCAGGATATGCCTGGCGAGCTCCGAGAGCGGAGCGGGCTGAGAATCAAAGCCTTGTTCGTCTCTTGATCAAGGCTCCCCCTGTTTACTCCAGATGTTAATGATCCTAACGACAGGCAAGGCGGCCAGCCCTGCTGAGCCAAAGCAATAGTAATGAAAAGATCGATAGTGAATGTGCAGGTGGCTAAGAGTTGCGTTCGACAACAGGTTTGCCGACCGGATTGCTCACACGCGTGAGAAGCAAGCCCCTGTCTCGGGGAACCGGGCTAGGGACGGGTTTGGCGGAGCCAGGATGTCATCCAGAGAGAGGAGAGACTGTATTCAAGAGACCCAAAAGCCGTCATCTCAGGGTTAATTAGCGAGTGGGGAACAGGATAATATGTAGAAGTAATATTGTTCGCTTCACGAAGACTGCTGATACGCCCAAATGCGCACGGGGAACCCGTGGGTTTTCGGCTGTATGTATTTCCAATGATGACACATCTGCTGCACTCACTAGTGATTTCCTTTACTGTCAAGGGCATTATTGAGTGGGTGTTCGCAAGCTTGCCTCTGCCTGCTATTCTGGAATGCTTTGAGGAGTGGGAACTAAGACCAAAGTTCCCAAGCCCACTTGATTGGGGGATTAGCACCTCATCAAGCTTTGACGGTCGACCCGGGAGACGCTACATAGTGACAGCGAAGTCTCTCCGTAGTGTTGTCATCGCGGATACCCGACGCGTACTTTTGCCGTGGTGGCAAGAAAAGGCAGAAGAAGTGCCAACGGCGGGCATCCAGACAATGTTGGACGGTTGCAGATGAGCCAAGCCGAATCACGATCACAAGGTGGGATTGTAGAGTCCTCTGAGTTTCACTTGGTGGTTGAAGGAGCCCGCTCTATCGTTTCATGGTTATTGCGATACCCATCATGGGACTCGGCTGGCTGCATATGTTGGCTGGAGACTAGCGTCGGCAAACGTGAGCATGTGCAGCCGCTCGTAAATGCGGAGAGCGACTAGGGAGCCTTACTCTTACTCGAGATCCCGACGGCCTAGTAGCTGATGTGATGTGGTGGATATTTCAGGCAAATAATCGCAAACAAGGAGCCGCCCGACACCCAGTGCAACCCTCGTGGTGCGGCCATGGCTGTATCTGCTACCTGCCGATCCGTGGCTCTGCTCGATGGCACCCGAGTACACTCTACATTGGACGTCGTAATGGAAGATGATCGCCGGGATGTCCTACTTTTTTCACCAGTAGAAGTAAGATGGAAGCCGCGAGGACGCAAGGTACGGCCCTGCCGCCCTGGCGCACATCGTGGCAGTAGGTGGCTGGCGTAATCATCGGAAAAGGGAGCACCGCTACGGTGGGGTGTCTTGGGAAAGGGAGCGACCAACCTTACCTGAAGTACAGTAGGACTCGGCTTGGATCACTGGATGGATGGTATGGTGCACTTTCTCTCAGCCTACCACCTACCTAATCGATGCCATTTCATGATAAGAGTGCGTTGTGAGTTCATCGTCGGCCAATCTACATGGCTGCAATGGCCGTTGCCAGTCTCGACGGTGACGCGAGGCCGTCGAGGCAGCCGCCCATTGTGCCCGCGAAGCCATGCAATGCAATGTAAATGCGAGCCGGTGTTTGCTTACATTTGGGAGCCTTCTCATGCTACCGTGTAACCAGCATGGAGGTACTTGGACAAAGCTCCGCCGTTGGTAACACAAGCAGCCTCGAGGTCTCAGGCCTGACTTGGCTGGCTGTCGGAGTGCGCCGACGAGCAGAGAGCCCTGGGTCGCTCTGGCTCATCCTCTTTCATCCCAGGTTTCCAGGGACTCCGTATTTGTTGGGTGTTATGGATGGTGAGGAGGTGTGCATCAGGGCCGACTGCCCCTACGTGGTACGTGTTATGGAGGCAGCATGCCGAACCTTGGTACCTAAACTGGGTGGCAGAAGAAATGAGACATCGGATGGTCTGGTATGCCGGTCCTGACCAGACCACTTTCTGCGATGATGAGGATGATGGCAGTGTAAAACGATATACGCTAGCAATCTTTAGTGCAGTATCATCTCTTGGATTTGTATTATTAGCCGTCGATAATCCGAGAATTCCGGTTGCAGACTCGAAAATAAGCAGTATGCTCGTTGAGCGTCTCAAATAGCATGTCACCCAGTTGGCACTATAGCATGCTGGACCTTATAGGCGCCCGGGGCAAGGTTATCTTCCATCCAGTCCAATGGATCGGGCTCTGAGGTTCCTTCGATCCCATGCACTGTACGTCGTCTGCCCGCTCTAGACCCCACTGGAGCCACTGTTTGACAACTCCACCGAGCCCACCACCAGCGTCTGCTACCCACTACCCAGACGCTAAGGCAGAGCCAACAGCCCAAACACTAAGGACCCCTCCACGAACCTACACCCCACTCGACTGGCAGGAGAGCGAGCCCTGGGATGGGGATGGGGAGCCAATCTTAATATCTGCCGCGACAGACCAGACCAACATTAACCTCAATGGGATGGGGGGAGATTTAGGTGATGACAATCGGGCCCTGGCCGCGGTGCGCCTGCTCCTCGACGCGCAGACCGGTCATGATCTGGTGAGCAGCCTCGTCGCATAGCACATCATTTCCCGGCATGAGATTGTCCGCTACCCCATGCTGCGCAAAGGCACCTACCGCTGCTCGCTTACTAGCGTCGCCCATCATTGCCCTGGATCGATCTGGACAGGCTGGGAGGCCACCGAGCTGGAGTTGGGCGCAAAGTGTCATGGATACATGCCGTGGGAGGAGTCGGTGCTAGTTCTAGGAGCCCGGGCTAGCAGGACACCCTAAATTCTGCGAGTGATTGTGCGTCACCAATGCCGTCGCAGATGTGCAAGTATCATTATTACATACCGCGCACTTACGTATTGGCAGAGACAGGGGGGCGTTTCTGCAGGACCCGGCCTGGGGCTATAGCGCCCATCAAAACTGTAAAATCCAAGCATGGCACTGGACCCAAGCGACAGGGTCAGCCCATCCATCGTTATAAGCCTGGACCATCTGCGAGCAGTCCTCCGGCACGCGCATGCACCCCTCCCTCCTTTGCCGGCCAACCCATCGACCATCGACTTCCTCAGAGTCTATGCGGCAGACGGCCTTATCCACAATTTGATGCCTGCACGCCCGTGAACGTGGATGAGGGCGAACCAGAGACACGCCAAAGTGCAGATACAAACTGTAGTTTATCTGCTCTACACGCCACCGCCGTCCGATCCCGAGCCGACCTGTCCTGCGACCGACGACGTCGACTCGACATACCCAAAGCTGCTTCTTCCCCGAGCTGAACAGAGTGACTACACCGGCTTGCATTGTCTCGCCTCGCTTCTGCCGTCGGTTCAGACGCCAACCTGCGACTCTAACGCCGACCGCTCCCGCTTGCGTATTTGAATTGCCGCCTCTGGTGCCCGCGGACCTTCTTGTCGACTTGATGTCGACTGTTCCCGCCTGGTGAATTCTCGACAGGCTTGGGACGACAGTCTCGAGCCATCACATCCATCATGTCCCAGGACCCAAATGCTCGCGTCCTCCTCCCTCAGAACCCGCCGAGCGCACATACACCTACCTTCTCCGTCGCGCCGCAGCAGTATCCTCAGAGCTCCGCCCAAAAGAGTTTGCGAACCCCTCTCCCCGCCGGTAGGGCCTGTCCCTTGACTTGTTCACCGTCTAATTTCTATATCCGCTAGACTATGTGTTTGTCGACGAACATAACCGCCACAAGCGGTTAAAGGGTACGTCTCCAACCGCGAACCCAGCGCATAGCATCCTACTGACAACGGTCGTGCAGTGATGAGGGCTTGTGAGGGCTGTCGTAGACGAAAGATCAAATGCGATGCCGCGACTACCAACACATGGCCCTGCTCAGCCTGCGTTCGACTGAAGCTGCAATGTGTGCGACCGAACGGCTACGACGGGTTTGCCGACTCTGGCTTCGAGACCTCGATGGGCCAGTCAGATCAGATGCAGCAAATGCAGATGCAGCAACCCATCATTCACCCAGCACAGAAGCCTGGACCGCCTGTTTATGCTCAAACTTACCAAGATATGAGTACCTCTGCATACCAACCAGTGACATATGATCCCGAGCAATCGCAGGCACATGGTATGAATTACACCACTGTCTCTCATGTTCCTGTCATGGATCCTACATATCAGCAGGGTTTATATCAGCCTCCTCAATTGCAAGTATCTACGAGGCATGAAGCCTCGCCCGAAGCTTATACACCGGATTCATTACAACAGGGCGATTTGGCAGACTTGCTGGGAAGTTTAAAGGTGGACGAGAAAGGAACAGGTGAGCTCCTTTGCTGAATTTTTACGCCTCCCAGTGATCTAACATCAGCACAGCACCCTATCTGCGAAACAAGGCTTCTTTTGTGCGCGAAGAGCCAGCAATGGAGGATGATGATGAATACCAAGTTGACCTTCCACCGGCTCCTGGCCCTGGGTCGAAGATTCGAATCCCGCCTGAGTTGATGCCCGAAGAATCCGTCGCTCTGAGTTACATCGAGGCCTTTTTCGCGCACGTCCATCCATATGTACCAGTTCTAAACAAAGCGAACTTTCTTCACCAGTGGCACACAAATAGGGATTCTATTTCCCCCTTGATCTTGGAAGCCATTTTTGCTCTCGGTGGCCATTTACGAGATGACCCGAGCGATGGCCAACAATGGTTGGCCCTCTCATCTAGTAAGCTTATTTCTTATGCGCCCGGCGTGTTATTTTGCTAAACAAGTCCAGGGCATGCGGATGCCTTCCTCGATGTTCCAAGATTAAGTACCCTTCAGGGTTTATTACTGCTTCTCAAGGCACGGGAGGCAGTTCCAAAACGAGGCTACTATTACCGTTCATGGATGACAGTGGTTCAGTGCGCCCAGATGGGCAAAGACCTCGAATTGGACGAACATCTCGATGACCACGAGTCAGGTCGTGGGTGCGACTTCAACACTGCTGATTGTCAGCTTCGCACACGAATCTGGCAGGTGGTGTTTGTTTGTGAAGTCATGGTTGGCGCGCCACAAGGTTTGTCGAAACTCTTTGCTCTACAAAATAAAAATTTGGAATAGGGATGACGGAATATTGATTGAGAGAACTAGGACGCTTCGATCTTTCGATCCCGGAAGATACTGTGGACTTTGATGTCCATCCCTCCACTGTTGATGGAGAGGGAGACAGGACCTCACGCAACTTTACTTATCTTGCACGCGTTGTTCGCAATGTCAAGCGACTGAGCAGCGTGTACATGAAGGTGAGGAAGAAGAAGGAATGGGGCATTGACCCTAGAGTCCAACAGTTGAAGGCCGGATTCGATTCCTTCTTGACCGAGCTCCCTCCCGATCTTGCCGTTAGTTTCCCCCCAGATGGCTCTTCTCCATGGATCCAGGACCCTTTCACTGGAAACTTGCTGTCCTACTTCTACCTCACATTGATTCTGTATCATCGGCCACAGCTCTACTCCATTGACCCAACGGCCAACCCTGCGCAGTGGAAGCACCATATGGTGATCTGTTATGATTCCGCCAAGGCTCTCTGCCGGTTACAGGAAGCGACTGTGGCAGCCGGCGGCTTGGGAGCGCTGCAGAGCATGCAGCGGGGCTACAGCTTCACGGTGTACGCTGGGTTGTCTTGCATTGTGCTTCATTTGGTATGTTGGCGCAGATCCACGCACTGGTGTTTATATTGTAACTCATTGTCTAGGTTGCCGTTGTTTCGCCCGATCCGGACTTGAATACAGACGCGAGACAATATTTTACCCGCCACATGAGAATCATGGAACAGGTAATGGAGGTATGGGCCATGCCCGAGCTTCGGCAACAGGTGGAGGCTGTGCGTGAAGCGTTCTCGGCGGACATGCGGAAGCCCTTTGTTCTCAAACCATCGTTTCCTTATGGGAGCCCGCATCCCTCAAACAGCTCGACCTCCCCTAACAGGCCGCATGGCTATAGACCGGATTTTGGTCGGACTGGATCTATGGACCAGCATCTTGATGCGCAGAACGCTCAAAATGTTAGTTATATTGGACACCCCATCTCTCCCCCAGTGTCGATCGGTACCACGGATAGCAAAGGTGACTCTCCAGCTGGACAGCCCCTCATGATGATGTCCCAAAGTGGCCCAACGCCGGGACTACAAAGCTTGCCGCTCGCAGAACAACCTGCTTGGAACCCGGCCAGAATCTTCGAGTGAGTGCTCGAGCGTACCTTTCGGATCCCAACCCTCGCAACTAACGTCTCTCCTTAGGCACTGGAATACATCCTTCGGTACGCCTGCTCAACCTAATGCATCCTCAGCCCCACAGAGCCGGTCCCTAAATCTTGATACTTCAGGTACTGCTCAAATCTCTGGCATCCAGGAATACCAGGATCCGAATGCAGGAGCAATGAGTTCCAGCCAGCAGTCAATTTCGCCGCAGCAGTACACTGCAGCTACAATTCCTAATTTCGTGACGCCGGCAATGTGGCAGGAATCTGTGGCCAGCGTGTATGAAGGCGGTCTTAAGAGGGCTTGGGACTACGACTCAGGCCCCATGATGAAACGACGTCAATGATCAGCTCGCTCTGCTACCCGTGCTATCTCTTGAAACCGCGCGAGACCCGGGCTCTCGTCGATGGCAATGAGCTTCTCACACACGTTCTAGGCTCGTTACATGAACTCTTTCCCGGGACCGCACCGTATGGAACGGCGTTTTTTTTGGCTATCGAATTTCCTGGATTTCAACTTACCCGTCTTCTAGGTGGATTTTTCACCTGCTATTTCTTGCATATATCTTGGCTCGTTTTTGCAGCACCGCTGCCTGTATACTTCTATGGTACTGGTGTCGAGAAAGAAAAGGGGGACATCATGTGAAATGATCAAGCATTGACCGTACACGAGGAATGCATCAAGGAACGATATTTTGAGAGTTTGCATTTTTTTCCCCCGAGGCAGAGAGACGTCGGCCGCGCGGTAATGGTACTTCGAGCCATCCCAAGCCGGCGCCGTTCTCCCCAAAGCCTCAATGATGCTATGGATTATTGCTTCTTGCTTTGACCGCGTTCATTTCTCTTCTTTTTACTTGCCCTTCTCGTGGGGACGAGAGACATCTCTATCTACGGGGGAGGGTGAGAGTTTGACCGGACGGCTACTTGGTTTTGATACATTTTTTGTATTTATCCTGGTGTGGCAAAAATGGGTTGCTTAATACTCCCTAGGATGGACGGACAGGGTTTGGCGATATGGCTTCATTCTTGGAGTTGGGAGTGTAGGATTAGGGTATCCCCCGATGAGGAGAGTCAAAGGGCAACGGGAACCTCGGCTAGGCGCTCTGCATTTTTGTATTGATTTGAGTACGGATAGCGATGATACCACAATGAATGTGCAGGGCTGTTACGCAAGCTGTGATCCTTTGTAGCATGGCCCAGTGTGAACTGTGTAAACTGTGTATGCTGTAGGCAAGGAGGAAAGAATCCACTATATTCTCTGCACATCGTTTCAACACAGATATCGGCCCATTGTCTTGTAGAAATTTGCCTCGTGATACGCTGGTCTATTGCTGTCGCGGCAAGTGTCGAATATAGAACCAGGCGGCTCAAAAAAAATAACAGTGCTCGTTCGTACGTGCTTCTAACCCAGCTGCAGGAACAAGGGGTGCGGATCGGGAACGAAGCTTATTACACATAAGCTTGCCGAGCACGCAAATGAAAATTGCGCAATCGCCGCTGGAATGCGTGCCAGCGTAGCAGCGATGCCTCTTGGCAGAAACCAATGGCCGGAGGCACGTGGGGGGTTTAGCCGATGGCTCATGGTGGCTCACAGCAAAAAAATGAACATGGGCTGCTCACGCTAGTTTAAATATCCAAGTAAGAGCCAGTTCGCCGTGCTGCGATTGTCTCCCTTTCTGCACGACGCGAACCCGAAGCGACATCAATTGACCATGTCTGGACGAACTGAGGGACCAGCCCGCGATGGGGGAGTAGCAGCAGCCGCGTGGGATACGGTCCGGGCGAATTGGCACCTGGGCTTCACGGGGTTTGGCGGCCCGCCTGTGCACTTCAAGATCGTAGGTGACACCAGTCCATGCTCTTGATGGGAGGTGTGGTGGGCAAGGTGTGTGTTTCTACTGACGATATTTCACAGTTCCACGACAGATTTCTGGCTAAGCTGCGATGGATTGATGAGCAGATTGTAAGGCGCCATAAAGTCCCTACGTATAACATAGCGGAGTGGCTTGGCTGACACGGGCTCTTTGCATCACAGTATCAGGAGTTGTTCAGCGTCTGTCAGGTCCTGAGCGGACCTGCGAGCACGAAGATGCTCTACTGTATTAATCTCATCCATGGCGGGTTCACCTCTGCCGTGCTCGCTTTTTTGATCTGGAGGTAAGGTTGGCAGTTTCGTTCCAAGCTATCCCGTACTAATAGAAAATGAACCCCATCGCCCTCGAAACATCCTTGATCAAGTACACTGACCTCTCACGTACCAAGTATCCCCGGGGCGCTGGGCATGTACGGCCTCTCCGTCGGCGTCTCGAACATATCCGACACGCTGCCCAGGCAAGTCTACGCGCTCCTGTCCGGTCTGAATGCAGCGGCCGTGGGCATCGTCATCCTGGCGGCCGTCGAGCTCTCCCAGAAATCCATCACGGACAAGGTCACCCGGATCCTCGTCTTCCTCGCCGCCGCCGCGGGGCTTTTGTACAACGCGCTGTGGTACTTCCCGGTGCTGATGTTCCTGGCCGGCCTGACGACCATTGTGCATGACTTTCGCTGGCTGCACGGTCCAGTCAAGGCCGTGATCAACCTATTCCGGAGAAGGAGCGGTGCAAATGTAGCGGATGTTGAGGAGGTTGAGATGGCACGCCGCGAGGAGCAGAGGAGCGAAACCAGCCCTGGAGAGTCCGCGAGGGCGTCGAGGGATGTTCAACGCCAGCTCACACCACCACCGGAGGAGCATGATGCCAGCAACCGGGTCGGCTCTTCGGCCGAGGATGAAGTACGAGTCGTTCCTCCGGAGAGACGCTTCGACATGTCCTGGAAAGTCGGTCTTGGTGTTGTTGTTGCATTCTTCATCTCCTTCATCGTCGTCATGGTTCTCAGGGGAGTACTGCCGCAGAAGCCCCTGCTGTATCAACTCTTCTCCAACATGTATCTTGCGGGTACCATCATCTTTGGCGGTGGCCCTGTAGTGATCCCCCTGCTGCGCGAATATGTGGTCGCGGAGGGTTGGGTCAGCCCGAGAGACTTCCTCATCGGGCTGGCCATCATCCAGGCCTTCCCGGGCCCCAACTTCAACTTCGGAGTCTACCTCGGAGGGCTGACGGCCGCTAACGCCGGGTATAACACTGCCCTCGGTGCTCTGATTGGCTATCTGGGCATTTTCCTCCCGGGAATCTGGCTCGTCCATGGGACCATGGGGATATGGAGTGCAGTACGCGCGGTGCGATGGGTCAAGTCCATGGTACGAGGCGTCAATGCAGCGGCCGTTGGTCTCATCTACACTGCTGTGTACCGACTTTGGCAGATCGGGTATATTGATGAAGGCTACAAGACTGGGACGAGCATGGCCGTGGAGCCATGGTGGGTTGTTGTAACGGCCACGAGTTATGTAGGAGGGATGTGGTTCGGCGTTAGCCCGCCGATGACGATCGTCATGGGCGGAGTGATGGGCCTGATATGGTACGGGGTGGTGACGGCTTGATATGGATATGGGAAAGGACGAGAAGAAGGTCTTTCTTATTTAGACGCTGGGAGATCTTTTGGAATTTTCTGCTGGATAGCTTCCCAGATCCACCATTGAACGAGGTCTGGTTTTGGTGTTTGATACCTTACCTTGCGTGGCTGTCCAGGACGTCCCTCCTGGATATAGAATTTATCAACAGCACGCCACATATACCACTTGCGATTTGCATTCTCCTGTGCTGCCGAATCCGGGCGTCGAATATAGTTAATAAGGCCGAAGCGTCGCTTGGCTGGTAGGAGATCCCCAGCTGCCATGGTGCTCTGCCTGGGCTTGGCGATGAAGCTCATCGTCGTGAGGGTGACCTTGGTCGAGGGAGGCATCTCGGAGCGGATGAACCGCTCAAGGACCGCCTTGGAAGCCCGGGCCTGAGAAGGCAGATTGACGTGAACATGTGTCACGAAGGATGCAGTTGTGAAGGCGACGAAGATAGGGGGCACAATGCCGCAGAGCAAAACCTGAGCTGTGTCCCAGGCCGGCTTCTCGGACTTGATGTAGGTAGGCACCACGATCCCACAGAAGAATGCTCCGATGAAGAGCGAGGTGACCTTTAACAAGGCAATGAAAGTTGTGCGGGCGGTGCCGGCATGGAAAATAAGCACCCTCGCTGGAAGAGCTACATGTTTCAAGGTCAGCCAGTGCCATTTGCGCAGAATCATATGAAGCCTTGTCTTGTCACCAACCATGTTCTTTGGAGTTACTGGCCGCGGCCTTTGCAAGCCGCTTGATCTCTTGCTCAGCACGGGAAGGTTTTGATGTTGGTTGGGCATAGAAACGACACTGAAGAGATTTCTGGGCAGCTGAGCGCAACGAGGAAGGTGAGGATGATGGGAGCTGCAGTTTTCGTGTTGGTGACATCAATTGGGTGCACCTGGGGCGTAAGGACGCCAGCACTCGGCTTCTGAACATCATCTTGAGCTGTTGGTTGTGTGATGGCGAGTGAATTGCCAGATTCATGAGTGAGATTTTCGAGCTGTCCCCAACAATGAAGCTCCGCGATTTGTTGGAGACGCGTGTTAATTAACTAGCAAGTACCTACAGCTAGCAGACTGCCGCTGAACAGGGGTTCATTTCAGGGGACGTCTGGGGGGTACGGTGCCCACTATCGCTTCGTTTAGCGCCTCAAGCTCCCCGAGCTTCGCTACAAGGACTGATGCTCGCCACCTGCGATTATATCACCATGGTCACTGTTCAGACAATGAGGTTGGAAATATCATCGGCATCGGGGCTTTGATTGACCGGGTTCGTTTTTGATTACTATTGGACCTATTCACAACTTACTACGATGACCATGGCTCGAATTTTCTAGTCAAACGACATTCTTGGTCAGCCACTCCTTCCACTGATCAGGAGTCCACCCGGAGCTGATATCTTGAACCACGCCGTCAAAGACACCGGTGGGAGTGACATGGACGCCAATGAGACGGTTCATCTTGGTCACAACCTTGAGGTCGGCCGTGACCCCGTTGCCCGAGTTGAGCGAGCCGTCCTCGCCTGGCTTGTCCGGGATCACGAGCAGCTTGTAGACCTGGTCCCGGTCGACGCCAACGCTCCCAGCGAGGTCCGCCAGGCGCCTGTAGGTGTTGTTCCTGGTCTCATTGACGACGTTGACGTCGAAGTATGCCTTCTGGTCCTCGAACAGCTTGGCGCTAAAGTCCCAGAACTTCTCGGGCGCGAGCTTGAGAACGGCCAGGGCGGCCTCGTGGACCAGCGTGGACGAGGGGTGCCAGGGCTGGACCTGCTGGCGGAAGATGAGGGTGAAGTTGGAGGCCCAGACGGGGTTGGCGCGGATCAAGGGCACGACCTGGGTGGTGAACGTCTTGAAGATCTTGGCGGAGAAGGGGCAGACGTAGTCCAGGTAGAGCTCGAGAGTGTGCGGAGCGGGGGGGACGGCGGCATTGGGCTGGGCCAGGTCCCCAAAGTGCAGTTTCTGGCCGGCAAACTTGGGAGGGAGCGCCATTGTGGTGGGATTCGACAGAGAATAGTGGCAAGTATTAAATTAAGTGCTGTAGCTTGTTGTGTTTGAGCGCGAGCAGATGATGATTCTTTATCTACAGCTGCGGTGTTTGGACGTGGATGCTTTCATGTGTTAGCGGGGGTGAGTGATGTGATTCGCATGGCACATTACGTAGCTTCAATGATGTCAAGCAGTCACCAATAATTCGTCAATGTGTTTGGTGGATCTCAGTGCTGTCTATAATATATAATTGGCCCGGCTTGTCGGCACTCGCTTACTACAGCATGAGATGAAACTCATGATGAGCTCGCAAGAATTGGAGAGAGTTTGATAAGCATACGCTGAGCGTATCCATGGATGCCAAAAAAACATGGATCTAGCTAGATGATACACCGTACAACGCGACATTAATATTAAGGTTTACCATTTGAGAGCCGGTGACCTCTTTGGGTTTCTGCTACAGTATTACATACACTCTTTGGACGTTATGCATTCGTTTTGTTATTGTATGATTCACCCGCGTGATACATGTTCTTCCCCCACTTAGACCATCGCCGCCAACCCCCGGATTATCTCAAAAGGCGATTGGAGCCAGGAGCAACGCCTGTCATGAATGTTGCCTATGCCGCGGTGCTATCTAGGAGAAGGATTTTAGGCCTGGAGTGGGGTTTCTCAGACCATCCAGATAGGTGCACCATGAGTGAAGTTCTTGCTTGTCTTGTACGCCGAGTTTATTCCCAAGTTTCACCGCTCCCACGTGGACATTTACCCCAGTGCAAGAGTACGTGGACAACGGCCTGCGTGTCTCGCACGCCACGGTGACCATCTAGACGCCTAATGATCTTACAGATCACATACCCAGAAGCGTATCAACCAGTGGTGTTTCATTGCCCAACCCCAGGAAGATGACGGCGAGACCGGGGCCCCTCTTCTTTCTGCACTCATGGTTGGATGTTGGCTATGGGCGGCATCGTGACGTTCAGAGGGCCGCCTGCCATTGGGTGGCCGAGCGGCACCTTGTTGTCCACCCGAGGACGGGAGATGTCTTGGGGATTGCAGCTCCTAAATCTTCCGGGTGGGTGCCGCGGCGGTGGTAGTCGGGTGCCGTTCTATCACACCGGCTCCACGTCATGCGAATGCACCATTGTCACCAAAGGGGATAGTGGCTGTGTCGAGATTTCCCCCGCTTGGCCGTGCAAGGGTTTTACGAGGTTTCCAGGTGATGTTCATCAAATACAAATCCTTTGGCCGGGATGGTGTTTTATGTTTTAACGGAGTTGAGAATATGAGAGCTGCTGAGGGTCGGAAGCTGGCCGACTGATGGGGACAGAGCCTTGGGCTTGTTAAGTCTATCTCTGCTGCAACAATGGCGGAGGCGCGCTCGGCACTGAAGCCATTGGCTGCTGCACTCGGATCTGCTGCATTCCGGGGTCGTAGTGCCTGTGCCCCTCGCTGAGTTCGGCCTAGCGGTACCTTTATATTGCCATCCAGGGTGGGACCGTTGCCGAGATTGTCTCGAGTCTAAGGTTAAGTAGAGGCCATTCTGGAACCTTTCCCCCATCGCCAAGTACTTACACATCGTCTCTCCAAACACTCACTCTTCGTCGTCTATTGCTCGCCCACTTACTATCCGTACCAGACATACAGGCATACGTAACCGCTCAACCATCAACGGACGCCCCAAGGTCGATTGGCGGTCACCAAATCGAACCACCATGATCTGTCTTTCCAAGGCCGACGAGGGTACCTTCCGGCATCTGACATACAATCAGAGCCCCTCCCCCCTCGCTGCCGAGAACACCACCTGCGAGGACATGAATGGAATCGCTAACTTGAGGGAGCATGTTGCTGCCAACCAAGACGATGACTCGGGCGGAGGCCTCTGTCATTCGTCGGCTCCGGATGAAAAATGGCAACATGGCGAACAGCCTCCCGGGCCATGGCCGCCATTGTCGGGTACGGGATGGTGGTCTGCAGGTTAGTCACCCTACCGTGTTTTCTCTGTCGTACTGATGTTGACAGATTTTGAACAGGATCTATCTCGTATCTCAAGGCAGCAACTGGTGGTGAAGACCAGAACTGCCGTAAACAGGTAACCTCGCCTTCCTGGCTCTCGCGCCTTGTGGGTGTAATTACCTGGCTCCTATCTGTTCTTGTTGTTTCATTCCTTCTGAATGAATGGAACTCTCGTGGAAACAATACCTCTGCATCGTCTACCCAGTCTACTACTATTAACCCCGTTGGTTTGGCCCCTGTTGATGTTAACGCGCTGTCTGCCCTTGCCTCTCGAGCCCCCAAGGATGACTTCTCCGTCGGGTTGCTGCGAAAACGATCCACATGTACTGTGGGAGGCGTATCACCGGAGTCGTACAACCTGCCGCTTCATGTTGGCGCCCTCATCATCATCTGGTTTGTCTCGAGTTTGGCCTGTTGCTTCCCTATCTTGGCAAAGCGGTTCCCTGGCTTACGAATTCCCCAAACTTTCTTCTTCTTGGTCCGACACTTCGGTACCGGTGTTCTGATAGCTACAGCCTTTGTCCATCTCTTGCCAACCGCCTTCCTCTCTCTTGGCAACCCATGTCTCGGCGACTTCTGGACAGTCAAATTCCCTGCCATGCCTGGTGCCATCTCTCTTGGAGCCATCTTCCTTGTGACTATCATCGAGATGGTCTTTCATCCAACTCGTCGCTGTACTTCAGGTGTCGATGATATATCTGGTGGCATCCAGCTCGAGGAATCCGCAGAGGAAGCACGCATTGAACATTCGAACCCGATACGCGACATGGCACCACCTCGAGGCAGAACTAGCAGTATAGGCCATGGCCTTAATCGTCTGCAAACAAGAGAGGAAAGCGTCGAAGAAGACGAACAATATAATCCTCAGAGCGACGTTGAGACAAACCGGAAAGATGGATCATCTCTCGTCAAGGTCGAGACGCTATCTCCAGAACAGAAGTCTCGCAAGGAACGCATGCAATGTGTCATGCTGGAACTGGGAATCCTCTTCCATAGCGTTTTCATCGGAATGGCTCTCAGCGTCGCTATCGGCGATGATTTTGTTGTCCTTCTGATCGCAATCGCCTTTCACCGTAAGCACCCACCTCATCCTCCTTCTGAAGTTTAACCTCAACTCACACAATCTCTAGAGACGTTTGAAGGCCTCGCCCTGGGGTCCCGTGTTGCGGCTGTGACTTGGGGTAATAAAAAGTATCAGCCCTGGATGATGGCTGCGGCATATGGCTTGACGTATGTTCTCCCACCCCCTTCCCTCCTGCCCACAACAAGTAGATGCTTACTCCCAGATAGAACTCCCCTTGGTCAAGCCATTGGCATTGCGACGCACACTCTCTATAGCCCAGACTCGGAGACTGGACTCATTGTCACCGGTGTCATGAATGCTATTTCGGCCGGCCTGCTTACCTTTGCATCACTTGTGGAGTTGATGTCCGAGGACTTTCTCAGTGATGATAGCTGGAAGATTCTTAGAGGAAAGAAGAGGGTCTTCGCTTGCCTGCTCGTCTTCTTTGGTGCCTTTTGCATGAGCCTTGTCGGCGCGTGGGCCTAAGAAGTATGCTTGCAACAGGCTCTTTTCGACTTGTCACTCAAGTCCCCCGTGGTGCATGAGGCAGGCTTTCTTTTCGAAATGCCGAACCTGGTGAGGGGCCCTCGCACCGAGCACTTGACTGGAGACAATTGCTTCCATGATCAAGAACAGATATTTCACTTCGTGTTGAACCATTTCCATCGTGTTTATGGCTATGGCTCAACGTCCATCTTACTTCCTTTCTCTTGTCCGGACTTGGCACTTAGTTAGGACATCTTTGCCTGCTCATCTTTTGGATAGTTTTTGTCTATTCTCCCTAAAATTGAAGATGATTTACTTTTAATATCTCCCGTAACAGTGCTGATAAAATAATCGTAGACAGTAAACCCCAAGTTGGCAAAATGTCAGGTATTCTATCTTCCCAAGGGCACCACGAGCCGTCCCGGAATGTGGGGGAATGCTTACATAATGTACCGCCTTGATGCCGAAACCATCAAACACAAGCTCCAACCCCGACGCAAACCGCTGTCGCAAGAGCTTTAAATCCGACCACCCTCCTTCGACCGCAACAACCATGGTCAAACCTCTCACCTTCAAGGGGGACAAGAAGCCCAAGAAGAGAAAGCGGGCAGCCGCTGACGGCGGGGAGGGCGCAGCTGGCGGCTCCAAAGACCGAGCGCTTGTCGCGGCCACCGCCGAGGAAGAAGCCGCCAACGACGACAGCTGGGTGTCCGCCGACTCGGTCGGGGACATCTCCGGCCCGGTCATGATCGTCCTGCCCACCGAGAAGCCGTCGGCCCTCTCGTGCGACGTCAACGGCAAGGTCTTCGCCATCGACATCGAGAACATCGTCGACGCCAACCCGGCGAGCTCGGAGCCCCATGACGTGAGGCAGGTCTGGGTCGCGAACCGCGTCGCGGGGACGGAGAGCTTTCGGCTGAAGGGCCACCATGGGAAGTAAGTCGTCGCGTTGCCAGCAATTGACCTACCTTTTTCTCTGTTTTCTTCGAGCTAACCTTGCTCTTTCAAGGTACCTCTCTTGCGACAAGATCGGCCAGCTGTCCGCCGGCGCAGACGCCGTCTCGCCCCTCGAGTCGTTCAACATCAAGCCCGACGCCGAGACCGGCAAGTTCCAGCTCACGACCCTGCGCGACACGTACATCTCGGCCAAGACGTCCGAGTCCAACGGCAAGCCGGGCGTGCAGGTGCGCGGCGACGCGGAGGCGGAATCCGTCAGCACCACCGTCCGGGTGCGGATGCAGGCGCGGTTCAAGCCCAAGCTCAAGGCGTCCAAGGAGGAGAAGCTCCAGTCCAAGATCAGCCGGCGGGAGCTGGAGGAGGCGGCCGGGCGCAGGCTCGAGGAGGACGAGGTGAGGATCCTGAAGAGGGCGAGGAAGGAGGGGGATTACCATGAGAGGTTGCTGGAGATCAAGGTCAAGAACAAGCACGACAAGTTTGGTTGAAAGGATGGGATGGGGTTTAGACACGCCTTATCTATATTTGAGCTCCGAAGAGTCCCCTGATACGTGGGTAGCGCGAAAGCCCTCGGATGGTCGTGACAGTGGGCTGCCTTGGGCTGGAAGATGGCATGCCGTTTTCTGTCCTCCTCGGCTCCTTATAGCCCAGGGAACAATTGAGGCCCGAGGAATCATATGGTTGCCAGAGAACATGAGGCAGTTGAGCTTATCCCGGGAATTGTTGGTTCCGTTGCTTAACCACCCACATATATTCCTGGACCGGAGGATTGCTTCATCAGAGATTACTCGCCGAGAGAAGAAATGAAAAGAAACCCAAATACCCATCTTAAAATTCATGTCTCATAAGTCAATTTCTTTTTAGTTGCCTGGTCGCCAGGCCTTGACCTTCCCGTCCTCGCCACCCGTGAAGACCATCTGGCTCTCATCAAAGAAACAATAAGCCCTTACGATCTCCTCACCGTGCGCACCAGGCAGACCAACGCTGTTTGCACGGTTCACCTCCCATGAACCCTGGTAGTTCGTCAAGAACATCAGTTCAAACGTTTGCTTGCTATATAGTTTCAGACAAGGATTAGCAGCTCCCTTATACGTAAAGGGAAACATTTCCGTAGGGTCATAATGAGGGGGGAAAGGAAAAAGGAAACTTACTCTTGCGCACCAGCACCAACGATGGCACCGCTTCCGTCATTCTTCGGCACGATATCCGCCACGTACTGGCATTCCGCGTACCCTCTCAAGTCGCCGAAATCTCTAATCGCATCCCCCGAGCCCTGGGCCTCGGAGATGTCGTAGATGGCGAAGCGCTCGTCGTGGGACAGCGCGTAGACGAGGGAGGGGCCCAGGAAACCGGCCCTGTGGATGGAAGCGTTGAGGTTGAGCGTCTGCACCGTGAGCTCGTCCTCGTCCGCGATGGAGGTGTCGTGAACGCTGACGAGGCCGTCGGTAGAGCCTGAGAGGAGCACGTTGGGGTTGGAGGGGTGGTAGGTCAGTGTGGTGATGTCGTCGGAGTGGAGGTCATGGTATGCTGCCTTTTGGACGGGTGCCGAGCGGACATCCCTTCAATAAGACTGTGTAAGTACATGGACGTTTACTACGAGGAAATGGGACAAGTCGCTCGTACCAGAGCAAGATGCTGGCCTCGTGGTTGTGAAGTTCTGTGCCGACCGCAATGGTCTGGGTTTCTGGGCTGCATGCCAATGAAGCCAGCGGTGCCTCGCTCGCTTTTCATGCGAATGGTTCACATCCTCTGTTAGCTTCTACTCGTCACTTACACAGACCGGCGCGGGCTCACTCACTGGCAAATTGCACGACCTGAGCTCCAGCTCGGAGATCCCAGACCCCGACATTTCCATTCTCGCCTGCTGTGCATACCACGTTATCTCCAAAGAGCCTCATTGTGGTGAGGTTGCCATGGTCAGTCTGGAAGCTGGAGATGGGACCCTTGCTGAGTGATGCAGGGTTGAGCAGAGAGAGCTTCTGGTCCGAGGAAATCGAGACGAGGCGACCCGAGGGAGTTCTCAGGAGATCGAGGACGTAGACATCGCTCCCGAAGAGATGCTCGTCTGTTGTCGTGAGCGTGTACATTGCAAGTCTTCCTGCTGCGATTTTGTGTGTGCTTCTTCGATGCGAAATCGTCGCTTAAAGATTTTCTGAGTTGCTCTTTTAGTGCTGGGCTGGTGCGGAGCTCACCAGATGGGCCATCTCCCACCATGTTTTGCGGTACATGCTGCGCAAGATAGTCGGGATCTGGATCAGTCTTTCAGTACCATGCCCATTGCCCCATGGAAATCAATGTCTACTCTTCTTTCTCACATAGTTCTCTAATCAAATTCTTCATCGATGCTGTATTCACCACATATGCTGACGTAATTCGTCGTTGCCATGAATCCCCATTGTTTGGACAGAGATGGCTTCGCAGATATCGCAAAGGAACGTCATTATGCTGCTATAAGTACAGTTATATTTAGCGTCGGCGTCATGAGAGGGTTTATAGTTATGTCCCTCAGAATTATGTTCTGGTATTCTAGGTATTGACTAATGTTTGTCTCTATCTCAGAGGAACTCATGTTAAGGTTGACAATACTGATAGTAGTAATACACTTGTTTGTTTTTATTTATTACTTCATGAGCTATACTTCATGAGCTAGTCTTTGGCCTGTAGCTCTTATCAAGGAGATGGTATATCCGAAATGACTCGCCGATCTATCAAAACGCCCCAGCCAATGCGAACGCAACAACCCAAACGCCAACGAGTTTCAACCTCCTTTTGTTCTTTTCTTCAGGTCCGTATAAACATTTTGTACACTGAATTACAGCCGCTCATCTTCACGCTTCAAAGCAGCACGCTCATTCACACCATGGAACGCCCGCTTGCCAACCTCGTACGTGCTGATCATGATGGCGCACGAGGGTGCAACCTTCAACATCCGTGGAATCCAGCCCTTCCACAAGCCAGTAACGCCCTCTTTTTGGAAGATCTGCAAGAGCAGACGAGCCATATTTTGTTGCTCTGGTGCAGACTTACCAGCGCCGCTGACGGTACGTGCTGCGTCGTGGTAAACCTGGGTACGAGTCTTGCCGACGTCGAAGGGGGTCGTGACAAAAGAAGCAAAAGCACCCGAAAGAGCACCGGAGATGAAGCTATCGACGAATGCCTCTGTGTGATTCTCGTAATTTTGAGGGTGGCGTCTCAAGTCACCGTGCGCAGTCAGGGGCCCATGCCGAGAATCCTCCCGAGCGGTGAGGAGTCTTGTCCGGATCGTCTCATATCCCCACCAGTAGAGACCAGAAAACGGGACGTCTCTCCAAAGCGTGAGGGTGAGGCCCCTCCATAATGACCCATAGCCATGTGCAGCAACCATCTCTTTCACACCCTTGAATGTCTCCATCATGTGGTTTGCTCCGGTAGTGCTGGAGGCGGCTTGCATCCGAGTACGGATGAGTTCGATGGGGCTGACCGTCGTTGCAGCAAACACTCTAGCAAGAGATCCTGATGTCAAAGGGGCGTAATAATCGGGGAGTTTAGACAAAGGGCTCTTCGAGTCATATCGCAGCCATTCGTAGCCAGTAAAGTAAATTATGTTAGCCGGGACTGTCATAACGAGTGTGGGTGACAGTCCTCTCCAGAGACTCGGAATTCCTTCGTTTCGGGCAATCTTTCGGATACCATCGAGAGTCGAGGTGTACGTCCGCTTCTGAACCTCCTGGACAGCACAGTCGGCGGCGTTGGCACTTGCCGCGATGCTCTCGGCACCCCTGGGCACTGCTAAACAGTATTCGGCGGTATTTCCAGGGAAAAAGACCTCTCGGCAGCAAGCCGTGACACCCACTTCACTGGCCTGGGCCACCGTAAGCTGCCTCGTCTTTATTGCGAGTTTGGAGAAGTCGATCGGGGATGTCGGCGTTCCTTGGGACTGGAGTCGGACACGAACAACGTCAAGCGGCGTGACTGCGAATATCTAATATTAGCCTACAGCTAGTCTTCAGCCGGTCGTGGCAGGGCCAGGTACTTACCCAGGAGAGCCGTGAGAAGACTGCCGGACATGGCGGAGACCATCTTTTGTCCCGAGGTGATCTCCAGCGCATGGTTCGGGTTATTATGGGAGCCATCGTGGGAGCGGCCAAGCGCTCCATTGTTCGGTGCCATGTTCTCGGCGTGCCTTGAAACTGGTTTGGGATGTTGGCCGTTTGAATTGAACTGAGGATATTTAGTCCTCAGTTCATGGCCTGGCTCGGCGCGGCCCTCGGTGGCGATCGTAAATGCCCGCTCAGTCGTGGGTTGATAGTCGTCGATTGAAGCCTCGGAAAGTGCGGGTACGTGCAATGGGGAGAAAAGGTCGAAGTTTAGGAATTGGGGGAAGAGGGGGTTAGGGAGAGGACATATAGCCTAGGTAGGGGAGAGGTGGAGGGCGGCGACTTTCCACCTAGTCGGGTCGATGACTCTGTGCCGGGCAAACTATGACATGGATGAAAGCACCGATTGATAAGGGCGGCGGGTTCCAGAAAATTTGGGCTGGAACTCTGGTTGCACCGTTTTGCTTGGACAATTTCCTAAGCCTCCGTTTGCCGGCGATGCACAATTACGGCGGGGCTTCCGATTGCCGCGACTCCGCTGGGCAGGAGCTGTACGCTATGATTGGCTCAAAAGGCCGATACGGGCCAAGACCCGCGAAGACCATCGAGGTTGGCGGCCATCGATCGTTGTAGCACTTGCGAACAGGCAAAACAGCTCGTCTTCACGTGGCAATGATCAGCTCACCCGACAGATCACATATCGCCACCACGATTCGCTGCGACGTTGGATGCTGCCAAGGGATGCGGTACCTGCCGACGAGCTCCTCTCTCTGTGCTCTGTGACGTGGGAGGTCGATAGAGTGTCGAGAAAGCACAAAGTACCTAGGCAGCTGTTATCCCCGATGGATCGAGCTACAGCCGAACATGACTACCTGCGCAGCTGTGGACAGGTACCACCTACGTAATCGATAAGCAGACAGCCCAGCCCGCTATGGTCATGTCTCTGGCCGCTAATCCTTATCCTGTTCGCCGCCCGGGGAGTCATCACAACCTCCACTATTCCGCCTCACCAGCACAACCATCAACCACGCTCACGCCGAAGCCTATTCGGGAAGACACTCAACCCTCTCCTCCATCCCATCGGCCTCTGTACGAGCCCTATGATAAATATAACGTGCTCCGCCGGTCCTCATCCTTGAAATCTCTGCATCCATCCTAGTAGTTCACAATGTATTCATTAAGCTGATTCCAATTAGAGAGCACGCAATACCCTGCCCCTCTCACCCTCTAACTCCGCTCACCGTGTCTTATCTCCTCAACCACTGAGCATCACTCTTCACATCTTATATAAACCATGTCCGGCTCCAAGGATCCTAAGAACGATCTCAACTCGGAGCTTGAGTCGTTCCGGCAGCAGTGGATTTCGGATCTGCGCCATAAGGACGAGCCCGCCGCTGCCTCAACCTCATCCGCAGGCCCCTCGCGGCCGCGAGCACCCTCTTCATCCTTCCAGCATCCCATCCCGAAGTCAGGCTACTTGCCGCCATCCGGTGGGAAGAAGAATGCCCCCGTCGAAGATGATGACGAATACTTTCAAGGCCGCTCCTTTGACGAGCTCCCGGCCCCTTCCGGCCATACACTAGCTGAAGGCCCAGCTCAGCCCTCTGGAGAGAGGAAACTGGTCTCGGCCTTGGACCATTTCGAGGAGGCCATGGAGAAGGAAGCCCAAGGAAATATGGGTGCCAGCTTAACGCTGTATCGAAAGGCTTACAAGGTAAGCATCTCCTTATCAACTTTCAGGATGATGTAATCGTCATAGTTACTAATTGTGCTTCTCTCAAGCTGGACAATGGTGTAGACAAGAGATACCGGGAGAAGCACTTCCCCAGTGGTCCCAAGCCACATGCTATATCACACCCATCGGCAGCTAAGGCAACCTCCTCTACCACTGCCGCCAAGAATCCCGCGCCTTCACAGCCCGGTGCGGCCAAGCCAGACGAGGAACCGGCGCAGCCTCTCACAATCCCAGAGCTCCTGGCAAGCTTCGCCGAGCTAAGCATCGAACCCTCACCCCCGGAGGTGGAGGGCATGCCACAACCCCCTTGCCCGATCGCCTCGGTACCAGACGAGATCCTCGTGCACGTCCTCTCCGATGTCGCCATCCACGACATCGCCGCCTTCGCCCGCCTCTCCCTGGTCTGCAAGCGCCTCGCCTACCTCGTCGCCTCCGAGAAGCGCATATGGCGCGAGGTCTGCCTCGGCAGCAAGTTCGGCTTCAGCGGCATGCGCTTCCACTGGAACACCAACGTCGACTGGACCCCCCTCGAGGAGCAGGAGCAGGAGGAGCAGGCCGACGACGGGACCCTCGTCAGCATGCGCGAGCTCGAGGCCCGCCGCGGCGCCGAGAGCCTCGCCGTCACGCACTCCCTCACGCCGGCCGTCTACCGCTCGTGGAAGGCCATGTTCCGGCACCGGCCCCGGATCCGGTTCAACGGCGTCTACATCAGCACCGTCAACTACGTTCGCTCCGGCCAGGCGTCCACCAACCAGGCCACATGGGGCGGCGCCCCCATCCACATCGTCACCTACTACCGCTACCTCCGCTTCTACCGCGACGGCTCCGCCATCAGCCTCCTCACCGTCTCCACGCCCGCCGACGTGGTGCACCACATGACCAAGGAGCAGCTGGAGTCCAACCGCGGGCGGGACCGCTCCCATGCCCACAGCCTCCCCTCCGCCGTCATGCAGCACGGCCTCAAGGGCCGCTGGCGTCTCTCCTCGGCCGTGGACCATCCGGACGCCTCGACCCTGGCCGAGCAGGAAGGGGACCTATACGTCGAGACGGAAGGTGTGGGGTCCCAGTACGTCTACCTGATGGATCTTTCGCTGCGCAGCGCCGGCAAGGGCGTCAGGAACAACAAGCTGGTCTGGAGAGGCTACCACAGCTACAACAAGCTAACAGACGACCTGGCCAAGTTTGAGCTGAAAAACGACAAGCCCTTCTTCTTCAGCCGTGTAAAGAGCTTTGGGTTCGGGGAATAAAAAACCACAAGTGGAACTCGGCCGGATAGAAATTTCCTTTCTCATATTTATCAAGTATATATATCAATATATATTTAGAAAGAAGAAAATGTTCAAAAAAGACCAGGGGAAAAGGTATATGGGATTTGTTCCCAGAGAAGATAAAAATACTTCGCGATCATTGCCTTCATATCGGCCAAAACAGCCAGGTCGTCGTAAATTTGGTTCCGTGTCCCTCTCTATGTACGTTTCGTACACCGCACACCCTGTTAGCAATCATACCAAGCCCCCCCAGCAATATCGAAACGCCTCGATTAAAAAGTTAAGGTGTTGAAATATGGTCGCTAGAGTTACGCCAAACTCTAAAAGAATCTTATAAAAATGCGAAGGATGAGAGAAAGAAAAGGAAAAAGTCAGGTAAATGCCAAGTGATGTAGTTTGTTTCCGGGGTCCCTCCCAACGCTCATACGCTTGTAGTAACAATGTCCGCTAGTAATTGCAAATGAGAAATCCAAAGGAAAAGTAGATGCGAAGGGCTAGACGAAGTCAAGAGATGACTAGTTCCCGTCGCTATATCAACATCTAGGTGGTCAAGGGAGCGTTCATTCTATAGCCGACCTCCAAGCGTGCTGGGGTAGCAGAGGCGTGGTGAATAGGCTTATTCTGTCGTTCTCGTATCGACGGGTTGTAACGTTGAGCTGCAAAATGAATTCTTGGGTGCCCAGGAAGAGTCGCTACCTCATCCGTTTTCCATCCAAGAACTTGGGGTTCTTGTCTTTATAATAATTCTCGGAATATTGCACAGTTTTCCGGGCTTCAAAGGCTGCCCGCTCCTCATCGTCCATGGTAAAGGCTTTCTTAAGCCAGCCAAATGCACTCTTTTTCTTCTTCAATGTCTGATTCGTCGTTGTCCGCGTTGTTCGTGTGGAATGTGTGACCGTGCGCATGCTAGGAGCCCCATACTGCGATCCTCCATAATGCCCACTGTCATGGTAATTCCCGCGGTCTCCATAATGCCCGGGCGCTGAACTCATAGTGGTGACACGGGCTGCGTTGGGACGAATCGGTGGTGGCATGGAGTCGGATGGTCTCCTGAAGGTCTGAGGATGGCCTCCAGGAGGTCCTGCTGCGGTATGTGGCCGCTGCTGTAGTGGAGAGTGGGGAGACGCAAGAACTGGGTGGTACTGTCTAAGCTCAGAGCTTCTCGCTTGCACCACTTGAGGTCGAAGTTCAGTTTGTGAGCCAATTCGAGTCAGGTAATGCTGACGGTAGGCATCGGCCTCGGCAGATGAAGCAGATCCCCGACCTGAGACGTCAAGATTTCGGGGCGTTGGAATAGAAGGTCGTCCGTTGGCTGAGCCGTATGAATCATGAGGCATTGAAGGCCGTCCGTTGGCTGAGCTGTATGAATCATGAGGCATTGAAGGTCGTCCGTTTGCCGAGCCGTAGGAGTCGTGAGGCCTGCGGTCTCGGGAGGTATTCACACTTGCTTCGCTGTTCCGCAGAGAACTTCGCACAGGAAGGAAAGGCATGCCAAATTGCAAGGGTGAGCCGGAATCGGAAGATCCATCAGATGGTGAAGGCGGATTATCTCTGACGATATCTCTAACCATAGGGGAGGGTAGAGGCTCAGGCGGCTGGGGCGTATAGGTTCGAGGTTGGAGTAAATACAGCTCTTCTGTCTCGGGCTCAGGTTGAGGTTCGGGTTCGACAGGCAACTTTTCGTCCATTATCGTAGCGTCCAGTACGATGAACTTGGACTCTGTATCCATGTGGAGTGTCGGCGGGTTGATCGGCGGCTTCTTCGGCGTTGACTTGGAAATCATCATTGGAGGGAGCAGAGGAAGCGCGCCAGGGACTGGGAAATTGCTGAGGCCGTCATCGAAGTCGATGTCGTCGTCATCTTCTTCCTCTTCCTCTTCCTCAATTTTCTGTGGCACTCCATCCTTCTTCATTTCGGCCTTCACCTCATCCTGAATTTCGAGTTTCACCTCAACGTTCACCTCGTCTTTCACCTCTTCTTTCACCTCATCCTTCACCTCCTCTTCCACCGAGGTGGCTCGCAATGTTGGGCCCGAACCTGAACCACTCTTGATGCTTGCTCGCCTGGCTGATTTGGGGATAGAAATAATGGAGGGAACTAATGACATGGAAGATCTATCTTTGAGACTTGGAATGCTGGTGACAGGGCTAGTCGCCACGGGAGACGAGAATGGAGGGATCGCAGACTGAAAACGATTAGCAAAGCTCTCATGAGAATCTACTGCTTGTAAACAAAATAAAACTTACCCAGGTCTTCCGACTAACTTCACCAGCTTTCTTCTCCATTTCTGCCGTCAACCCAGACAGTTCGGCCACAAGGTTTTTGATTACCTCGACCCGACCTTCCATTTCCCCGAAAGCGCTGAGCCAGCCGTCTCCATTCCCCCTCATCGCATGGAAAATATCGACAATATCCTCGTTGTCGTTTTGCCATATGCTCTCCTTGAGAGAGCTAAGCCACTCTGTAAATGAGCTCGTACACTCTTTCCCAGCTTTTACATCACCGCCCCATACCTCGATCATGGCGCTACTCCTAGCAATGATGTGCTCCAGTTTTTCGTTTCCCTCCAGCAGCTCAGCACGATAACTCCGACTTTCGAGCATCTCTTCAAAGACCTGTAGATTGGCCAATGGGACTCTAAGGTGGTCGATACGAGATTCCAAATCTGTAATTGAATAGGAAAGATCATCCAGTGTGACTTCGAGGAATTCGTCAACTTCGTCAATATGTCCTTGCAATATATTGATGACTTGGTTGTTGTCGTTGGCCATTCCGTTAAGTAATAGATATACGCCAAAGGCAATCTGGGACACTAATTTAAGGATTTCGTGTTGTTCTTGTCCGTCTCGGCGTCGCCATAGATCTGCGTCCTCGAGACCCTCATTTTTCTCCCCCATGAGACGATCGTAGCGCTTCTGTGCATTCTGTGTATCAGAACCATCAGGCCCGCGCAGCTTGGGCTTGGGCTTGCCAGAGCCCCCCCGGGTAGATTCAAGTAAAGATTCGGCGAAGGCATCTTGCATGGACGGTATCGGGTGTTCGGGGATAGGAGGGTCGTCCGGTGCTTGGTTTATTTGTTGCATGGCTGCAGAGTCATCGTCGTCAGGTTCCGGGGCTTCACGGATCGTGTTGTGCTGGGACTGGGTGTGGGATTTGGCGACGTTGGTGCTGTCGCGAGAGGGACCATTGGCAATAACTGAGACGCGGAAGCCGCCCTCGTCGAAGGTCAACGGAGGCAGCTGGATCGAAGTCATGGTTGCGACAGGTCAAGAGGCGGCCGGGATATATTGACTGCTGGCCTGACAGTGGCAGGAACCATCAGACCCAGCTATACGGGACCGATTGGCCAAAAAGGAGGCACTGCACGCAGCCGACGTTGGACAAGAAAAGAGCTGGAAGAAAAGCGCAGGCGAGCTGTGGCGTGGTGTAACGAGCGGATGCAGTTGGTTTATGGTTGAGCGAAAGGCGCTGCCAGATCCCAAATTCAAAGGATGGCATGCGCCATTGTTCGACGGACGGATCAGGGAGTCGGAGCAGCTGTGACTTGTTATTTTGCTAGGAATCGGCTCGCCCCCCCTCAGAGTCGAGATTCGGTTGTGGCACACACCCCAGCCAATCTAGTCAGCAGCCAGCGAGGAACAGGAATTCGGGGGGTGGGCGTGGAAGCGGATCAGGGATGCACTGTCGAGGTCTGCAGCCACCAAAGGGGTTGAGAGACGAGAAATAAACTTCGTGACAGCTGCAGGACCGCGAGGCACAAGAAAGGGGAAATGCGGGAGAAGATGGATGGCAGTGTGATTGTTCCCTTTCCCCCCTCTCTCCCAAGCTGGCGGCAGGAGATTGCACTGGGCCGCTGGACAGAACCAGCGGAAAGGGAGGAGGCGCCTCGCGATTCTCCGGGGGGGTGCGCAGGCCCCGTTAGGCTAGGAAGGCGCCACTCTCGTGCGCAGTCTAGCGCAGGTGGATGGCCTGTTGGGTTGGTGCTAGGTGCTGCTGCAGTTGGTTATTGTCACTACATTACCCTCCAAAGTGCATCCGGTATAATTAATTCCCTTGCTCCTGACATTTGACACGTTCCATCCTGCCTACACCACCTCAGCATCATACTCACCTGCATCAGCACGCCCCTTATTCCCTCAATTGCAACATCCAAGCTTCGCGTCTGTGCCCTGCACCTGCGACCTCCGTCCGGGCACCACACCTCTGAAGACCTCGCCTGGGCGAGATGGGTGGTCTATGGATCGACCCATTGGATACGCGTGGTGCTAACGGGCATTGGCAGGATGGCATTCGATTCTAGGCCCACATGGTGTGCCCACGGAAACCCCCCTGCACCCCTGCACCCCGTGGTCGAGCATTGCAGATGGTCAGTTGTGCAGCGAATGGCGCTGACCAGACGGCCTTGACGAACACATCAATCTCGGGCCTGGTCGTGGTCGCTCGCGATCGGCATGCATTGACAGCGGGGTTCGCTCGCAGTCTAGATTTCTGTCGAGCCTTGGCTGCCCAAGCTCCAGCCTCGAGATCGACCGTCCAAAATGTTTTTAAGGTGAGACAGAGCATGTCGACATGTCTTGGGCGATTCTGTGCAGGGGACGGCGATGCCTAATTCTTCATCGACGGGGAGGGTTGGGACCCAATGGTCAAAAGGCCCCTCCCCTGTGCATTATCCAAGCGTACCCATGAGATGAAAGGGAAGCAAGGGAAGGTCAGGAAAGGTCAGGACAGGATCCAACAAGCACAGACCAGAGCTTCCGTAATGATGGGTGGCAATAACTGCCGCTGATGGTCCAGAATATTGTCCCCAAAGAGTATGGTAGGGTGGTAGCATACCTACACTCTGTGCGTCTGTTTGATTTTGGCGCCGCAACCCTGTTATTACCAGGTACAGCAAGATACTTCGCGGTTCAATATTTGTGAGCTATTTGCACAGGGAAACACGTGAGCGCCGCGCAATACAGACACCACGTACTCCTACAGCCCCATTGGTAGCACTAGCATCCATTAATTTTAGCCGGGCCGCCAATCGGTCCAGGAGACGACGACGGCGAGAGAGCCGGCACAAGATGAGAATTGATGGAGCTCTGGACAAGGAAGTTCCCAGCGGCCACTGATATCCCTTAATCTACACGGGGGTGACCTGTCAGGCCCATCCATCTATTTTGACAACGCGTAATTTATCGGTTCCTGCCACGTATAATAAATCGATTAGGATAGATAGCATTTGAGCTACCAACGCAGGTCCGATAATGCCACGCTCCCAGACCCAGTCAGCTGGGCTGCTTCTCTCACTGGCAGCTGTCGGCCGTTGACTCATCGGAACTGTTGATCACCTGGGCCTTGGCTCAGTCTTAGGCCGGAGTCTGAACTAATTCTTTCCTGGACGCAGGAATCCAGGCAAGATTCAAATACCGTTCCTCGCAACTGTCGATCAAGGCCGATCCAACGGTCCTGGCAAGCTTATTTGCTTATCCAAAATTTCCTGGCGATCGGGCTGGGAGATTTCCCTGCCTCGCAACCAGGGCAAATCGGGGACGAGGTATTTTATTCCCGCTTTCCTTTCTCAGCACTCGATTGAAGAAGCGATCGACACAGCATGAACAGGGCGGCTCAGCCCTATATTGATGATCGCTCAACCAGCACTGCCAAGTCAGGGAATGTCTGCAGAGGAGGCTTGGTATTTATTTAGTAGTCCGAACTCAATAAAGGCCCATTCAGCCGGCTACTTGACACTTCCCGCAGCCCCTGAGTGGTTGAGTATTTTCAATTCCTGGGGAGTACTGGAGTACCTAGCAGATAGGATCATTAGCACCGGTACATCTTCCAATAATGATCATTGAGGCCGCGAATACTTATCAAGCCGCGATCCTTGTGTGCATCCAAGAAAAAGGGCCGCACATTAGCAGGGACAATTGGCGCACTAAGGTTCCTGCCAACGTGCTAGACCGTGCCTAAGGGATGTACCTGCTTGTACTTACCCCTGGCTAATGGATCAGCAGAGCTATTCTCCACATCCCGCCATGTTCCGTCCTCCGTCGCATTCACGGCTCACACTACGGCAGATTAGGAGCACAGGCTTTTCCAACAAGAGTTGAGATCGCTCGTGCTGGTCTTGTCGGCCTCGCGATGCATATCAGGAAGAGGCTCCCCGTCTTGGCTCCTTGGCTGCATTGTTGACTATAGCTGACCCTATCAGCTTCAGCATGGGCAATACCAGGAGAGCCACCTGATATGCAGACGTCCTCTAAACTTCAAATAATGATATAACCTGTGTGGAGAGTGAATTTGCTGCAAGTATCAGTTATACATCGAGGCCAGCTCTCGTGTAATTACATTGGATCATACTTTCCTCGACTGGCGAGATTTTGTCGAAAACGAGGGCCGTACTTGCCAAATCACCGTGAGGAAGGAGCACAATGAGACGTGCCGAGAGCCTTTTATCACTGCCAAATGACACAAAGGGAATTCTTCCACTGAAACATGTTAACACATCACTTGCTTTCCTTGTTCTGCATCAATAGTATCATATATCTATCTCAATTCTTGAGTTGCTTAGAGCGAGGGCATAGCAGAGTGAGCATCTGTAACCTCCCCAGCTGCCTTCGATCCAACCCACCCCAGCATCGCTCAGCCTTCAGTCCAGGCCAGCTGCTTTCTTGATTTACTCGTATCTCCTCATGAAGCTAGCTCGGATACGTGGATGTCTAGCCAGATTGCGGTCAGAATGGGATCCTACACATCCATTCGAGACATCATGGTTCCTTAGCCCATGTCGACTCTTCGCTTGTCGCTTCCTACTGGTAGGCGCAGGCCATAGTGTTTTCCACGCACGCACGCACGCACACAACCGCTAACCAAGACTTGAAAGGCCGTCTACCTGTGGATACTCAGTATTTGGGGCTGCGTTCGGGCTGCCAAAGGTGCTAAGACAACTAAAGACGCCATCACTAATTGCTTCAAGTTGTGGCCTTGGTCCCTCGTGATGTACTTGAGCTGTGCAGCTTTCCACACCATACGATACCATCTCGACTCACCCTCGCTACTGGATCAACCCCATCCGTTTAGCCGTGCGCTGCATTCGTTTTCATATACGATCGCAATCATATCCCCTGTTGAAATAGTCGCCGTATCTCTTTTGGATTTGGCCAAGGGGTCATGGATAAAACTCAGCTTCCGAGCCTCGGGCTCGTTCAATCAATGGGAAGTGGTCAGCCTTTGCGTCGTCGTTCCTGTGATCGGCCTTTTCGAGATACTTGCCCCGAGGACCAACCCTATGCCGTTTGTGCATTTGCTATTCATCATGCTGTTTCAAATGGTCCGGCTCCTCCTTGACTACACTGCGCTTCACAAAGAGGTGGTAGTTGACATGGTCATCCCTCACGCCACAGTCCCTATTTTCGTATTCTGTATGACGTGGATGATGATTTACTCACGAAAACGGCTCACCGAGCCCAACTACGATGACGGCAGTGGTCAAACTGAGCCTCGTTCTCCTCGGAAACGAACACGAGATACCAAGACCGAGGTATGAGTGATGGCATTCACATAAGGCAGACCCTGTTATTTCACGGATCAAGAATGTTAGTAGCTTTAACTTTATGATAATACAGATATCTCTACAAAGCTTGATGAACTACCTATTCTAGCATTTCGTCGTGAATCCTTTCCTGAGTTCTTCCTGGCGGATCTCGAACATCACCTGGATACCTACAAACAGGCATGAACATGCCGTAACCAGGAAGATGACACCTGCGAGAAAGAGTTAGATCCCGGATATTCGAGGCAGACAGCCCACGGAGTGCATAGGCAACCACTTACCAGACCAATCATGCAAGACATTCTTGATGATAACTTCAAGGCCATCAAGTCCCACAGCAAACCCAACGAGATTAGCTGAAATCATCATGAGGACGTTGAAAACCGCGCCAGCGCAGCAAAGCATCCTATACTGCGTCGGCTTGTGCTCCCATTTCCTTGGGGGGAATAAAGCGGTGGCGGCGAACTCGGGGAGCATGAACAGAACAATCAGCCAGCCCCAGATTAAGAGCCGCATCTGAATGTCATGCCACAATGCTACAAAGGTAAATGAAAGGAGATATGTTAAGATGGTGCGAGCAGTGGATCTCCAGGTTCGGAACGACGAGCCTCCCAGAGGAACGTAGATGTAGCGGATGAGCCAGCGGTTGTAGGAGCGGTGCCAGGCGCGCCAGAAGAGCTGGGTGCTGTAGTTGTTGCTGGGGCAGCGGACCATGTTCTCGGGGGGGTCGATGCCGTCGACGAGAGACCACAGGCGGAACATGCGCCAGGGGAGGAGAAGTTTCAGCCAGATGATGTGGAGCTTGAAGAAGGAGAGGAGGCTGAGCTGGGCGGGGGTGTAGCTGCTCCAGTCGGGATTGACGAGGCTGATGACTCCGACGTAGTTGAAGTGCAGGATGGCCTCCATGGCGAGCAGGACGAGCACGAAGCGGACGGCGTAGCGGACTGTACGCCAGCCTTCGATGGTTGAGGAGCGGTACTTGGCCTGGGAGATGTAGTCGTTGAATGTGATGATTGGGCCGACGAGGTACAGAGGGGCATATGCAGCATACCCCACGTAGTTGCGGAAGGAGTAGTCTCTCGCATCTGCAGGAATGGTGATCCTGTCACGCTCTGAGAGCTGGGCTGGGTTCAATTGCTTCTTCTTTGGTCCATTAGCACAAGATCATGGCTCAGAAAGGGGAAGGGTCGGGTTCTCCCATACCTCTATCGGGCTCGAGCCACGCTGGCCGAGGCTCCAGTAGTAATCCAGATTGAAGCTGATCAGCCTCAGGATGGTCAGGTTGAACAGGACCTCCCAGCGGGAGATGAGGCCGCCGTAGCTGTCCAGCCACGCACCCCACGGTTCCAGCGCAGGGGCGACGTGCCTGGCGATGTCATAGTAATGGTAGCCCCGGCAGAGCTCGTTGGAGAACAGCACGGGGATGTTGAAGGCCCACGTGGCGAACGGGATGTACTTCCGGGGGAGCCTGGTCGCGACCTGGTAGTTGAGCCAGAAGATCAGGAGGACCTTGAAGGCCGAGAAGCCGTGGAGCGCAACGAGGTAGAGCAGGGCGAAGGCGTAGTCGTAGGAGGCGCGCTGCTCGAGGCGGGCGGCGCCGCTCTGGCCCTTCTTCGCCGAGGGGTGGACGGCGTCCCACACCCTGCGGAGGAGCGGGTGCACGAGGAGGAGGGCGGACATGTAGGGCAGGTTGCCTCGGAAGGTGCGGTATTGGGCATCGGTGTTGTCGACCTTGCGTCCAAACATCCAGCCGTCGGAGAGGTAAATCGAGTACTTTTCCCATCTCGGGTCCTCAGCTAGGTGTCAATTGTGTTAGCATCCAGCAGAGGGGATGTGTCTATCTCCAGAGGTTGGGTGGGCAGACGTACGTCCGGAGACTGAATATGGGACCCAGAACATGTACGGCACGGCGAAGAGGAAGACGACGTAGTAGAAGAAGAACTCGGGTGTCTTCCATTTCGACGGCTGTGCGCGGCTCTGCGACTTGGCTGCGGCTTCGGTCTTGGCGGCGGGATCGGATCGTGTGTCGATGACGGTCTGGTAGGGAGTCGTCGACGAGACGGAGAAGCGAGTGTCGAGAGCGTCGAGGTTGTAGACGCTCGTAGCGAATGACAGCAGGCCCATGGTGGCTGCGGTGTGTGGATGGATTAAGCTTGTGGTCAAACACAGCTCATGGTGTCGTCCGGATCTTGGGTACAGACGACCTTTATGTATCGAGAGAGTGTAGTGTGTCGAAGCGTGACGTGCTGCCGATTTGAAAGTGATAAATGTTGATTCGTGTGGGGGGTCTCGCGGTTCTGGAAAATGGTGGATGGACCCCTGATTCCAATGCCGACCCAGTATTACCCCCCAACAAGCCCCCTACCTCATCTGGCGCAGTCGAGAGATCCTTCATTGTCAACTCTTTGCCTCGGGGAGTCTAATTCTATGGCCTGATACATGGGTTCGCCTGACTTATTCATTTTAACTCAGCCTCTCCGTTCTGATCCCGACTCTGGGCGAGGCGCAATCCGGGATACTGAGCGTCATACCGTACGATGTATAGAGACGTTTGTGAACAGCTCTGTGCGTCGTTCTGGGTTCGCCCCGGTTTAATTGGGACCGAGGAAAGGATCTAGAAGGAAAAGGGGTGTTCTCCTGGGAGCACGGGTACACTTTCCGATAATAGGGTTAGTTGAATTGATATATGGAATTGACCTTTGCTTGTGCACTTGTACCTCGGCATGTTGAAGCTGGACTGAATATCAGAAGGCCCCTAACCACACATTTCACAAGAATATGAATGCTCTCAACTAACATATTCCAGCCAACATAAAGCAGGTACTTCTAGAATTCTAATCACGCGTCTACAATCATTCCACGCGTCCTCGACATTTCTTTTCCCGCTTGAATGCGTAAACCTCGTATCTGATAACAGTTCGCTACCTCTAAATATACACCTTAGTGTCTAAGCCACAACTACATACCCTGTAGTCACTAAGGCGTGAAAGTGAGAACCATCTGTTTTCGATTCAGGTCAAGAAAAATAGAGTAATATCTTATCTCATCATAGGTATTCTGCATAATACTTAAAATTATATTGCATTCTTGGCCTGTAATATTTGATCTTGCCATGCGGAACGTAAGAAAAGCAGATCCACTACTTGCTGGCATCGGGAGCAATCATAGCTTGCCGTTATCCCGACGGGAACTTCAAGTATCTCCATCTTCCGATTTTCCGATTCGCTCTCAGAACAAGGCGACAACGTCATTTGGCCAATTCAGATTACAAATTCTCTTCTAAAATCTACAGTCCAACACAGGCTCAAATTCTATTTTTTTCTCATTCACTGAGATGTCCTATGATGAAACCTACTTTTGCATTCTTGTGCTAAATCTATAGTTTTTTTTTAGCGAGAACGAGACTGAAGTGGACCGGGAATTCTATATAGATTTCGAGTGATTATATTAGAGAATAACAAAAGGGCTTCAATACAGGACTCTGATGAGATTATAATCTTGATTCGTAAAAAAAATTCAAAACACAACAACTCATTGTACTTGGTTAAGGCATGGTTTAGGTTGGACGCATACACGATGCTTCTCGTCATTCTTAAACACCCCCAACTCACAACAGGAAAAAAAAGAAGAAGAAAACAACGAGAGTTTGGGTATTGGCTATATTTTTCTACTTGCAATCAAGACAAGTTTACGCACTAATATTCTTGGAATGATGTATTCTCTGTTAGCACATACCGGGACTGGTACATATACTAAGTGGTCCCTGAAGTTTTGTAATATAGTTGTTATTCAAGTATTAGGAGGCCATCTAGGCCAGTAAAATCTGTCAATGCATATTCTTGGTAGGATATGCAGAAGCAATATAAACGTGACACGTACATGTCATTACTTAGATATCCTTACAAGTATACGTAACAGAAAGGACCATGAACAGTGCTCAACAGATCGCGAATTTTGGTAGGAGTTCCACCTGCGTAGAAGAAGTCGACATAGTCGTCCAGGGTGGTATTGGCGCTGGGGGGAGAGTCGAGGAAGGTGTTCGTGCCGGAGATGGCCGAGTCGCTGAAGACGCGCTTCTTGGGGTCAAGCATTTGCCAGATCCACCAGACACGATCGAGCATGGAGTGGTGCAGGTAGAAGGCAGGATCGCCGGGAGAGGTAAAGACGTCACGGCCTGGGTCACCTCCAAGGGAGTAGTGACCGCCACCGTGGATGCCAATGGTGCCGGTTCCAGGCTTGCCTTGTATCTGCAACTGGAAGTCGGCGACATTCTGGGGCTTGAGGATGTTGGAGAGGATGGAAGAGGCATTGGAATAGCGGCGGTTGACCTCGGAACTGAGATCGCGTTTGAGGCAGCGGGGGTTGTATGAAAGGGGTCCATTGGGGTTGGTGATTGTCTCGCCGCCAGGTCTGTCCAGAGAGATAGGACCGAGATTCACACTCATAGATTTGAAGGGACCCGACTTTACGCAGCCACCACCGTTTCCCGTAGGGAGATGTATTGGGGTAAGTCCGGGTTGGTTTTTTCCAAGGATGATATCCTCGCGGGAGCCTTCATAAGCGCCATCTCCGGACATGGAAGTGTCAGAACCATCAAAGATGGGAGAGCTTGTCAGGCCAGTGGCGGCAGTCTTGGCCCAGTCCCAATACTGTGCGCATTTATGCAGGTCAACTTATCTGGAGCCAGTGGCAAGGGGCTCTGGGCCTCAATGGACATGTGCTTCGACTTACAGGCTGTGTACTCTTGTAGCCACACTCATTCCTGAGCGCTTCCTCATACACCCAGGTGAAGTAACGGTGCCATGTCAGGAAGTTGCCTGTGTAGTGGATGTTCAAGGTCTGGTTGATGTGAGTGGCCACATAGTCGTCGAAGCGAGTCTTGGCACCAGGGGCGACGTCGGCGGGAGTCCTGGCAGGCTTGCTCTGGAGACACTTGACTGCGTCGATGTAGGACTTGCGTTCCTTTCTGGATAGGGTGCCCCTGAGAAAACGAAAGGTTCAAATCAGCATTGGCCAGCTCAGGAAGACACGGTTTGACGTACCACTCCCTTCGAATCCGAATGTTCTTCCAAGAGCAATGGCTTCTTCGCTTCTCTAAACCGGCTTCATTGACTTGGGCTTGAGCTTCTTGGAAAGCCTGGCCAGCTAGCAGAGATATCTCATCACTGGCCTGGATGACCTCGGAAGTGGTTGGCTGGGCGAGGGCTACAGAGGTGCCTTGCAGCAGGAGGATAGTCAAGAATGAAGTACGCATGATGGTGGTAGACCTATTAGGTAGCGTATTTAATCACGAAACATCTAGAATGAGAATGAGAACAACGAGAATGGAAGACCTGGTCCCAAACGAGGCGAAGGCTGCAATTTTAAGTGCTAGTAAGTGCTATATTTACCTACATTGGGCTGAAAGGAACCCCCCCAACACGAACCCACGGCCAAGGAAACAAATGAGTCTTTTGATCAATGAAGAACAGAATACTTGCTGATGGTCCTTCTGAGGCTGTATGCTCGTGGATCCGGTTGTTGGTTGAATAAGCAGGGGTCAGGCGCTGTAGGTAGCGCGTATCAGATCCCCGATTCATTCATTCATGCATCTGATCCGGCACAGTTGGGCCAGGATACGCTCTACCAACGTGTTGTTGGCCGCTTTTGGATTCATAATCGTCACTTTGCTCTCCTTTCGCCCCTGGGCCGAGGAAGCGAGCACGCAGTTGGAAGGTCATCTCGAAGCGAGGTCACGAATGAACGTCACTGACTCGACCAGCCATCCCGGCCAGTGTGATAAAGTAGCAGCCCACCTGCAGAAATTTGTTCCGATGGTGGATCGTATCGCATGGACTGCTGCAATGCTACCAACCGCCAACTTGCTGTTTGATAATCCGCAAGTATCTTGGTAAGCCTAAATACGTGATAGTGGTGCCCTAATGGATCGCTGCTGACAGGGAGTTGCCCTACGTCGTAGCGCTAGGAGACTTCTTCTCGGTGGCTAAGACCGCTACAGCCTAGCGGCACCACACCTATACGCCCCCTGAATCACATCACAGCACCTACATATGTGACCCTGGAGGTAATTGAAGGAGCCGATACCGCATCCATCATCCATCACTCACTCGTCCTGTGAAGAATGGCGAGATGGATCGTGAGTTTGACTGACGAGATTACCCCAAAATGCTGATATCGGGCTTCGTTGACTTGTGGCAATTTGAAGCAAGCCGGCCCCTCATAATCGCGATCCACCTCAAAGCAAATCTTTGAGTGCAGGGCGGGCTGCGATCGATCGATGAACGTTGCGTCGCCAATCTGAGGCATAATGCGATGTCGTATTCCTTTTTCCCGCCGCCCTCCCCCACGTGGGCCGGTTTTCTCCCGGTTGATGAACAAAGCATAGAGTAAGCCAGAGCTGGAAGGTATCATTACTGAGATTATTACCATGGTTCACATTTTGATTCCCGAATGGACCCGGATTGTGGCTCTCGAAGTGGGTTTGGAGGAAGGAATATCCATCTTGGGACGTGACAACTTAGTCTGTGGAATCAAACAACCTGCCTGGATGCAGAATTTTATGAGCACAAAGAGGTGGGTTTCCGGGTTGTTGAGAGCCTCAAGAAATTCCTTCGGCACATTCCTAAGAAGCTAATATGAACTGATCTAGTCGCTTGTTTGCTTTTAGTCTTCCCGAAGGACTGGAAACATGGGATGGCAGATAACTAAAACCATTCGCGTTTAGTCCTTCCAAGCCCCAGTTCACATGTGAAGCTAGAATCAAAATTGAATGGTGAAATCCAACAGCCGAACCCCACGGCCGGGGAGAATAAGCGCTATATGGTAAGTTCATGCCCTTGGGCGATCCGGATCGCAGGATGAGTTTTGCTTTTGGCCCCTCGAGGACCTTGAGACTCATCACTTGCTCCTTGGTAATATCCAGACACCAGAGAATGCCTTCCTCGCGTATACCTGCATAAACCCGTATATACAGACACCCGCATTCGGATCAATGCGCCCACCTGACATGGGCTCGTTGGCGGTGCTCCTATCGGCCTTTTTGAGGCCATTCATCGGCCGCTCGTTGCCAAGCCAGGGACTTTGGTTGAGCGAATATGATCGCCCACCTTTGCAACCACCATCCTTGGCCTTAGTATGGAGACGCCAAGGCAGCTCTGGCATCAATTGGCTCCCTCTGGTGGCTATCACCTGCATGGCTCGCTTCGTGACTTGCATATTGCAAAGCATCACGGACGTTGACGCCCCTGGCAGGCATCCTAGATCCACTTCCAGTTTCGAATGGCCTTCTTTGCATCGTCGTCAATGCCTCTCTACCACCTTCGTCTGGTGTGTAGAGCTCTCATTAGCTGTTGCCTTCTCCACAGCGGTCAATGGCACACACGACTGTCCTGGCCTCTGACTTCTTCAAGCCGCTAATGCGTGATAGGCAAATTAGGTGCCCAACGCACTGCATTCTGACTCGTGGTTGCCCAGCGTACATGTATGTACAGATGTTGGTTTGGCAGTCTCGGCGATAGGGCCGGTTGGTAGAGAACAGCGAGATTTGGCTGGCTCTTTTTTGCTGCTACTATTTCCCCCGGAGCCCTCTCAAAATATTTCCCATGATGTTTGTCTCTTGCTTCCTATAATCTCTGCGCCCCGGTCGTAGTATGTGCTGCTACGATCTATTCACGTAGTTGGCCATGGCGGAAAACCTCCAGATGCCTGCTATTTCCAACCCAGACGAGAATGCAGGCCCGAGGATCTTAGGGGCCGTCGCGACAGTGACGGCCCTGGCTTTTATCCTCGTTATTAAGCGGTTTTATGTTCGAATTGTGATGATCCATAATGTTGGTTGGGATGTGAGTAATTCTGTTTTCCGCTGGAGTCACTTTTGTTTGTGGAATTGACCGATTGTTGGTATAGGACGCACTCATGGCCCTTACGATGATCACCTCTCTAGTTGGCTTCGGATTTGTTGTTGCTCAGGTTTACCATGGCGCTGGTCAACATAGAGGAGAGTTGGATGACGCAACGTATTCGCGGGGAATGAAGCTCAATTTCATCGCTCAACCGATTTATCTGTTTGCCATCTGCTTCGTGAAACTGTCTGTCGGGGCGTCGTTGCTCCGGATAGCTACTACCAAGTTCTACCGCTACCTCATCCTTTTTATCATGGGGTTTATGCTGTTTTATACAATTGGCTGCTTTTTTGTAAGTTCGGCGCCTCGCATTACCAGGAATGATCTATCTTAGCCCCTGGCTAACCGCTACGTAGACCATCATCTTCCAATGTACCGATATTCGTGTGATATGGGACCCGACCGTTCCCTCCATTTGTTGGGATACGAAGACGCTACAAGCACTAAGTTATCTCAACGTTTCATTGAACGCCGCCACCGACCTCCTGTTCGCCATCATTATCCCTACACCGATGCTATGGAAGCTTAACGTACACCGCCGTACACGGATCACACTGATAGGCATCCTTGGCTTGGGCGTCTTTGCCTGTGCCGCTGCATTTGTCAAGGTTGGATACCTAATCAACTACGGAAGAAATGGGGATTTTCGTGGGTTTGAACTTCAATCATCGTCTACATGACTCCGAGCTAATATGCTGCATCTTAGTTTGGGATTCTCGGGATATCACGATCTGGACCGCAACAGAGCTGAATATCGGAATTATCGCCGGCTCTCTCCCCTGTCTGCGTCCTCTATTTAGACGGTTCTTGGGTAGCACATACGGCAAGCGCTCACTCAAGAGTGCGACTATAGCAACTACCCCCGCACACGGAACGATGAAGGGAAGCAAATGGAAGTCATTAGGAAGTAGGGTACAGGGCAAGGATGACCTACAAACAAGCAGCCAAGAAGCTATCAATACCACGTTTGCTCCGGAGGAGTTCGAGCTCCATGAACGCGTCGGGAAAGGAAATAGTCAGGTCTTCACGACCGTGGTGGCTAACCCCGCGTCGACAAGCGATGTTGATGCTTTGTCGAGTCCAAACAGCTCTAGGTCGAGCGGCGAGGAGCGGGGGATAAAAAAGACAATGGTCACTACTGTGGACTATTCTAAATCCACCTGATTAGCCATGAGGACGGAAAGAATCGGAATGAAGTACTTGATACACGCCCTTCGACATACTGGCGAGGCAAAGGTATGTATCAGCTTTTAGTTCTATTAATGAAGATGATCCCACTTTAGATAAAATTTAATAGGCTGTGCTATGTAGAAGCTAATAAGAAAGTAAAGGTGGATGATAAGAAATTTGGAAGTGTGTAAGCATTATATTCAAGCCCGGCCGTCCTTCACGTTTTCTTCAGCCCATCTCGGTCTCTAGTTTAGTCAAAATAGTCACACGTGATACAAATTATGCGGTTATTACTGAATTTCGGGGATGGAAATAGACTTTGGGGTGAGAGATAGTCTTCACCGGCACCCTCTCATTTTCAAATATCTCTTAAATAGCTCGGAACTAGCATATACTTCTCTTGGTAATCTTGGTTTCAGATGAAGTAGAATTATGCTTCGATTTATTATTCATTATTATGTTTCTTGTGATAGCGTACTGGCCCCTGGTAGACGCCGGCATGCAGCATTGTCGATGATATAGGCTCCACCAAACATGCTTAGGCTATTAGGCAGGGTATGAGTTCATCACAATTGAATAGTGCCGCATCAAATTTGCGCCAATCCCTGGTCACAGTCACCGGCGTCGTAGGGATGGAGCGCCAACGATTCGCCTGTCTTCTCTCAGTTAGTAGGAGAATTTGGTAGCACATCTTACAGTAGGTAGATTCCTATTCTAGCCCTGATAGATTCATTTCTGAAGGAAGGATGCGTATTGATCTGGTTTCTAGAAAAAAGCTCGCTCATTACAATATAAAATAGTAAAACTAGACTGACAGGTTGATTTTAGAACCCTTACTTGCATGTCTTATTGCGATCAAATTTTACGACTCGCTGACTAGAGAATGAAAAATCAAGTTATTAAATACTAAATATCATTTTAACTAGCCTTTAATATCAAATTATACAACTCTATGCGACTATGCAAGAACCATAAGACATGAAAATCTGTTTTTTTTTTTTGGGCTTCATACGTCGGTAGAACTGAGGGGTGAGATTGGGCTGCCAGGGTATACAAAATCGAACGAGATATACGGGGTTTGCCCGTACTTGAGAAGAAGAAAACTCGGCAAGTCAATAACACCAGATTTGTATGAGTTCCCTCTCTCCTTACTCAGAGTGGCAATTGGGCTTGTCTAAGGACCAAGAATAAGCCAAAAGTATTAGCCTTAAGCAATGCTAGTTAAACCAAGTTAATTCTACACTATGAGTTCGCCTCAAGGATGTTGTTCGGATCTAACCTGATCAGAGAGCTAAGAAAAGAGAGAAGATCCACTCCAAGTATCGTATTTAAAGATGGACCCCAATGTCATGCAGGGACTCGTTGGGGAATGGGGATGATTTCGCTAAAAGGCGCTAGACAAAGGAGTCGTTGGGTTTAGACAAGCTCGGTAGAGTGGAGGAATTCATCATGAAAAGGGGAGTTCCCGCCATTGACATCCAATCATCGAATTAATCATCGATTATCCATCTATCTTATTCAAGTTATGGAGAAAATTGGTGGAGGAAGTTTAAGACTGACCTCTGGAAAAAAATAGGGGGGGCTGGACTACCTAAGTGATGATATACAGGTTTTGGGGCGTCCATGCTCCATCATGAGCAAAGCTGCAGCAATTCAAGGTCCCTGTGTAAGTCTAGTATATATTAGCTTGGAATGCAAAATACCAAAGTGAATCGAGGGCGGAATATCAAAATGACTGGAATTTCGTAAACCTATCTTTTCACTCAATAACTTCCGGAGCAGAAAACGTACTAGAAGGCATCCGTTCGCTCAATGTTGTGCAACCAGCCTGCAAGAGTGCATTAGTGTCAGCAAAGGAATGTACGATATAAGGGCGCCATATGAACCTGGCTAAGATGAGCCTATTCGAAGTTTGAGAGCCCGGAGTGAGATTCCAGTGCCCGTAATGCCATCTTCGGTGGGATATCCACAAAGCAAGCATAATCAACATTAGTCGGACTGCTTGAAGCCTGTTGAGACCGAAATATTTAGGCATGTCCAAAATTTGGATCCCGCCAATAGCGGTAGAGTCAGTCAAGATGGTTTGAGGCTTGATTTACGTGGAATTCACAAGATGAAGGAATACCTGGTAGGATGATCAAAACGCTTTTTGAACTGGTACTAATTTTTAATTTCCCCTGACACCATCATCCTAGTTGAATGTTCCCTTTAGGTTGCCCGAAAAGGAATTCCAGGTGAGTGTCGCTGGACATTTAGGGGTGGCTCTGGTGTCGAGCGCCAGGGAGTTTGTCTCTACCTTGCTATCAGCTGATACGGATGCTCGTACAATAATGTAGGGGGTTCTCTAGTTCAGAGGAGAATAGAAGTACAAATAATATGCTCGGTAGTGTTGGGTATCGTCTTTTGTTCTTTAACTACTTGTGACAGCTTCCTTACAGTATCGACCACAAATATCATCACTGACTCATCAACAAGGAATTACTTGTTCTTCTTAAGAAAAGGTCTTTTTAATACAATTTTTAACATTCCCTTGATAAATATTGGTTGTTTACCTCCCAGCTGCCAGGGTAGAGTAAGGGGCTTGGCTCCCTTTCCCCACAATACAACTTGGACATAAGCCACGTTTTCTCTATGCTTTTTTCCCTTTCCTACTCTTCAGTGTGGACAAATGAAAATGAGACAAATGTAACCCATGCTAAACGGACGGCAACCGGATGCGTGACCCGTGGCCCGCAGCCCGCTAGCGCTCATCCGAACAAAGCCTGATCAAGGGATGATAGACATGTTGAATGCCACGTGTGATTGTGACCTGCCCATTCAACTCACGGATTCGAAAGGATGGCTTGTGCAAAATAACTCAAACATTTCTGATCATGGCCTTCCAGGCCCACACAACCGGTCTAAAGCAGGCACCTAAGACCGGCACTAAGATAGGATAATATGTTCATGCTATGAAACTAGTGGAAGCTTTATATGGCTCAATGGACCTTTGCCCAAGTTCTTTGAGGTATAAGAAAGCCTGCAGAACAACCCAAGTATCAAGCTGCCGTAGAATAAACTCTCTCCTTGTGCACCACAAACAAAAGAGCAGAAAAGCCTCATGAACGAGATAATTTCAAAGTCCCTGCCCATGTTGAAACCTCCCTTGACCTTTTTTTGGAATCTAGTTTACATGAAGCAAGGGTTTCTTTGATTTTGATTTGCCCAGGTGATGGCGGGGGAAGTAATCTGGTGTACCTCCCGCAGGACTAGTCGTAACATGGCCGCCCTAATGACGGGCCTGCACTTTTTCTTTTGGGGTAAAAGAAAGATATGCGCTTGATGCATCATTGGGAATAAAGAATTGGATTTGCGGTATGATAGTGTGTAGTCAGTAGATATAAGATGTCCAAGTCTACCTATCCTCGACCTGGTGTAGTTTTACTCCCCACCCCTTAGTGAAATATAGTGAAATATCCTCCGAAAAAGCACCCAAATCGTACTATTCCTCATGTCTGAAGAACAGCCCCGCCGCTCTCGCCGTATCGCCTCTAGGGGCGAAGATCCGGCCCCAAGTTCAAACGCCCAATATCCTGGAGGTGAGCAACCCGTACCTCCCCACCCCCTAGGAACCACTACCCCGGATCCCATTGGAAACCGATTTTGTACTAACTCCTTCGAAAGACCCTTCAGCGTTTCCTGAAAATCCAGTGGACGTGCCTCAAGTTGCAGCGCGTCCTTAGACCCAGCCGCGCGTTGACGACCATCCGAATGACCTTGACCCGAATGTGATAGACCCCCAACTTAGGGACAACAACCAAGAGCCCGAGCCTTTGATCGAGGAAACAAATGATACAGCCACTCATCTACAATTTGAGGAAGCCACGTTACCCACGTTAGAGGAATTGACCGAGGTAGTCAATGGGCGTTACATGTGCACGTTCTGTCTTGAGTGCGAGCGGAACGTATGCACTCACGTTGACGAAGACCGCCACCCCCCGTGTGGGAAAGCTTTTGAATTACCCTCTAACGCTAGGTAAGAACTCTCCATGTCCTACAGGCATTATGCATTCCGTCTAATTTCAATTCCTGTAGAAAGCACATCCGTTTGCACGTGAAGCCAGTACTTTGTCCCCTGTGTCAACATAGATGCCAAACACAACCCATTATGAGAAGGCATCTGAACACGCACTTCAATGGGAATGAGGGACCAGCAAGACCAGTTTGCCAGGTTTGTGGGGCTAGTTTTACTCGATCGGACAACTATATTCGACACATGCAGAGACAACACCCAAACACCGAGACGGACGAAACAGACTAATCTTGGCCGGATTGATGTTGGACATTCGTTCCTCATACAACCACGAGCTTAGACATCTGTCGTAGCGAAGTCATCAAAGCCTAGGAGAGAGGCTTTTATCCGCAGTTATGTATTTAGTCACTCGTTTGAACTTCTCTCGTTACCGAGAGGATTATAAAATTGACCTTATACGCTCTTTTACATCCTGTGCACTCTTTTTCTGTGAACATATAGGAAATCGTAGTAAGAGATAACAATTAGCTATTGCCTAGACCTGTTTTAGGATTTAAGGGTCCAGATCTGATAAGTAGATACAGTTAATAATATAAACCTACATGCCGGTCTAGGTTCTAAGACGAGATAAGCACTATGGACTTTCGGCGCTTCCAGTCAATCAATTCCTCTAGACTTCCATAGTAAGACTTAAGTACCATTTTCCATCATTTTTTCGAAGTATGGATTCCTGGAATCAGTGTCGACATGTCGTCTGGCATATTTGCCTACCCTATATTCCAGTAGAGATGTGTTTATTGGCCCCTAGCTATGTCTTTCTAGATCAGACTACATCTATTGAGAGAGAAAAAAAGAAAGAAGATTCAATTACCTTTTGTTCACAATCTTTGGCTTCTACGGATCGGGCTCTGATCCGAATTATAACCAATTCCAATAAACTAGACGATCCGTCTCTAGTTTGTTCGTTTCGAGGCAGCAAGAATGAAAACGAATTTCCATTATACTATTAAGAGGCTCGTTAGCCCGGCCTTATGTACGTACTTCTCTGGAATGTCAAACATTGTTGATTCGCCGCTCTAGTCTTGAAAGAGGAAATTGGTTTCAGTCCTATAGAAGGATTCCCCTAGGAGAGGCAAATTAGTAGGGCGGTTCTTAAGATAAAAACTCGTAAATTGAAATCTTGTGTGGCTTGACTCCTGGCAATGGGGTCTTCTACGCAAGTCAAGGAAGTAAACATCATACTCTTCATGACTATTGATTTAGAGCTTTATGGAACCAGAAACCACTATTCCGAAACTGAAAGAATTCTTTCTGCAGGCGAAACATATATTGTAAGGTTCCTAAATGACCCATAAGAAATATGTAGACAAGTAAAGAGACTACATACATCCATATAGGTAGCTGTCTGTATCACTAATTTAGCCCTCTAAAGCTTAGATTGTACACTGATCTGAAGATCATTCCGGCCCAGGTCGTGAATGCTCGCCTTTCCACAGTTACTGAGCGAGTTGTCCATGTCTGCAAGCAAGCATTTCAACACGTGTTCAACGCCCTGCTGCCCGTGGACAGCAAGGCCGTATACATATGGCCGGCCGATGCACACAGCCTTGGCGCCAAGTGCCAGAGCTTTCAACACATCGGATCCGGTACGAACACCACTGTCGTAGATGAGTGTGAGTTGTGAGTTTTGGACCCTCTCATCTGCACCGATCTCTGCTAGCGCATCTAGAGATGCGATGGCGCCGTCGAGTTGTCGGCCACCGTGGTTTGAAACTATGATCCCATCCATCCCATAATCAATAGCTCTGTGGGCATCCTCGACGGATTGTATTCCCTTGAGAACAATCGGGCCATCCCACAAATCCTTGAGCACCTTGAGATGCTCCCACTTCCGGTATGTGCCCGAGTACATGACGTCTAGCCAGGTAATCGATTTCTTCATGAGGTTGGCATTGGTAAGAATTCTTGCAGCCCCGTACACTGAACCCGGCCTCCACATGATCGACCACAACTCAGCCAACTTCTGTGCAATGCTGCGAGGATCATCATTTTGCAATTTCTCATAGTATTTGGTGAAGGCTGGGTCAGAGAGGCCGATCTGGCAGCCTTCGCCATAGACAAAGGGAAGGTAGGATGTGTCCAGATCCATCGGCCTCCAGCCTATGGTGAATGTGTCCAAGGTGACAACCAGCACCCGATAGCCGGCAGCCTTGGCCCGGCCCAAGAGGCTGGCAGTTATTTCTTCGCACTGCGGCTTTGGCCAGTAGAGCTGGAACCAGCGATCTCCATCCGCATTTGCCGCGGCGACTTCCTCGATTGTCCTGGTGGCGGCGGATGATAGGATCATGGGAATGCCCACATTGTGGCAGGCTCTCGCCGTTGCCTCCTCGGCATCGGGATGCATGATTTTCTGGACTCCGATGGGCGCGACAATGAGTGGGCTCTTGTACGTGGTCCCAAACAAGGTTGTGCTCACATCCCGTACGGTGGTGTCGACCAGCATTTGGGGCCGAAGACGATAGCGATCAAAGGCGGCTTTGTTGGCACGGTCTGTAGTACCACTGCTGGCATTGCCGGCTACGTATCCAAAGCTCGTCGGTGGTACTTTGCCCTTTGCCAATGATTCCCACTCGGAAGGCTTTGTCGAAAAGAGGGGCGCCCGAAGAGATTGATAGATTTGGCGTTGGAATGATGCATAGCTGGTTGGGTCAGGGACCGCATATGTTTGCCCCTTGGCGTCTGTTGAAGCATCTTGATTCACCATCTTGGGAAACTTGATACAAATGAATGCCGCTTCTTAGATCGAGTATATGTTCTGAGTTGAAGAGTCGAGCGGTAGTCACGGAAGGGCCCACAGCTCTGTTGGCGGCTAATATAATCCCAGGTTCGGTTGGCGGAAAGTATAGAAATCACCGCGTTGGAGCTTGCCGAGGGAATGACCTTAAATGGCAATTAAACGGCATGGAGCTTTCACGTGCGCTTGCTCCTTGGAATTGATGTCAGCAATTAAAAATCCTTGTCAACGGGGAATTAGTTCATCCATAGGTGGATATCACCTTAGAGCTCACATTATAATTGACTATCCTTGGGCCTGGTAGAAGGAGGGTGAGCCTTGGCAAAATGGCATTACCTATTGAGCTGGAAAATTCGAGGTGTGCAGAGTATGTCTTGTTGTGGTTCGAGGAATGAGACATTGCGTAGGCACTATAAGTGGGATTTTTGTACAGGAAATGAGAATAGCCACTGAGATGCCGGGATTTTGAGTGGAGTGATGATAGTTATAGTGCTTTAGAAATACGAGTCTTTGAAAAGAGGGCGCATCGATGCCAACATACCGTTGAAAGTGAATGTAATACAGCCAGCTGTTCTCGATATGCGCAGTTACAACGTGTATCCATCGGACTATTTAGCTCTGTTTCTATAGAACATAGCGACTATCTACACTCCTGCATTGGCCATCCGGATCTTTCTTCAGAACCGCGAGCTTAATGTGCTTGGTTTTATGTAAGTAATTAGACAGGTTCAGACAGCACTCCGACGTAAGCTACATATCTATGAATCGCTTTCGCCGTTGTCTATTCAAACAACCCTAGGCTTTATCTAGTCCTTCTATAGGCTCTTGGGTGCTGATGCGTTCTTCTCTTCTGATCTGAGGTAGACTAACTTGACTTATTCGCAGTTATTAGTAGATGATCTGATATTATTTCTTACTACCTGCGTGCTGTTATGCTTATGGTAATAGTATCGCTCTTCTTCTCACAAAGATTATATAAGCTACATCCATTGGGCAACCGCCTTTGGCAAGAAGTAAACTTAGAACGTCCTAGTCTACCAGTTGAATTACGGTACTTGGCTATACCGAAGCCGTCTTTGTTAAGACTGTATTATCAAAGCGTGGTAATGTCAGGCCCAAGTGGAGCGGAAAAGTTGGGAGCCGATACAAGTTGGGACGCGCTAATTCAAGAAGGTAGCATTTATATTATAATAGCCGTGCTTTCTTGGCTGTCTTCTATTCTTGCTTATTTCTCGCTATCATGGAATTTTGGCAATTTGAAAAGCTTCTTGGCGTTGTCCCTTCCGATCTTCCTCTTGTCTGCATCATTGATGGCAAGAGCGTCATACCAAGTACACGCGTCCGAGAAGTTCTCAAAGGGGTAGTCAATAGAGAAGAGGATTCGGTCAGCGCCAACTTCTGTGAGGCAGAATTGGAGGGTGGATGTTGAGAAGTGGCCGCTTGTCGTGATCCAGATGTTCCTGTCAAAGTATTCGCGGATAGTCAACTTGCAGTCGAGTCCGAGAGGCTTCTTCACATCTTCGAACCAGTGGTTGATACGCCACATGTCGAATGGGATGTGCTCTCCGAGGTGGCCAAGCACAATCTGTAGCTTTGGGTGGCGATCAAAGGTTCCGTTTGTAACCTAGGGTTGTCATCGTTAACATTGGCCCCAGTGACTACAATGTCATGATAGGGATCTCACCATGCCGAGGACGTGGAGGCTCACACCTTGAGCAAAGCTCAGAGGCGGGCCGATCAGCCATTTACGCTTCGCCCACAGCTTGTCGTGGATGGAGCCTGTGGGATTGCGAGGGTGAAGATAGAATGGCACATCCAGCTCGGTTACTGTTGACCAGAAGACATCCCACTCAGGTCCGTCATAGAAAATCATGTCATCCCCATCTGAGCCAGCCCGCTGTGTGTCGTTGACCTGCAATAGACGGTAAGCGGGATATTTCAAAGGCTATTGTTTGAGAATCCTGTACCAGTGCGCCCTTGAACCCATACTTGGTGACTGTGCGTCTCAATTCCTCGGCGGCCTCCTTGGGATCGTGCATCGATAAAGTTCTGCAAATTATCATGGTTAGATGCTTCTTTTGTTGATCGATTGATGCTAATTCTTACGCGAAAGCGCCCAGGCGATCAGGATGCTCCTTGATGGCGCCGGCAATGTAATCGTTTACTTCGACGGCCAATGCCTGGGCTTCCTTGGGGTCCCATACGTCCTGAACACCAGGGGCTGTGTAAGAGAGGATGGTATATCCAACGCCATGCTCATCCATGTACTTGATGCGTTGGTTTGTGACGTCGGTGATCTCAGCAGCATGCTTGTCGGGGTCAACAGCAAACAACGAAGCCCACCATCTGGTCCGCTCCTGGAATCTGGGCAGGGCAAATGCCTCTTCGAGGGCTACTTTTCCATACATGGCGAAATAATTCAAATGAGGTTCCAAAGAGTACTTGGATTAATTGATGATCAGGGGAGGAATGATTCGCATACCACTCGAGGAAGCTGCTCAAGTAACTTATAGCTTGTAGATTGCTTACACATGCGAATAAGAATGACTGCCCGTCCAAAAGTACTCATCCGGGGCTACGTAGGGTCTTCCCGCTGGTAACAGGGTCCGGGGCGTAATGGCCAAACATCTGTGATATCCGGCTGGGCGAGAAGCGGCCCGAGGTGGCTGCGGCTAATGCACCTATAGCCAAATAGCATGGCGGCACGCAACCACTACCCCTTGGAATTGCGCGTACACGCCCACTGGTAGGTCGGTATGAAATTTGAACAGTCTATACTTCCGCAAGCTGTAATTAGTTGTCACCTCGGAAGGGTACCTGGTGCCTCACTGCCTCACTTCAAGATTCCAAGTCTGCCCGCTGAAGCAACTGCGCAGTTAGTGACTAGACCCACCCCCGCATCTCCCCGCATTTTGGATCAGACCCCTGTAGCTGGCCGTCTCGGCAGCATTGCCCAAGCACATCATCAAAAGGGTTCTCATATGGCAAGCACACATTTATAATAAATATAAGATAGAGTAGATGCATTAATCGCGTCTGATATGCCACCAGACCGTGAAGAAAGCCTACAAACTCCTAGCATAAAAGCCTTGCTTGGCTGCAACGAATTGTCGGTACCAGTCCTAACAGCGGGTTCATATTAGATCTCATGCTAGATCTATGAGAGAAAACAATATGCAAAGCGGAAATTATATTTATCAAAATGCCTTATTATTCGTCATGCCTCATCTCATATTCACGTGTTGTTGGCCAATCCATAACCCGATGGTCCCATTCCGTCACGACATTCTACCAATACAGAATCATGGGCATTGAAACTTCCAAACCAATGTTCTTTCATTTATTTAAATAGATTGAGAATGCTAAAATAAGAAATCTTTTGACTATGCTCCAATAGTGACACCGTTGGGAAGCTCCAACCCAATGGGGAGGCCACAGACAAACTTGGCCATGAACTTCTGGCCCCTCACCTTAGCCAGCTTCTCCTCAATATCTCTGTACATATCATATCTGTAAATTACAAAAGTCAGCAACAAGTCGCAGGGTCAGGTTAAGGTTCTTAGTTCCTGGCCAAACTTACGCGTTCATCTCTTCAATCGTCAACACCTTCTTCTGGTCCTCAACCTGGTATGTGGGACAGTCCTTGTTGAAGGAAAAACCTGCGAGAGATGTCTTAGTAGCTGCTTAGATTACCCACCACGCTTTGATACTACTAAAACTTACCGATTCTCTCGTTGATGTTGTAGGCAGCCTTGGCGGCGGCGGCCTGGACGCGAGTGGCCCGAGGCAGGCGAACCTGGTCGTACACGGCCAAGGCCTCAGCCACGTCGCCGTTGAAGTACTTCTTGTTGAACAGGATCCCGAGGGCCGCGGCGTCCTCGATCGCCATGCAGGCGCCCTGGCTCTGGTGGGGCATCATCGGGTGCCCGGCGTCTCCCAGCAGGCAGACCTTGTCCTTGTGAATATAAGGATAAGGGTCGTGGATCCAGAGACGCCATGGCTGGATCTCCGTCCCGATCTCCAGGTGCTTGAAGACCTGCCTGTCGAGCTGCGGGTAAGGGTTCAGGAGCTCCTCCAGAGGACGGTCCTCGGTGCCCCACGCCTGGTTCGAGTAGTCTCCCTGATCTCGGGGGAAGAAGCAGTAGTAGGAGAGGAGCTTGCCGCCGTTGCAGGGGGAGAGGACGATCTTATCCCACTTGCCCTCCTGGCCGCCCCAGTACTCCAAAGCAGCGTCCTCGGAGTAGTCAACCAGACCAGCCTTGACCGCGTCTTCGGTCCTGACGTTGCAGTGAAGGCAGCTCTGCTCGGCGGGCCTCTTTGCTGGGTGAACACCGATGATTCTTCGGACAGCCGACCCGATACCATCAGCCCCGACGATGAGGTCGTGCCTTGCAGTAACTCCGTTGTCAAAGGTAATAATGTTGGTTGACAGATCGATATCGTGACACTAAAAGAACCGGTTAGCATTTATGATCCCCACGTTTCAAAGGCCATGTGCTTCGACTAACCTTGTGGTTCACCAACAGCTTCGCAGGCTGGCCATCTCCCTCTCCCATGGCAGAGTCCTTGAGCATCGAGTGCATGTACTGCCGGTGGAACATGTTATACACGTACCCCCACCTCTCCTCGTAGTCCGCCAGGTCGTAGACGCTGACAGGCTCGCCAGTCTTCCAGTCGCGGTTGATCAGCTTCTTCAGCACGACCGGGTCGCCCTTGGCCACGTCCACGTTCCACTCGTGGAGCCACCGCGTCCCGTTGGCGGCGCAGGAGACCGAGGCGCCCACCTCGCCTGCGTAGTCGGATCTCTCGTAGATGGTCACCTCGTGGCCGGCGCGGCGGAGGGCGATGGCGACGGACATACCGCCGATGCCACCGCCGACGACGCCGACGCTGAGGGGTCTCCAAGACATTTTTATGAAGGGTTTGGTTGTGAGGGTGTGGAGAGAGCTATTCTAGACTTGGAGGCTTAGAATATAGAGATGATGAATGATTGATCTCTTGGTGTGTAGAGTAAGCTGGATGTAGGCTCAAGTGGGAGTAGAACACTCATATATCTTCGATGCCGTGAAGCATTTTCGCCGTCATCACCCACCCACCAGCTTGACGCCACCCATCAACTTCCAGAGATAGGAACATCTCCGGTCTAAGAACATATCCGCATGCTATTAACGCTGAGAAGGAGGTGGGCACTCTGGTGTTGTCGATAAGTCGTCTCATGAGCCCGTTAATATCCGCTAGTTCCGGATAATGCACCGGCGCAATGCCTTGAGCCGCAACGAGCACCCCTAATCAGTGAATGTTGTGGTTTTTATTATCGATCGTACGAAAGCGTGAGAAAGGCCTATCAATTGAACATACAGGTTTGAGGACACAGGTTGCGGGCCGCAGTAAGAATGATGAATCGCGTATCCGTAAGGCGGTTCATTATTAATTAGATCAAGTTCAGAAACATCAGTAGCTATAGTATTCATACAAAACACGATCCAAAGCCTTAATACATAACTCTCTTCCATCAACCAGTTAGACAAAGGGAAAACTGTCCCACTGAGAAATGTTGAGGCTGTCCCAATCCAGGTTGAGCTCACCGCTGTCTATCTCAGGGAACGACCAATTTGTGTCTTCCAGGCGAGGTGTGCCGAACAGGGTTTGGTTTGAGTAAATCTCCTCGTCTTGGGGCTGCGCTTCCGCGTTCGCTGGTGAGGAGGCCAGGCTGAAGAGCTTGGAAACATATCGGCTCTTCCTAGTGCCAGGTTCGCTCGCCCGTCTTCTGGAGATAGCGCTGGACAGAGACGAGAGAATCTCCAGATAATGAGCTGCCTGGGGGCTCTGCACAGATAAAAACTCCAGTACTTCTTTGGAGCCGTGGAAAGCCCCTTCGACCTCCTCCTCCACCGATCTCTTAGCAAAAACTTTAAATCCAAGAACCAATCCAGCGGCAAATATAAGGGCCCTGAGAGATATTGTCAGATATGAGTAGTCAATAAAGGGAAGGAGGGGAGACTTACTTCATAATACACATGTTTCCCTGAAGCAGGCCAGCGTTGAGTGCTTCAAGACATGTTTGGGATAGGTACATTGCCGCCTCAAGGCAAGCCGTGGCCAGCTGAGATGGAACATGTTCGTTCGGCGGCTGCGACGCAAGGGTTGACATCAAAACAGGCCGGGTAACTAACGTAACCGCAAAATAGTAGAGGCATGAAATGTGCACCTTGGCGATGACACCGCTTTGCATGGCTCCAGACTGTTGATCTTCTGTGAAGCTCATACCGCCGACAGACTTCGGTAAATCCCGTTTCCAGCGATCAATTGCCTGGAGAAGGTTCTCAATGACGGAAGTTGTGATCTTCTTTTGATCATAGATCTTGTCTTTGACTTCATTTATGATGGTCACAATGTTATTTGATGCTACTAGCCAATCTGTAGTGCTGTCGAGAGGCTCGTTGACGTCTTCGAGAAGGGACTCGCTATTTGAATCGATTCTGGCAGTGGTAGAAGGTCGTCCAAGGATCGAATTAACGAGCTTGTCGAGGACGCATATGCTCAACCATACGCGGAGTCTGCATGAGCAAGTAAGATTTTGATGTGAAAAGTATTCATCGAATTTCATGAAACCTACCTTACCACGTCCATGGGCCCTGGCTTCTGTCCAAACGATGCTCGGCTATGTAACCCAAGCGCCAAAGCCGCCTTCACAGCGACTCCCAGATACATGAACGCCGAATTCCTGCGGCATTCACCAAGCATATAAAAGGCCATAAGCAGAAAAGCCCTAGCCATGTCTAGATCAGGGTCCTCAAGGAACGAAGCGAAAGCGCGCTCACGCGCCTTGGCAAAGTACCACTGGCCTACCGACCGTGCGGTTGAGTGAGATTCAGACTGGGCGCCAATGGCAATGACGAGATCGACTGCGGCTTGCCTTAGAGGATGCTTCGTTCTTGAATTCTTATCAACCCCCTGACCATTGGATCTTATCAGTTCTTCAAGATGTGTCGAATCAAATACGTGGAGGAAACCTTCTGTCTGTGGGTGTGTTAGTGAGTCGGCCGTATACTGGTCGCAAGTCCCTTACCACTGCGTAATAACATCTCATGTACTTTAATCTCTGCTCCTCCGACAATTCAGGGTCACGGATATCTGGCTCAGCGTCCCTGATGGTTCGGGGAGACTCGACTTCGAGCATTGTCTCGCTCTTCTCATTGTGTGAGAATGGCGAGGGCCCAATTTGCTCTGCCACCAACCCTCGCACCGTTTGAAGAAAGGATATTGACGCAGCACCGCCGATGAAGACTGGAAGATGACCAAGTTAGTACATAATCACTTCGAATGACATGCGCTATCACCATACCTCTCTCGCCACGAAGATTCAATAGCATTCGCGACGTTTGAACAATGGAGGGAGATGCCCCAGCATCGGAGTCAGGGCGAGAATCAGACGGTGACAAGGGCTGAAAGTTTGACGAACCGACCAGCGATAGTCTTCTCTGCGAGGCCTGGTTGGGAGACTCGGTCTCGTCTCCTTCCGACGAGGCTACGACACCTGCAGATGCGGCGGAAACCGACATCCTCTGTGGAAACTGCGATGAGGAGTCGACAGCGGCGTCAAGCTGTCTTCTCGCCCTTGCTCTGGAGCCGCGGGGCGCATATGTGACATAACATTGCTGGGCAAGTCCGCGGCGGAGGCATTGAGTACATGGCGGCGAGCCAGTGCACCGCCTCTTGGTTTCGCGGCAATGGTTACAAGCCTCGGCCACTCGCTGTCGCTGGTGCGCCGGGACCTTTGGACGAGGCATTCTTACAGACAAGACAGAACATCACTGGTGAGGCAAAAAGAGATAGATGGCGATGACATGCGACTAGGGGAGATCGATGAAGGGGCAAGAACGAGGTCTACTCATGTCCGATAAGCGAACCCTGATAAGCAGGAGCGCACCGAGATGCCGATTGCACACCAAGATACAAGTTACACTCGTTCGTCGGCAATCTTTGGCCAAGTTGGTTATCTGCCATTTGTCAATCCACTTGGCTGATTGGCCTCCGGCTTCCCCGCATTCGATCGGGGACCGTCAGTCCTGGTGAACCAAGAGTCATGCAGATATCTAGGATCCCGGATCCTGGATGGCTGCATGTTATCTCTAAACGTTGTGGGGTGACATCCACCACACCAGGCGGCTTATCATGAACTTGCGGCTATGGTCCTCATTTTAGTTCGGTGCCGCTGGTTATCATCGGGCGTCGGATAATGCACCTGACGGTAGCGGCTATCCCCCACTTGCACCTAATCACCTCAGTTCATGTCACCAACCTTCCTCGTTAGCTTCCATGTTAAATCAAGGAGAGATAAGCACACGAAGAGACATCAAAATAAATCGCAGGTAAGCTTGATACATCATAAGATGTAAATCAATCATGATTCTTGGTCACCCAAACCGTGCTATCTAGACCCAGCCAAGTTTCCGCAAAGCTGGTTCAAACTTCACTTAGTATCTACACAACTTTCAACCTAGAAGTCTTATTATGAAACACAAATATATTAGCACTATCCTGGTTGATAAAATGTTGGCCACTGAATTTTTCGTAAGAGGGCTAGTCTATGAGTGCCGGTGTCCACACCATCCTCCTCGTTAGTTAACTTGTTTGATTGATATATCAGGGCTTGTGTGAAAACCGTCTACTACATTGGTTGATATCTGCGCAATATGGAAATTGTAGCGGTGTCACAGGTAGATGGAAGCGCATGGAAAAGGCTCAGGCAAGAAGATGTGCTCAGTGAACACTCTTTCATAACTCCTCTTCCATCGCTTAATATCCAGCTTTTGATATTTCTGATAAAACATTTTTAAGATTTAGTTATAGAGCTTTACCATCCCTAGGCCAAGTCCAACTAAAACGAGTGGGATCAAGACGGTACGAGATAGGACCAGAGCGATGTTGTCTCTGGGCACATCACAACAGTATAGGCGCATTCGGCATACGAGAACGAACTCATAGTTTACAAGCGAATTTTCAAGTCAAGTAGCATTGCTATGGTTTCAAATATCCATCTGATATTAAATTTAAGGAGAGGGGTCGGCGCTTAGCACCGTTGAACAAAGGGAACCCATCTTGTAATATCTAAGGAAAGGAATAAGCGCCAAATATCGCTAAACAAAGGAAATTCACCGGGTATCAATCTCTAAAGAAAGGAAGCAGCGCTAGACATCGCTAAACAAAGGAAAACAAAATAGCCATCGCGGCTAATAAAGAAAGACACGCCATCCTAGACGCGACAAAATCAGAACAGGTGGGCCATCCGCGCCGTCAAGCGCCGTAGACTGTTCCTGCTCGTCGTGCTGCTATTTCTGCTGATCGGTTCTTTAAATTTACGAGGCTCCTGACTTCTGCGCTCGCTGGATGTGGGATGTACAGGACTGCTCGTACCACTTGATCCCTCTGCTCTGGCCACAACAGAGCTATAGAACGCTGGTATTGTGTCGCTTTCTGGCGACCCGTGAGGCCATATATGGGCATTAGCGTGTTGGTAAAAGGTTTTGCGCTGTCGTTCCTGGAATTCTTGGAAGTCTTTAAGAAGCAGGTACTGTGCGTCCGTGACCTGCACCCAACGTGACGGCATGCCATCTTCCTCGGGAGGAGACTCTGCCATGGGGTCCATATGCGGTACCTCAACCACTTCGTCTTCGAGCTCGTGCAAGCTTGTCACCTCGGGAGTGGTCGCCTCGGTGTTGATCCAAGAAAACGGTCTCTCCACAACTCTCGCCTCGACTCGGTGCCGTGGAGTTTCCTTTATCTTGGGCCCCTCCGAAGGTGGTTGCATGGGAAACGTAAAACTTCGGTCCAACTCTCCTAGCTGGTAGTCATCGGGGGGTGGGGTGTGCGAGTAGAGCTCGTCACGCGACTTCCCTACCCTTACCTTTTTCACCCTATCCTTGCGCTTCAACGGCGTGTTGAGGCGCCTCTCAAAGTTTGGCACAGCATTAAAGTAGTCATCCTTCTGTTGGTATTCAGGCGGACTGCAACTTGGTACGCCGAAGTGCTCCTGGTATGGAAAGCCTGGGGGGCCTGGGCCCTGGTAGCGAGGCCCAGGGGGCTCGCGGGAGGTATTCATGGTAGGTATGAACGGGTGGCCAGTCATGTTCCTTTTTTTACTTGAGTTGTTTCGTTGTCGTTGAAATGAAATTCGCAATATGAGTGACGAGACTTCAGAGCAATCCGATCGGGATACGGTGAAGAGAAGAGATTCGGCAAGTTCCAGGCTTCGCAGTAGGAAAAATTTATACCAAGAGGAGATCTGGGTTGAACACTTGGTCAAGAGACCTTCCACGCATCATGTGTATGCAGTCCTGTTTATGAGCACGGAAATCTCCCTTAGCTCCCAATGAAAAGGCATCACACAGCCTTGCCACAAACCAAATAACTCGTTTACACAGCTCCACAATGTGGGAACAGGCTGTCAACTATGCACACCAGATGGTCAAAGCAGACCCAGAGAAAGCATGGACAGCGCTCAACGTCTCTTCATTGTCATCTATCGAGTGGCATAACACCTCATTCTTGGCACGCGGTTGGTAGCAAGACGACGCTACCTGGGTGGTAGATGTGGTTACTTGGGTGGCAGACATGTGATTACTTGGGTGGTAGAGATAGACGGACTTTCATCCAGTCTGATGTATTGAGTAATTGCGACCCTAATGGATTCTTTCGTGACACGAGTCAAGATGACATGTTGAGTTTTGCGGAATCAAAGACATGAACGATCCTCTTGGGACTGCTTCACCACCGATCCAGGCCGTACCGTTTTCCATGATCCTATTTAATCCGTTGTTGCAATCCTCGTATGAAGAGGATGCAATCAACTACATTAAGCGCCTCCCTCTTTCCAGGGTATCCAACGTTATCCATGTTCCCTTAAATTCAGTATCTGCCGAGATGGGGTCTCGGTGTTCAAAGCTTCGTAAACAGACACTTATTGTCCATATCTGACTGATAGTCGCCGCCCCAAGTTACCCAAAAAGAGAAGAAATAAAGAAAAAAAAATACAATAAATAAAAAAGGATGGGTAGCAAGTACCAGAACTCCATTTTAGCACCAACTCCGACGCTGAGATTCCAACCAATAATTCCACTTCATGCGAACTGGGGAAAGAGAGAGTGAGAGAGAAGTGCTTGAGCAACAATAAGGGATATATATAAAGACATGCTCTGGGTGGGTTAATATGTGAAATCAACATGCGCCATTACTGGTTGGGCTTTGTCCTGACTTGATGAGGAGCCGTTGTTCGTTTCGCTGTTTTGAGTAGCTCCAGAAGATTCAGTGTCTCCCAGAGTTGTGTCGGCGCTAGTTTGTGATGTTGTCGATTGGAGTTCGTGAGGTGCAGTGGTCTGCGCACCCGTCGTCAATCCTTCGTGGACGATTTGTTGGAAGCTCCAATTGGGCTCAAAATTCTTGCTGTTCCAGGCATGGTCAATGCGCTCATACATCTCATCAATCTGTTCGAGAGACATTTTGCTCGTCTCGTACACCATGCTCCAAACAAAGAAAACAGACAGTATGCAAAAAGCACCCCAGATAAAGAAAATCTTAGGCCCAAAGTCTGCATAACGCGGGGCAGTTCCCACCATGAAGGGGGTACTGTAGGCGATTCCGAAGTTGAAGAGCCAATTCGACGCTGTTGAAACAGAAATGGCCTTGGCACGAATCTTGAGAGGATAAATTTCCGAGGTAACCACCCAGGCAACAGGACCCCATGAAGCGGCGAAGAAAAAGATATTTATCGCACAGAACACCACGAGGATCAGCTGTGCAGCCTCTTGTAAATCGTGGCCTGCGGCGGTAGAGAATGTGGCGATGAAGAGCTGGCAAGTGGCCATCCCGATAGCTCCAATCATCAGCAGCTTGCGTCGACCCCAAGTTTCAATCACTAACAATCCAGGAATGGTCGCAACAACGTTGATAACATTGTTGATGAGCGATTTGGTGTATGGGCTCTGGACGCCAGCGCCATCGTAGAAGGTCGTGCTGTAATACATGATGAAGTTGATGCCGGAAAGTTGTTGCAGGATCTGGGTGGTGCAGCCAGTAATAGTACGACGACCGAGATGCGGCGTTCCGAATAACAGGTCTTTGTAACTATTTGAACCCAGAGATAATTCGTATGCATGGTTGGCCTTGATTTCCGCTAGTTCTTCAACAAGGACTGGGTGGGTGATATCCAAGCGTCGTAGTCGGCTCAGAGAAATGCCAGCCAGTTCGTATTCTCCCTTCATCACCAAATACCTAGGTGTTTCTGGGAGAAACATGAGACCGCCAGTGAGGATGAGAGCGGGGAAAAGCTGAAGTCCTAGGGGAATTCGGTAGGCGGAAGAGTCTTTCATTTCAGCCGTAATGACATTTACAATGGATGCCGATAATAGTCCAATCGTGATCGAGAGTTGATATGCACAGACAAGAGTTCCTCTTATCCATCTAGGGGCCATTTCGGATTGATATAACGGGACGAGCACGGAGATCATTCCTACACCAACTCCAGCAAGGAACCTGTGACCCTGAGTCAGCATCCCGCTTCCCAAGCAAGAATGAAATTTCCACTTCATAACGAGGCGAGCGTTACCTTCCCACGAGCATCAGAGGTGTTGCCTGAGCGCAAACTTGGCAGATAGCACCAGCACAAAATATTCCAACAGCTATCAGGAGAGTCCGACGGCGGCCAATATTGTCGCCGGCGGGTGCAGCAAGTAGTGCACCGACAGCCGTACCAGCGCTGAGAATCGCGACAATTATCGATGAATCTTCGGGGCAAATATCGAGCTGGTTTTTACTGTCGTAACAGTTGGTTCCGAATTGGTCTTTGAATGCACGCATAGCCAGAATCCCATTGATCGCGCTATAAGAAAAGGGTGTCAGCCGAATTGCCCCTGCCCATTCAAGCAATCACGAAGCGGAGGTGGATTTTTCGTTCCACACAGACCACCCTCCGCGAATGAAGAAAAATGCGTGGAATTATGTTCCGTCTGATTTTCCATAATTTTTCCATCGTATGTTGTGTTTTTCCCGAGTCCAGTCCATCTGGTTTCAATTGGGCGTCGATTCGTAGTGAGTTGATCGTGGCTTCGAGTCTCGAGTCCAAACCCGATGGATTGGAGGCAGCCGCAGAACCGTCGAGACAAGGGTGGGCGTGGAGATAGAATGGCAGGTTGCAAATGAACTTACCCAGTATCGTATCCAAAAAGTATGCCTCCCGTGGCAACGAAGAGGCCTACCATGATGGCCGGCGCTGACGTGCCTGCGACATTGTCAGGCTTCTGCCAGCCCATGGCAATCGCCATGGTGTCGGGGTTTCGGACGTCAATCCACGGTTCGATGAGGGGAAGATCGTGCGGAGGAAGTCGATGTTACGTTTATCGGCGGCGACGCGGGAGCGATGCAAGCGTCGTGGTCGCCGTGTCGTCGTCGGTGAAGCAAATGCGTTGATTGATGTGGTGTGAGGTGAAGGAGAATGGCAGGGCAGCCAGTGGAGAAGGGCGGTCGCAAAAAGCGGGTGGTGGACGGAGGTCTAGGCAGGGAGGCAATGTAACTCCCATTAGTGACTTGCTTGGCATGGGGAGGGCGCTGTGCATCGCATGGGCGGGTTACGTTGGGGGAGGAAAGAGGGGATCAGGATCATCAGGGTACCGGCCACCCACTAGAGAGGACGCTTAGTGCTCGTCGGTTGCCTGAGGTCGAGTGCTGTGCAGGAACTAGCACCCGCTAGACGAGATACACGAAACAGAGAGGTACCAGCGGCCCTGGGATGCACGCCTCGGCAGATTCCTTGAGCGCTACGGGCAAGGAAGAAGAAAAATAAGACGGCAAGAAATTACCCAAGGCCGGGGCGGTTCAGCTCGGGCAGACGCGCAACCGACTAACAGGCTGGCTGGGTTGGCTGCACCTGATCTCGCTCTAGCACGCACAACGTTGAATCTTACGTGCACAAACGGGGAGCGCTGGGACTCGAGGCACTTGTGGGACGAAGCACATGCACATGCATCCAGTCCAGTACATGAGAGAGATTCGAGAAGTTGGCCGTAGTGCCAAGGACCAACGAGCGACGACGATCAATACCGGAGCGGGCGAGGGAAGGAATCTCGCTGTGAAATCAAGAAGGAAACGGGGCCAGGGAAGGGGGAGCAGCGAGGAACCAGACGAGCTGGGGCAGAAAACTGGACAGCGATCTGCAGGCTGGCGGGCTGCCATTGGCTGGATGTGCGGCGCCCCAGCTTCGAAGGCCTGAATTTGCGCCATGCCGCATCCAGCGATGGCAGCATCGTTAAAGTTGTACGTGGAGTAGCGGCTTCTTCCCCAGATCTTGTCCCTGTAGTGTCGCCTTCTCGTCGTGTGAACGAAATTAGGCGGTATGGCAGACACGGACACCTGATGTGCTGCGATGCCGCGCATCCTGGCCACCACATGGTCCATCTTGCCGGTTGTTAGTGGGCGACGGGTCCTTCCGGTGCTGACAGAGCCATTTCACGCTGCAAATGCTTCCTCCTGCCCGCGGATGCCGTCCAAGTGCCCCCCTCCATCGGCCAGAGTCACAGTCCCCGCTCGCTGTCCCAGATGGACCCATCCAATGGGTAGATTTCCCTCTGCGCAGAGCTGAGCTTCCTCCCCTTTCCTGCCAGGTCGGCTTATCAGCACAGTCAGCCGCAGGCAAAACAGCGCCCAGTCCCTTGACTCAGAATCTGGGAGCCACAATTGCGGCCTTTGTACGCGCACCCGACATTGCACAGCGAACCAGCGAGACTTTGTCATTCGAGCGCAACCTCTGCCCGCTAGAAGCAGTAATAATCATGACACACCTCACCACTCCGTCCACCCACCCATCCTATCACACCCACCCTGGCCGTCGTCTAGTCTCCTATGCGCTGCTTTGTTCGCTCTTTACCCTCGCCAAGACGCCAGACTCCGACCAGGGGCCAACGCTTGATTGCAGTCAATGGACACAATGGAGGTAGCTTTCCCGGCCACCCTCGCCCTGAGAGCAACCCAACGCATGTGAGTGTCTCGCGCCTCGTAGGGCTCTGCGACTCGGGAGGATTGTTCCATCATCATCTAGACCTATGGTCAAGCGCGTATCTCGCTTTTGGATTGGCGTAGGATGGGTCAATAGTCGGCACATCACCACCCGCGCGCCCCCCCTCCGCCTTTCCCCCTCTGTCCAAATCTAGGAGATTGTTTCATTTGCAAGCCTTCGCACCATAATTAGGATTGTTCCCCCTGGCTACCGATGACCGGAGGTACCGACTGGGGATGGGCCATGCCGTTGCTTGCGAACTACTAGTGCCCACTCTTATGGTCTCCAGAAACCAATCAAAAGATAAGACATTAAACCAACGGCTTCCCATCCAAAAAAGAACTGTACCCTATGGTCCACGTCACTTGCTCTGCCGCAGGGGTCGCACAAGTTGGCTGCCTGATGAACACCTGCATGGAAAGATTCAATCACGACGGTTAGCGCATGCGTGGCTGCTGCTAAGGAGCGTGCAGTCTTGCGCATTATTACTAGCAAGCGTTCACCTATCGATCAGTAAAACCGCCATGGACGCCATCGCCAAGTCCGCCCGGCATTGGTGCAGCTTGTCGTCTTTCTACTAACACTAGGCAGCCGGATAATAAAACAACCTGTGGCCATGACCCCAATGTGCCCACGTCGCTCGCTCCCTTGTCCAGCTCATCATATTCCAATTACTTGTTTCAGCCATATTTCCCAACACCCGCGCTGTCCTTAGTGGTGATGGCCCGGGAGGTCTTGGTTTCCCGCTCTAGACCAGACCCTCGGACCGCACACCAGCCAGGTCCGTACTGGCACCATCATCTGTAGGCAGGCCAATGCTGCGCTTGAACTCACGCAGCCACACAGCGTTGTCAGCCGGCGTTTGGTTCCATGGGTCGTCACTAGAGGGACACGGCTGTGGTTAGCGGACTCTCCACATCCAAGCGTGAACCTTACCAAAGCCAACGTCAAAAGTACTGAGCAAAAGGGCAATGTGTCAACGTACTCATCATACACGATCCATCGAGCTTGGTGCCTCAGCTCCTCGTCCGTTGGGACATGGCGCTTCGGGTTATGCGACGACACTGACGCGGCCACGAATCGAGACAGATCCTTTGACAGGCGCAGGTAGGAATTCTCGCCACTGAGGAAGAAGGGCATCGACGTCAACCACACGTCGTCGTCATGGCCTGCTATCTGCTCCTCTGGGCGGGACTTGGCTCTCCCTGGCGACGGTTTGGGGGTCTTACGAGGCGCGCTCGAGCCATCTGATGGCAGCCTCACTTGGTTGTGAGACTCGAAATGATTCAGGTGAAGATCTTCCGCTCTAGGTCTCGCACTTGTGGGCATCTCGAGCGGCATTGGGCCAAGCTCGAGGCTGTTCAGGTCCTCGTCCATTACCAGGGCCTCGGAACGGGCTCTGAACGGGTCGATCCACCTACTTGATCCGAGAATAGCTCTCTCTAGGAAATGTTTGAAGATGTTGGAGGGCGCCGGTGAGAGCGCCTCCGCGTTCTCAACGATGTTGCATGCCTCCTTCTGTAGGGACTTGTCTTCGAGGTCTAGGTTCTGGCTTTTCTGCTGCTGTGCGAAATTATGTAGCTGTAATTCTAGAAGGCAGTCCTGGAATATCGTTGCCTTCCCAGCGATTTTCAAGGGCGTGAGCCGTGACTTCTGCTTGCCCTTGATTAGTCGAGTCTGAGCTCTTCGAGAAATCTCATCTGAGGAGAGGAAAAGATCCCGAAGCCACGATGCAGAGGAAGACACGAGTTCATCTGGTATCAAAAGGTCTGAATCAAATATCACACAGCACCCCTGGTATAGCAGTTCTTCGTCCGTTGGCATCGAGCCATTCCCATCAAGGTAGTCTAGTATGAAGTACTGGATTTCGGCTTTGAGCAGTTCGTATGCGCTTGTTGGAGACTCAGGCGACCCTTTGCCGGCGGTAAAAGGATAAGGCGATGCGCTTTCAAGATGAATCAAATCTGTTCATCAAGTTAGATGAGACTTGGTCCCATGCAATTGCGTGAGAGAGACAACCCAACTTACAGGGAGGCATCGCATTCTCAACTATCTCCAGTACATGCGGCTCGAATCCCCAGTCCCCCTTCCAGTCCGCCATAGTCTTTCCATCCCGTTTGAAGTGCCGAGCCAGGTGGTCAACTCGGTCCTCCCAGGAGAACAACACAGCATCGCAGAAGCCGCATCGCGACTGGATTTGATTCGCTTCCTTCTTCCATCCCTCCATCGGCCATGGCATGAGCTTTGACCCGTGGACCAGCCTTAGATGCTGCTGCAAGTGGTCTTTTCGATGAAATGTCCGCTCCTCTGAAGACCGCCCGAAGCACGCAGCATAGTTATGGCCCGTTAGATGTTGTTCGTCCGGGCTCTCCAGTCCGCAGTAAACGCAGGATGCTACAACTTGCCCAGGCCGAATGGCCACCGGCCCTGCAGGAGAGCATACCCAGCTATCGAGAGATATATGCATAGATTTTTCATGTCGTCTCCAGTCATACTTGGTCTTGAAGGAGTCGGTACAGAATGTGCAAGCGAATGTATTCCGAGATGGGACCAGCACGGTCCGACGACCCTCCATTTGCAAGGCGTCTTGCCGTTTCCGCCGACGCCGGCGCCGTGAAGCGCCCACAGGTGAATTCAACGATGACCCGAGCGAGCCTCGTGAGGAACCAGATATAACAGAGCCTTGACTTGAATGTGAATTGGCGCTGCCACCGATGGAAGAGCCGTAATCAAAAGACCGCACTGATTCATCCTCCCCAGATAAAATTGAGCCGCTGCTTTGAACACTCGAACCAGATAGACCGAAAGACTCTCTCACGGCTCGGGCAATACTGCTCACATCGGCTGGCTCAACCTCCGGAGGAGAGTGTTCCCAACGCTGCAAAGGGTTCATGTGCTCAAATGGAGCTGGTGTCGGGGCCCGCGGACGTCTTGGAATAGTAACCGAGCCGATTTCTGCTTCTTTATTTGGCAGAGGAGCCTGGGCAGGTTGGAATCTGGTCCTTTTCCTGGCATTTGCGAACCACGTGCTGATCTGGCGCTTTGTGAGGCCGGTTTGCGATTGCAGCCGCCGCAGATCCTGGCTACCTGGATAGGGATTATCTATATGATCGCTCATCCAGTTTCTGAGGGTCTTGACGGACATCGCGGAGAACCTTACAGGCCGTTGTTTATCCTCCTTGGCTAACTGCCGAGGCATCTCGTCAATTGATGTCAGGTTTAGCGGTGTCAGCAGTGTGTTTGTAGTGTCAATTTCAGATGACTCGTTTTGTCCTCCTTCGCTTTCATTCTTAGATTCCACTGGGCCAGACGAGCTTCTAGATATCAGGTGTAATGTCTCTGTGGCAGTGTCTGTTTGATTCCTCCCTGGCGCGTCGCGACCTTCTCGGGTCCCAAAGCCCAAGAGGGTTATATCCTCGTTGCCTTTGATTGATCCAGGATAGGGAGCATGATTTCCAATTGAGGAGGTTTCTTCTAGGTACTGGTCCCCGAAGTCAAAGGCAACGCAGTCCGAGAGGTCTAAGCCAAAAATGTCTGAGGGATGCCCATCGGATCCATCCCAGGTGAAGTCGTCAGCCATAGCAGGAGAGAAAGAGCATATATTCACTTAAGGCAGGGCTAGGGGTGATCGATTTGGCGATCGTCTTCACATGATTCTAGAAGCAGGTCACGTTTAATGCAATAATGAAACAAGGGCATGATCCATTTCCCAAAACTTTACGCCGGATGTAAAGATACGCCCTTGGATGATGAGCTTCTTTTGCACACTGTGTGTTAGCGGGCCCGCAGCCAATTTTAGGTGGTTGGAAGATGATGGCACAGTGCTTTTCCGTTTCTCACACACTGACCCAATCATCATGATTGGCGGAGTTATGATGCCAATCATATTGGCCACGATGTTTATGACTTTATCTAGCGAATAGGACCATGAGTAATTAAATCCTTGGATTCAACTTTGAATAAATTGTAGAACGCCTCTCGAGGCCGCCAAAGTCTTTGTAACTCTTCGACAACCTCATTGCTCAGGCCCAACCATTTTCTCCCCAATATCACAGCAATTACAATGCTTTCACCCGTCAATTGTCTGAGGGCAAAGACTCGCATCTCCAGTCCTAGAAAATTCTCCACCGCTCGCCAGTGCCTCACACAGCTGAAGATCAACTCTGATCGGCTCCAGGAGACTCTCCACTACACCTGTCAATGGGGAGCCGCCAATCGATATGGAGAGTATGAAGCCAGTACGCAGGGGCACAAATTTGAGCTTCCAACGTTGACATTGTTAATTAGGAAGCCCACTGAGACCGGTATGAGCCGTCTGGCGCTCTCAGACGAGGATGCACAAGTCAGGCGCTGGTTCCGCCAGGAAACAGAACGCCTCGGCTGCAAAGTCACCATTGACCAGATGGGCAATATGTTCGCCCGGCGGCCAGGCGCCCTGCGCTCTTCTGCCCCAATGACAGCTATGGGGAGCCATCTTGATACTCAACCTCGAGGTGGGAGATATGATGGTATCCTGGGAGTGGTAGCCGCCGTCGAAGTTCTCCGAACAATGGAAGAGAACGGATACCAGACACAGTATGATGTCGGTATCGTTAACTGGACAAAGTTTGTGACACTTGCTTCTTTCTCATCCCGTGTAGCACCCTGTTTCACCTCATTCACTTTTGTTGTCTTTCGCGGATTGTGGCACATTGGTAACTGACGTTTGATCGTATCAGTGAGGAGGGAGCACGGTTCCCGAAATCGATGGTCTCCTCAGCCGTTTGGGCGGGAGATATTCCAATTGAAAAAGCCTGGGCCCTCCAAGATATCTCCGATCCCTCAGTTACAATGAAGAGCGAACTGGAACGGCATGGATATCTTGGGGAAGTAGCATGTTCTTCTGATCCGATGAATGGTTATCCGTTGGGGGCACATTTCGAACTGCACATCGAGCAAGGCCCCATATTGGAGCAGACGGCGAGGAAAATCGGCGTCGTGACTGGAACTCAGGGCTACCGTTGGTTTACTTTCACTCTTACAGGTCGGAATGCCCACACAGGAACCACGCCCTTTGAAATGAGGAGGGATCCATTGCTTGCCGCCTCGAAAATGATCGCCTCCTCAAACGCCATTGCCAAGAAGTTTGGCGGCCTCGCTTCCACGGGGATATTGAAGATGCCAATCGACTCTTCTACAAACACAATCCCATCAGAGATCAGCTTCTCGCTTGATATCCGACACTCCGACGATCGCGTGGTTGCAGCGATAGAACAACGTTGTTTGCAGTCGTTTCGAGATATCGCTCAAGAGGATGGTTCTGGAGTTGATATCTCTTGGACTCTCGATACAGACTCCCCTGCAGCCGTGTTTGACAAGCAGTGCATCTCAGCTGTAGAACAAGCGGCAAGCTCTCTAGTCGGGCCAGATGGCTGGCTTCACATTGCGAGCGGAGCTGGCCACGACAGCGTGGGCACAAGCAAGCGATGCCCGACCACGATGATATTTGTCCCCTGCAAGGATGGGGTTAGCCATCATCCTGAGGAGTATTGCAGCCAAGACGACTGGTACGTGGCGCCGTGAAAGTTTCAACCTACAGATAGCCAAGGCTAACCTCTCTTGATTTGTGCAGTGTCATCGGAACACAAGTGCTCCTTGATTCCATCCTCATCTACGATGGATTTAGGGAAGGTAGATTTGAGGGACCATCGAGGGTGTATATGTAGATTTACCTATTATTGAACTGATTCCAACCACTTGAGATCACACCCAAGCCCCTTTTCCAAAAACAAGCTTTGGAAGCAGAACATGTGATAAAACAGCAGCATCACCAACGATAGGTCTCAGTTCTAGCCCTGACGAACTCCATTCCCGAGATCAAGGGAACGGATAGAAAGGAAATACACATTAATACCTTGGACTTGGACTTCGCCCTCCCCTAAAGCTATGCCGTTGCTATCCCATTCATGACTTGTCCGGAGTGGATCTCTAAACGTGTCGTGCAATCTTCCCTAAGTAACTTGTTTGCCTCATCTATTAATATTGGCTTCACAACAGTTTATTCTTCGGCCCTAGCCAGAATTCCCATCAGCTATTTCGCACAACTCTAAGAACTCGTACCTTGTCAACTCCTCTATCTTCTTCCCACTATCGAGATCTCTTGATATCAGCAGAGTCTGAATCTCATCGCCTCTATAATCTAGCATCAGTTCTAGCACACCACTTGCATACCCTTTCCCTGCTGCCGCTATAAGCATCTCAGGCGTGATCTGAATCTCGCCACCTCTCTTCTCTAGTAGCAGCTTCATAGTTTCGGAATCCATCCCTGCTGCTGCTTTAACCACCTCTGGTGTAATCTGAATCTCATCACCTCGCTTCTCCAATAGTAGCTTGAAACTATCAGGATAATGGCTTGCTGCTACTGCTGCAACCACCTCGCGTGTGATCTGAATCTCATCACCTCGCTCCTCCAGTAGTAGCTTTAGATTTGTACCACCAAAAGGCCCCCGTGCTGCTGCTGCTGCTATAATTATCTCAGGTGTGATCTGAATCTCATTACCTCTCTTCTCTAGTAGTAGCTTCAGATTCTGATAACCACTTAATGCTCTTATAACCACCTCAGGCGTGATCTGAATCTCATAAGATCTCTTCTCTAGCAGCAGCTTCAGAGTTTCAACATCTGACCCTGCTGCTGCCATAACCACCTCTGGCGTGATCTGAATCTCATTACCTCTGTTCTCTAGCAGTAGCTTCAGATTCTTATGACTCCAACTTGCTGCTTCTATAACCAACTCAGGCGTGATCTGAATCTCATCACCTCCCTTCTCTAGCAGCAGCTTGAAATTGTCAGAATGATGACCTGCTGCTGCTATAACCAACTCAGGCGTGATCTGAACCTCATCACCTCTGTTCTCTAGCAGCAGCTTCAGATTCTTATGACTCCCACTTGCTGCTCTTATAACCAACTCAGGCGTGATCTGAATCTCGTCACCTCTCTTCTCCAGCAGCAGCTTGAAATTGTCAGAACGATGGCCTGCTGCTGCTATAACTACCTCAGGTGTGGTCGGAATTTCATCACCTCTGTTCTCTAGCAGCACCTCTAGCACCCTACCCTCATAATCAGAATCCCTCACTGCTGCTGTAACCACCTCAGGCGTGATCTGGATCTCATCGCCTCTCTTTTCTAGTAGTAACTTTAGAGTCTCAAAACCCGCCCTTGCTGCTACTGTGACCACTTTAGGCGTGATCTGAATCTCGTCGCCTCTCTTTTCTAGTAGAAACTCAAGCGCCCCCCACCCATATAAACTCATTACTGCCTCTAGTACTACCTCAGGCGTGATCTGTATCTCATCGCCTCTCTTCTCCAGCAGAATCTCGAGTGACTCCTCCCAACTGGGGCCTCCCGCTGCCGCTAAAATTACCTCAGGCGTGATCTGAAAACCATCTTGCAGTAAGTGGTTAAGCACATTCGGTGCCCATTGTGCAGCTTCAACCAGATCATGGCTCGAGAAGGTATGAGGAAAGTCCCATGGGATGCTTGGATCCGCTAGACCCCTTGCAAGCCATCCAATATCAAACTCAAGACAAAAGTCAAATATTGAAGACTGAGAATGGAGCCATGAACTACGTAGTCCAAGTCGCCCATGTTCCTTGATTAGGCAGTGAATAACTCTTGTTAACATGCCCAGGTTGTCTTTCACGTCATGGATGCTGTCAATGTGTTCATGCCACCAGGATGAGGCGTATAGAAGGAAGGTAGGCTCTGTTGCGCGGGCCCAACATCCCTCAACCGAGATGCTATCGCGTCGAATGGTGATATTGCCAAAACTCAAGTATCTTATGCATGTTCTCCCTAATTCGAGATTCGGTTGCGGAAGCCGCAATTCCAAATCTCCTTCGTACCATATCTGAGGTCGACTTTTGAGAAAATCCAACAATGATTGATGGATCAAAAACAGCTTTTCATCGATAATGTCAATCAGAGTTCCCAGCGTATTTCTGATTAAATCAGCATCGAGGGAAACCTTCTCCTCGAGGCAATCCACCCAATTGTCGCTGTTGGTGACCATGACCGCTACTGCTGTTTCCAACTCTGATAAAAAGAGTGGGATTTTGGCAAATGTGACCCAAGCTAGAATGGCAATAGCATGTTTTCCTCTGCAGGCGTCTCGGAAGAGATTGGTGTAAAGTTCGTCAAGCTCCTGGGGCGTCTCCTCGGTGATTTCTTTAATTTTCTTGAGGGTGGGAAATTTCAATCTGCGAATCTTCTTCAGTACGATGTGTATCCAAAGGAATGTGCCTCCTGCACGGCCCCAGATCCCCCGACGAATGTCTGTGTGAAATTTGCTGAAACTTTTCGGCAGCGATTCTAGTTGTTTCGTAATGAATACTTCGATGTCATTGTTGGGTTGTCTCAGATTTCGTTTTGTTCCCAACAAGAAGTTTCCAACTGGCCCATCGGGCCTGCTAGTTAAGAACAGCCGAATTGGTTCTTTCATCTCTCCTAGCTTGGCGACGAGATTTTGCATTCCTTCAGTCTCATACACATCCAGCCCGTCTATAATGCAGAAGATCCGGTTATGTTGACGACTCTGCACCAGATCATCAAAAGTTCCCCAGAGTTCCTCAAATGTAGCCGAATGAAAGGCTTTAGAACCCCCCGGGGCCTGAAATCTATTTGGGAGTTTCAGAAAGTATCTCTTATCCGTGCATAACTGCACTATTAAAGCCCGGAGAACCGATGATGCCGTTCGTGCATTGACATCCTTGATATTGCAGAAGAAGAAGATGACTTTGTTTTTGTGCCGGTTTTTGACAAATTGTTGGATGTGGTTTACCACAAATTTCGATAGTACTGATTTTCCCATCCCCGGCGGTCCGAGTATTAAAAGAGAAGATGGCTTTGAGTTGTCTCTCCATGCCTCGAAGTCTTCGTACTGCAAGCTATTCTCGCCTTGCGGTCTTTGAGATCCCTTGCTCACTAGCCATTGAAGTGATCCTTCAACCGGTTTTGCTAGCTTTTCTTTATTTTCATAAAAGGCTCGGTAGTCGGGGACATTCAAGTCATCCCAATGTCGTTTCTGTTCTTCAGAGAGTTCTGGAACAACAAGTTAAATTCTGGTAAACGATATAGTAGCATTGCTTCTACATACTGATATCTGATTGGAACCGTCTTGGGACAAAATCACAACCTTCCCGAACAAGATCTCCCAACTTATCTTGGACAATCCTGTAGCTCGGATCTGCGAGACGCATAAACTTGACCAAATCAGAATGATCAAAAGGCAGTGGGTGTTGGCTTTGTGTATCGTCCTCAAAACCGATTCGACACGCTGACTCTTTTGTGACAATGAAGCATGGTTCACCCGCTCTTCCTAGCTTTCCAGTATCATCAACCTAACCAATTAGGGCGTGTGTCAGTAAAACTTCTCCTTTGGTAGTAGCTGAGTGGAATATGAATAAACGCACCGCAACAGTAGGTGTTTTCTTCTCCTCATAAAATGATATGATTTTCATTGGCGGCTTTTGCTTTCGATGGCAGCTAATGAACTTTTCCTGGAGGCCTTGAAGATAAGAAGTCGGCTCTGATTCTGTGTCAACCGAGAGATCCAGTATGAGTTGCTTGTTTAGATGTTCACGGGTGATTTCTTTGAGGCTTTCGTGCTTTAGCCCCAGGTTCGGAACACCAAAGAACACCAGCCCGTATGAAGACTTGCAAAAGTCCATGTTTTGGGCATCTCTCTCGCCATCCGAGGCGAGGCACAGTGCCTATGAAACGTTAGTTGGTTTAAAGTAATAGACGTCAAAGATACAAAATACCTCTTTAATCAGAAGCCCACCGAGGCTGTGGCCGAGGAAGATGATTGGCCTTTGGGTTGTCTGGGCAGTGTCAGGATTCTCACGGTAGCTGCCACGGATAAGAGACTTCACATACCTTTGTATCCTTCCGAAAGGTCTTATAGGAGTTCAAAAAGGTCTTCCCTAAACCGGAGATTGATATTTTGTGATCCTTGTTCATGATCGATGAATCGTATCCATAGAGAAGAACCCGACTGTTAGGAATATCGTGTGGAAGACTGTCGCGTAGCCAGACATGGTTGGTCCCTTTACTTTTGAATCCGCCGATCGCATGGCTGCCTAGGCCGTGAACTGCAATGATGCTATGCAAATTAGCTTAAATTTCACATCTTGAGTGGGATTTTTCATACTCTATCTCAGCATGTTCTGGCTCAAACAATGGCGTTACGCCGATGAATTCCGAGTCAACAGGGTATTCCAGATTTCTTGGGATACTGGTTGACATAAAGGTCGCAGTCTGATAGTCGCCGAATGACCTCGCGAGGGTCAGATGAATGTTGGACGACTCTTGCCCATCAAGACTCTGAGCCAACTGACGCTGAAGCTCCTCTTCCGTCACGGTGATGGGAATCTCTTCAATTCTAAAGCATTTGGGCTTTAGATCAGTTTTAGTGTCTTCCTTAACATGAAGGGTTCGGTTATTCGCGGACGATTCGTTGTTTTGGCTTTCGCAAGATCGTCGTTTTCCCAGGTTTGACATGGCGCTCACGCAATTTACAGAGCTCCAGGCACAGTTTTGATATCAAAAGAAGAGTGAACACGGATGATCAGAAGGGTGGTTTTGGAAAAGGAGGCGATGCCTAGGTCAGGCGGAAACGATGACGGCCTAATGCCCTGACCAAACTAACGCGTAATTATATAAGTAGACGTTTGAAATCTGCCTTGATGGCGCTTTTCAGCTACTCTGATTCGGCCGAGCCGTGTCACACTGCAGGAACGTCTCCTGATCTACCTTGTTCTCATGGCAGGACACTAGGCTCCTATGCAAGCAGGCAAGCTACCGTTCCGTATACCCACTACAATATCCCCTCTTATTGTAAGACAGATGCATTATTCCGCGTGCTACTTAATGCTGCGGTAGCGTATGCATCACAAGCGAAGTCCCAGTGTGCAAGGAGGAAGGATTCAGTGAACCGTCCTCAGATTCGCCGTACCAATTCAGCCTCAAATGTAAGAAAGAGGCACTACAAATACTGTTATCTATGAGTGTTATGGGATATTTGACCTACATTCATTGCTCCCTCAACAATGACTTGTAGATTAAGGAGGGGGCAAGCCACTGATATAAAAGATGGCACACCCAGAACCTCCATCGCTGAATATTGACACAATTGTAGACCAATCAACCTAATAATAAACAAAGTACTAAACTAAGTATTGTAGAATAATTTATTCTTATTTTTATTATAATACTTAGTATTATTGATAAGAGAATTAGGTCCCTACTTCCTCAGGCAAATTACGTGAAAAGAGCTTTGGTGTGCCATGTGTTGTTTCAGCCACTTGGGGGGGTAGGAAATGCAGTACTTATGCAGGTATACGAACGAGCTAGAGGTATGAGGTGATACGGTATGACGCTTAGAACGATATGCACTCTGCTCCCACATGTAAGGTACCTAAGTACAGGAATCCATAGTTAGGCAACCACTTCACTATCATCAGAGCAGGGAAAGCGAGAAGAAAGACTTTAGAAATATATATAATTTTATATAATCTGGCAATGTGAAACTCGACATCTAAAGCAATATCCGTACAGTGGCAAGCCAATAAATAGCACACCAGGCGCCCAAAGAACCCATCAAACAGCCGCATCGGCCAATCCCATCACCTCGTGACCATCATGATAATGACAAGAGCCTCATTTTATGTGCAGTAAAGTCCATCATCTTCCTCATTAGAGATCCTCAACCCGAGCCATGGGGCTGATTAACCCCTTATAACTCGAGGGTGACTTCCTGGCCCTTTACACGACCGATGACCTGCTCCGGGGCGTACTTAGGGATGACCTCGTCGTCGTGCAGCATCTCGAATTCCTCAGTGGCGTCACGGCCCATGAAGTTCATGATTGCTTGGGGGCCGCCGGGGTGCTCTTCCAGCCAGTTAGACAGGTCCATGACAACGCCCTTGACGACAACCCAAAGGTCACCCTTTGTGTTGTGCTTGGCAACCTCCTCCATGGTGAATTCCTTCTCCGGGACCGAGAAATTCTTGGGATCGGGCTTGGCGGGGGCACTTACTTCGGGGGCAGCGGTAGGAGCAGCGGCCTGTGCCTGGACGGCGCCGGAGCCGGAGCCACCGTTTGCCCACTCAACAGTAAGCTTGCCAGGAGAGGAAGGGTCGAGGTGGAGAGAGATCTGGCCAAGACGTTGGGCGGCACCAGTCTGTCCCTGGAGGGCCTTCTGGAAGAGGTAGTTGCTGGCGGTATCACCAGCAACACGGCCGTAAACAACACATCCCAGAAGAGATGAGCCACCGAGACGGTTAGCACCATGAACACCACCAGCCAGCTCACCACAGGCGTAGAGACCTTCGAAGGGCTCCTGATCCTGGTTGAGGACCTGGGCCTTGTCGTTGATCTCGATACCACCCATGGTGAAGTGCAGCACGGGCTCCATAAGGGAGACGTGGAAGTCATCATTGATGTCAAATGGCATATTGTGGAAGAACTTCTTGCCCCAGGGATCCTTCTGCTTGCCCTCGGCGATGGCGTTATAGGTCTGGAAGGACTTCTGGAGGTGCTCAGGGGTGCATCCAATCTCCTTGGCGAGCTCCTTGCCAGTCATCTTCTTCATCAGACCACGGCCAGAGTAGTGGCGAGTGTGGAAGTCAAGGACGTTGGAGGCCTTGGAGTTGAGGACGAGACGGATAGGGAACTTGCCCTTGTCCTTCTCCTTCCACATCATGCCCGAGACGTAGTCACGGTGTCCAAGGTCGTCGCAGAAGCGCTCGCCATCGGCGTTGAGGAGGATACCACCCTCACCACGGAGAGCCTCAGCAGCAAGGAACTTCCACTTTGAGCCAGGGTCCTTGGGGTCAACCAGACCGGTAGGGTGCACCTGGACCTTGTCCATATCAATGCCGTTACCGCCAATGGCCATGACCATCTTCTGGCCGTCACCAGTGGCGTGGGTGCCGTTGGTGGTGGCCAGATCATAGGTATCAGGACGATGCTTCTTCAGGAGCGAAGTCTCGCTGAAGTCGGCGGCGTAGCCACCAGTAGCCAGGATAACGGGGCCCTCAGCGACGAGAGACTCTCCGTTGAACTCATATGTGACACCAGTGACCTTGTTTCCCTCCTTGTTCAGGCTGGTCACACGGGCCTTCTTGATGATGGTAACACGGTGGGGTTCGTTCTCGGAGAGCTCTTCGAGACGCTGCATCAGGGCATAGGTGATGGCCATGCCGGGGAACTTGGCGTCATGACCACGGTGTGTTCGGGGCTGAGAGTGTCCACTGATGCACGGTTAATCGCCTGATCGGCTCATCACTGGTGTAAATGAATTGTGGGGAGTCGAAGCATGTACATACCCTAACCGCGAAACAAGAGTCAGGTCGAGGTTGAAGACGTCCTGCAGCCACTCGACAGCGGCAGCAGACTTGTAGGTGAGGACCTTGATGAGGTCCGGACGGGCCTTGTCACGGGCTGACTTGAGTGTATCATCGTAGAACTGCTTGACGCTGTCGGCGACGCCCTGCTCGACCTGCGTCCTTGTCAAGGCACCGTTGATGCCAGAAGTGGCCTTTGTGGAGTTACCGCCGAAGAAACCTATACAGAAACCATCACCATCAGCAAAAGGTCATTCTCACATGTGAAGCCGACTAGTGGCGGCTACCACCATCATGGACTCTTTCACATGACGTAGCGCAGCCACCGGCGGAGGAAGACCCGGATCGAACTCACCCTGCTTGTCTAGAACAGTAACGTTGCCACCGGCGAGGTAGATGGTGTGCGCTGCACTCAGGCCGGAAACTGTATGTAATTAAGCTATCAGCATGCTGTTGGGACAACCGTCTGATGCTTCAACTTGTGAGGGCGCAAGCAGCGACGCTATGCGACGGAACGGAAAGGCTTAGGAACGGAAGGGCGAAACTTACGACCACCACCCACGACAATCACGCTGGGAGCCATGGCTGTGTCGAATATCAAATATCAAATGTCAAATGAAAAATCGTGGAAGCAGAAAATCGAGATAGAGCGACGTGTTTGGGGGAAAGGGGGAGGGAGACGGATGAGTTGGGAAGAAGGGAAGAAATAGGTCAGTCGATGGCTAATGAATGAATTAAAAGGCCGGTCCATGGAAGCGTGGAGCTTACGCCGAGGACCAACTTGAGGCGGACGGATTGCGGGTGGTACGTATCCGTGCTTGCTCCTGCACTAGCCGAGGCACCTTCATTATCCACCCCATGGCACCATGCTACAGACACACGGCACGTTCTGCGTGACCCCAGCCCGCCGCGTCCATTCCCCAGGATTCCAATGTCACAACGAGCCCGGCCGCTGAGGCAATTGCCGAGTCAGACAGCCTGCGAGATTGATGTTCCTCGGCCGTCCTCAGGGACCTGCCCTTCGCTGTTCGCAGAGCCTGCGTTCGGCCTACACGCCCACCCAGGTCCACTGGCCGCTAGCGCCATGCCTCCAACTGCTACTAGGAGGGAGTACTGGTACTTGCATGGAGACATACCAGTCTACGGTTTCTCTATCCCCGTCCCCACAGTTGGGGAACAACAGCTGAGTCCTTTGCTGTTGCATTTGGAATAAAAAATCCAGGGGGCTAAATCTCCATTTGTCCTGCCTTCCCCAGGTTCCCCGATATCGCGCGTATCTGTCCCGTTGAGCGTTCTTTGGTAGCAAACCACAGTGACTTGCTCGCTGACTGATAGCCCGAAATGGCATGATTCCGGGCTGCATAAGACCGAAGCCGTCTAACAACCAAATGCTATTCATGACCCCAAAAACCAACCGAAAATTGAATTGCGAATTTCAAATACGGATTCTCCCCATCAGCTGAATCCAATTCTGCAATAACAAGCCGGGGAAGACCAAGCATGTGTGCCATTTGGGGCTTCTGATGACATGTGACGGCTCCCTTGGAGAACCAGGTACCTCTACATCCACGCTAGGTCCAGGGCCCCTCCCCCACGAGTCCCCCAGATCATCTGACTCGCTCCGTTTCGTGAGCAGCTTTCCCGGCCTCCTGATTGGCCACATGTCGAAGCATGTGAAAGGCCATTCTTCACATCCCCTAATGAAATCAGATGTCCTCGAAACGCATGACGACAGAACCACCCGTCAGCGAGAACAGAGCATCGTGAATCTCATCCCCGAAGACCCCTGTAATTACTCCAATTGATTTTACAACACATGGTCTGATAATTAGTCCATTACTGTAGTGAAAAGAAAGGCCGTCTCCGTCGGAAAGAACCCCGATGCTGACTGCGGCGAAAATACCGACGGCATAATTGGCTATTGTGAATCACGTGATACTGCACGTGAGCTTCTTACACAACAGTCCGATTCCGCGGGGCTATCAGCAGTCCACAAGTTGAATGACGTCGATCTGCCTGAGTATTGTACGACTTCTCGTTGCCAACTTTCCTGTTGCCAAACGCTCTGCATAGACCTATACAGCCATGAGGCCACTACTCCTCCTCTCGAGCCTCCTCTCCCTCACAACCCCATCGTCGGCCGCCTCACCACCACAGCACCCGCTCCTCCCCGTCATAATGCCCCCAACCGCCTCCGACCAGCCACAGAAGCAGCCCGCCGTGCCCCTCGTGGACATCCTCGGGACCCAGCGCTCCATCACGACCTTCTTCTCCCTCATCCGCCTCCACGAGCCCACCGAGTCCCTCCTCGGCGACCTCCACACCAACACCACCGTCCTCGCACCCCTCAACTCCGCCATCGAGGCCCTGCCCCGGAAACCCTGGGAGGACCCCGCCGACTACCACGCCGCCGGCGCGGACGCCTACGAGGGCGAGGACGGCCGCGAGAGGGCGCAGCGCAACCTCCGGCGCTTCGTCGAGGCGCACCTCGTCACCGCCAGCCCGTGGCAGCAGGGGGAGGAGAACAAGGCGGGCACGCTCAAGGGCGAGAGCGGCAAGACGAGGGAGCTGTGGTGGGAGCTCAGGGACGACGGTAAGAGGGTCATCATGCCGGACGGGGTCGAGGTTGACCGCGTCGCCAGCCAAGTGGCCAACGGAGAAGTTGTGAGTCTTGAAATGATACCCCTCCCCCCTCCCGGTTCTATTTTTGGGATATGTGCCTTGCAGCATCTGGAGAAGTGTGCTAACAGATCTTAGTGGATCCTCAAGGGTGTTTTGAACTACAGTTGATTTAGCATTATATGATAGAGGCTCGCTTTATGATTAAAGATCAGAGATATTTAATATAGATACTTGGCAAATCAAGTAGACCGTCCAGCTCCCAGGTCTCACCTCAGAGCACCTATCCATGACCAGACTTAAGACATGATCTTCTGTCACGCACGTAAACCATCTCGAACTATAAATAGCCATGCCAAAAGAGGCAGTCTATCACGTTTAGACTATCACGTTTAGACCATCACGAGTAAAGATTATTGTTGTAAAGCAAAAACGAGTTCAATTATACCATCCTAGCTCTTCGCCAAGAGTGCAACATCAAAATTCTACTCAAATGGAAACACGCAACTCAAATTACCACCGCACTGTGTTTGAACTCCTCAGAACGCCTCCCATGTTATCACCAAATATCAGTGATCATCAACCAAGACATTACCAAACGATAAAAATGTTTTCGGTGTTTGCCTGCAAATGCATCCCAGTCCATACAACGTCCAACCATGAATGAATAATTTAGATAATAATTTGCAAGAAGGGTCCAAAGCCGTGAAAATAGGTCGAGGTATGGTTCATTCTGACAAGAACGGGCCCGTTCAAGTGAAAGAAGCAATGTGATCCAAAGATGGCTCCGTAGAAGCCACCCAACTCAGGCAGAGGAGCAAAGAAGAAGGAATGGACATCCGAGTCCCACATCTAGAAGAAAAACGCCGATAGAGCAAACGAGTAAAAAAAGTCGTAAGACTTGGTTATGTATGCCAGAGAAGAGCGAATAACAGAATAAAGTGGTATCTCAAAAAATGCAGCGAAATGAAGAGGAAAAACGGCCATGTCATAAGATCAGAACAAGATGGCATCCGTAAATATCTTAGTTGACCTTGACTCTCTTGGCATCAGTGGTCAGGTCGTGACTCTCATTGTGATCATTCTCTTCGTCCCCGATACTCTTGCGTTTCCCTGCTCCAGCTGTAGCAGTAGTTGCGCCAGCTGTAGGGGCACTGGTTGACGCAGTGCTCGAGTTAAAGTTGGTCTCCTCTCTCAAGAAACTAGGGCCCGATCCTGCAACTGGAGTTGCAAAGTTCAACGGGCTGGGCAAGGTGTTATCACCGTTGCGAAAGTTCCAGTCGTTATAGAAACTGCTCGGACTCGGCAGAAACTCGGTACCAAGGAATCGGGAGGGGAGTGCAGAGGCTGGTGTCTCAGCATTCATGTTCTGCTGGGGTAGGGGACGGGCGAACGGGTTTGGTGGTCCCGTAGCTCCAGCAGACAAAAGTGCCGAGGCAGCAGAGGGTGAGGGCGGTGGAAGAACCACTCCAGACGAATGCGAGCTTTGTTGTTGCGATGTTTGAGATGTGCTCTCAGTCGCACCCTTAGGCGAGTTGGACTCAGAAACAGCGCTGTTAGGCTCCGAGCCACCACCAGGGATCTGAACTGTGAGGCGAGGGCCCCGTGGACGTGCTCCGCTCGCTGAACCTGGACCTGTCTTGAAACTATTAGATCGAGAGGGCGGGGTAAAAACCGTCTCGGTAGCAGATGAGACAGAGGTTGTCCGTGTCCTGGCTCGGTTCTGAGGTGGTGAGGTACGGGCAGCAGACGTCACATCGACCGAGTGTGGGCGGTTAGCATTTGCCGCAGCTGCGGCGGCCATAGATTCCGTCTTAGCGGGCTCAGATGCGAAGGATGCCAAGTGCTGCGAGAGAGGCGAGCGATTTTCCTCGATGGGAGTAAAGATACTGTGCGACTTCCTTGGGAGCTTCTTGATGGCCATGTCGGTATTCAACAGAGGCATTTGAGGGCGATCAAGAGGCTCATTCTTTACCTCGGGTGGTGGCGGTGGGGGCAGGAGTTCTCGTCGTTCCGGCTCAGGGGGAGTCGTAGAAATTTGAGGCACGTTCTGGGGGGGGGCGAGGTGTGCTTGAGGAGGCGATGGTTCAGCACGAGCGGGAGGCATAGACATCGGCTGAGGCTGAGGGGGGGTCTGCGACATGAAAGGAGGAGGCGGCACAGATGATCGTCTTTCTTCCATATATACCGGAGGTTGAGGTGGCTGCGGCTGCTGCTGAGGTGGTTGCGGTACCTGATGCGGTGGCCCCTGATGCTGCGGTGGATGTTGAGGTCCCTGGTGTGGTGGTGGCTGATGCTGAGGTTGGTGCTGCTGCTGGGGCGGCGGGGGTGGTGCGTACGGATACTGAGGCTGCTGCTGTTGTTGAGGCATCATACCAGGTTGACCGTGAGGGTTATTGTAAAGGGGAGGTGTTGGCATATAGCCCATGCCGGGATGGCCGCCCTGAGGAGGCGCCATATTGGGTCCCATGCGACGAACATCGTTCCTCGAACCAGGTCGCGATCCAACCGAAGGCTGCGGTGTGTGTCCACGATGGTGAGGATGTCCAGGGAATGTACCATTCTGGGGCATAGGAGGAGATGCTGAAGGTGTGTGATGGCGAATTTGAGGGAAGTGCGGCTGGTTGTGGTACTGCGGGGGCATCAAGTGCGCTTCGAGGCCTTCGGGTTGAGGGGGGGTGCCATCGCCTTCCTCATCGTCGTCATCATCGTTGCCGCCATTGAAATCTGAGGGACCCTTGTGTTCGTTTGGACCACCGTGCTGGTCGCGCATTGTTAGCCTGAGATGCGATCCTGTGCGACGCGTTGGGAACTCACGTATTGGTATCTAGTAATCAGATCACGCATGTCGGCTGACGAGTACTCGTACAGCTTCTTGTTGTTGCCGAAGACGAAAACCGCAACGTCGACGGAACAGAGCACGGACAGCTCGTGTGCCTTCTTGAAGAGACCGCCTTTGCGCTT